TACTTAGCCGTTTTGTAGTTTTAAAAAATCTTTTACACATGAGTTTGTAGAGAATTGAATGCTGAATCTTTTGGGAAAATCTTCAGTTCAAATCAATGAAAAGCAAAAGAGATATTGAGTAAATAATGAGACCACCATTTTTCATGGGCCACCCGCTAATTTAAATTGGATCAATGCAGTAGTTTGCAATCGAACCCTATCCATTCTTAATAGGGAAGTAGTTAGATGTTTTTCATTAAAGAGTATAAGCAAATGCACAGAATGTCTTGAATAAACTCAGAAAGACGAAGTCAGTGGTATCAAATTATTTTCTACTCAAAAAGAAATTTGTTTTCTTTTATAGATAATGTTCGATCAAGGTTTCATGGATGATTTATTTAAGGATTAAGAGTAATATTGTATTTAAATACGATGTGAATATATTTGATGAATTGTTATTATACGAGTTCCGTAAAGTTATACATCCTATTTCAATCTGCGAATTTTGAAATGACTGTCGAACAAAAGAATGATTATTATCGAAAAATATGAGACTTTAATAAAATGAAATAGTTCAAGGTTAAAATTTAAAAGAAAGATTTTGTTCGATTATCTCTATTTTATTAAAAAACAACAATATATTTGGTTAACTTGAACGCCCAATTTGTTTAGATATTTTGAGCTCAACTATAGAGCATTATGTGAAATTCTTTTTGAATTAAAGATGACAAATTGTAATACTCACTCACAGGGGTGCCCCGACCATTCCAACTTTGGGGGGAGGGTGGGGGAGTGTAACACCTAGATGAGGATCAAAGACGTAACTAATCATAATGCCAGGTGTCACAGTATTGGTTATGACAGAATGACAACAATGAAAATTAAATAGTATTGAATATTGGATGAAGATCCAATTGCGTATTCAATGAACAGAAATAGTTGAGAATAAGAAGAATTTCACAAGCAAATAGCTGACACGAGTTCGAACGATTGTAAGCGGCAATCGAGTTAGATTGATTGTAATGAACAATCAAGTTGAAAAGAAAAAGGTAACATGTAATTGATCAAAAAGATGATTCTTTTTGATAGAGAAGAACAAGAAGAATTAGTATATCTTAGTGGAGAGATGTATCAAGAAGCTTCTAAGAAACTAGAAGAGAAAAAAAAGAGTAATTATATATCTCATTTTCTGAGTCTAACCGCGAAAAACGAGAAAGGTGCCAATGTTGAAAATAACAAGCGCGACAATAGGCAACAAGAGAGAACAACACAGAGGAGAAATAAACATATATGATATAACAAACATCAAGACAAGATCAGTGACGTTGCTGTCGTCACAGGGAGTAACTTATAAAGTCCTACTTTCCAAAAATGTTGAGGGGGAATAACTAGTGTTGCCAGATCTTCCACGATGTTGAAAACTCCTGCATTTTCACAATTTTACCTCATTTTTTCTGAACTTTTCCTGATTTTTGGGAGTTTTTCTAGATTTTTTTCGAATTTGTCAGGATTTTTTGGGATTTTTGAGAATTTTGAGATTTGAATTCTGGATTTTTGAGTTCAACATTTGCCAATACTGAAAATAACTTATAAAATCATGCTTAAGATAGTATAAATTTTATTTTGTTAAACACAATGCAAGACAATTTTTCGAACATTGGGGTGGAGGGAATGTTACACCCCCCTCCCCAGCCGGGACACCCCTGCTCACTCGATCTACAAGTGAAATGCTACTATAGAGACAATATTCGCTGTCTGAAGAAAAAATATGACAAAAATCTCATCTATTATGGAAGGAATAATCCAAATTATTCTTTATACACCCTCTTTGAAACTGACATGTTCTTTTTATAGTTGGTTTTTTTTCATATGAAAAATAATTAAATATGAATACTTAAAATGTATTTTGTTATCATCACTAAAAGGACTCAAATTGGATTTATAATCAACTTAGGGTAGTCTGTAGTAAGAAAAAGAACGTCTAATGAATATATCATTCATGTTAAATGGGTGACGAAGATTGAAGTTATCTACTAATGTTCATTTATGAATACAATGCGCTTTTTTTATATTCTGAAATTAAAAGAAAACCTATTAAAAGTAATACATCGATTCAACTGATGAACGTTTGCTTGTGATGGATCATGAAGAATCAAAAAGATATTGTAATCATAAATCGAGATACGGTGGAGTATTTTCAAATAACTTTGCTGAACGTATAATTATCATCAATCAGCCGAATGAAAAATATAGATTACAATAAACTTTGTTCGATTATTTTTGTCATTTGAAATTGAATCTAGTTAAGAAGTTCAATGTCAATAGCTTTTTCAGCACATGAGAACATCCAAGCAAGAGATCCGCGAGTCAGCCAAAAACATGACTCGCCACCGCCTAGTCAGGTTGGCGAGTTGAGCATTGCTGTCTCACCCCGCCTCGCCTCGTATCTATCCTTAAAAAATGACCTTTTTAGGTAGTTTCTCAGTCCCCTACAACAATTACTATCTTTTATTTCTTTATATCTCATTAAACATTGTTAATACATATAAGTTTTTAAAAAAATACAAAATTACAAAAATTAAATGACTGAACGAGATCGAATAGATAAATATATATTTAGAGCAAAATTCTAATTCTAATCTAGCCAGGTCGAAACTAGAATTCAAATACAGACCAGAATTTTTTTCAGGCGGCATTGTAATCTTGATTTTGCCGAGAGAAAATTAAGATTCGACTCGAGATAAATTCATATAGTCATGTGTTTTACTCAAAATTGTAGTGAAATATAAAAAAAATAAAACTTCAGTGTCAGTTATCGTACCGACAGAGACCTGATCGGGTATCATGAGTTGGATGTGAGTATAGACAATTGAAAGGACACCCACACCCTCAAGTTAAGTAAAAAATACGCGTACTTTTACTTGCTATACTTTTACTTGTCCAGTGTCTGGACTCTGATTGATTCAATAAGTAATTTAATCATGCGATGAAACATAAAATGATCTCTTGCTTGAATATGTAAACAACCAATCTTTACTGACATGTTCTTAATAGCGATTTTTACACGAACTGAAAATTAATGAGATGCTGATCGACTTTGTCTATCAAGTGAAAGTGTTTCAGACAAAGTCGGACAGGACAAGCACATAACTATGTGAATCCATCATTGACCAAGCATTAAACCTTTCTATTAACCTTTAATATACAACAAATAAATGATCCAGGAAAATAACGTTTTATTCTAAGAATAACATTTAGAGTTACCCTTCATTGACGAATAAGTAAATTACTTTTTGATGAATATTCTCTGTAATAACGGAATCATCTAAAATTACGATGAACACTTTTATTGGATTATTTGGAAACACGTATCGACAGATTTAAGTGCATAAGCTGCTAATTATTTCGTAAGAACAAGAAATTTCAATTACATTTGCCAAATAATCATTGAATATCTTGTTCGGCTATCTATTTATCCATGAGTAATAATTAGGATAAATAGTAAATAACCATTCTAGTAATGGAATACCAACTAGTTACACACAACTATCGAATTGAATCAACTGAACAATTGAAAATAATGAAACAAGATAATTAAACCCGAATTTCTGTCAAAGATTTCAATATTAAAGTACTTTTACATCTTACATCAAAACTCGAGAAATTTGCCACGTAAATAGCTGTATTATTTATGATAGAATATATTTAGATGTTATTGGATATATATATATATATATATATATATCAAACATGATACTATTTTAATGTCTTCTTTTGTAACCATCTTTACTCACAGTATACAAAAAAGAACTAATAGACAAAGAAATCACCCATGAATTGTTTTCTTTTTCAGTTTACACAAAAGAACAAAAAATAAAATAAACGAAGACAATCATCAAGGCAATAAAAATTTTTTTTTTTGTGTTTCAACTAGAGATCATAAATATAGACCTAATAGAAAAACGTCTAGAATTATATTGCACACTATAGAACGAAAAAAAACGCATTCATCGTTTTATTTTCACAACGCGAGAGATTTTCATCTACATAAGTTGGTTTTGTTTTATCATAATCTACTAATTTGTTCCATTGGTTGTTGATGCTGGTATAATAAGTGTGGATGCAAGCGTAGGTGGAGCAGATGCCGTTGTTTGCTGTTGTTGTTGCTGTTGTTGTTGTTGTTCTTGGTGCTGTTGTTGGTGCTGTTGTTGCTCTTGTTGTTGTTCTTGTTTTTTTAAACAAATTTGTGGAATGTCAACGTCAATTAATCTTAATAATCTTTCAACATATTGACCATGTGCCTTAGCAAAAGAGTACAAAAAAAATCATATGAACATATTCATACATGTCAATTAATTCTTTACTTCAATATCATTATGACCAGCACCATCGACCCACAATGGTTCCGTTTGATGTTGCATATGTATTCGATTATAAAGTGCAAAGCCATGACTTACATCAATAACATCATCTTCAGTCCCGTGTATAATTAAAACAATCGAACGTATACGATGAATTTTATCTATTGAAGGAAATGCATCACAGCACCATGTTCGTTTTGTTTCAGGAAATGCTACACGCATGCCTGATGTCAATGGGCTATGTAATACACATGCTACACAACAATCATTAAAACGTGAAGCTAAATCAATTGTAGGGACAGTACCTAGGAAGACAGAAATCGTTTTTTTCGTGTTTTGAACTATATATATATATATATGTAATTGATCTTACCAATGCTTTGTCCATAGAGAATAATTTTTGATTCGGGTATATGATATCGTTGCTTAATGGAATGATATGTTGCTTCAATATCAGCATACATATTTTTTTCATTGGCTTTTCCATGTGATGCACCATAACCGGAATAATCATAACTAAATATATTACATTGTAAACGTGAACCCAGTACAACAAAAAAGCTAGCCATTTGACCTTGAATAGAAATTTAGTGAGATTTAGTTTTTTTGACGAGAAAAAGAAGTTATTTTTACCAAGATCAACAGCATTGCCATGACTGAATAAAATATAATATTTTGGATTTGTTACGCATTTAACATAGATACAAGCAATACGATTATGACGAGATGTGGTTACAAAATAGGGCTCTAATTTAGATATTTCATTTGTTGTATGTTGCCATTCGGCTTTCTCTGAAAAGAATATTGTGTATCGAAGAGGTGAATTTGCTTCAGATTGTTCATTTTTTGCTGATGATTGATTTGTTTGATCATTTATACCATTAGTAGCCGATGAAGGGTTGCTATTAAGTAATAACGAATAAGTTGGTTCAGGCGGTAGAAAAGCTAAAAATCAAATCAATGAAAATTTTTTTTTTGTTATTAAAATTTCATATTTATTTTTACCGAGTTTTGCAGCTATACGCGATGGCAATGGTGGACAACAAAACAAACAGCAAAGGTCACGTACTGATAATGTATTCATCGTTCAGTCATCTGAAACGAAGAGAAAATCATAGGAATTTTTTTATTTCTATTTTTGGTAGTTGTTTTGCTATGTCAGTGAATTTTCTTTTATGACTTAGTGAAGTGGAATGATGCTATCAAAAGTAAATACATAGACGAATGGATTGATGATCAGCAGGAAATAATTAGGTACTCGATTGAATCTAATCAATAAAATTTAATCTTCGATATGGCACACGCCATAGCAATCGTCGTTTATATATTGATATATCGAAGAGAGAAAGAAAAACAAAAGATGACGGCGTCTTTCTTTTTTGCATCGTTCTAATTCTATTTGATAGATGTCAAAGGAAATTGTATTCGATGAGTTGCCGCCTTTGGAATTTATTCATTTGTTACCATTCATATTGACATAAAAAAAGATTGAATAAAAATAAGTGATAAAATATGTTGTTTTTCTTCTGAAGCTTTAAAATGGTCAAGTCCATAATGGTAGAGGTTTTTTCTTCACCTTCCTTCTGCACACGTGTCGATTTTTACTGAAGTTTGTTGATGCAGAGGGGGGAAAAGAAGAATTTCTGTGAGGAACTAATTTACATGAATATAAATATATGATTAACTTAAACTACTTGCTTAGAATCGATTACGAATGTAGAATAAAAGAAAGAAGATGCTTCCGGTCGCCTTCCTGCTGTATTCTTATCGTTATCTTTCGAGAAAAAATAGATTATGTGCCAAAATCAGTCGATTCTATTTAGCTATTCTCATGAGAAATACATCATCAATCATTATAAAGAAATGTTGGCCTTCATTATGCCTTGAAATACACAATAGCCAAATGATAAAAATTACAGAAAAGAAAACAAAAAAGAAATATTTATGTTGACATACTTTGAGTGTCATTTCTTTTTTTTGTTTTTTGTTCAAATGAACAGCCGAACATACAGGACAGCAAAAAGGACGCATTCACACAAACACACACATAATCACATACATTTAGATTATCATAAATTGTTATTATTTCAAAGAAAATAATCAGGTACAACGCGTTTTGTTGCTGACGATCGTTGATCTTGTGGTGCAGCTTCAAATATAGTAAAACTACGATTAAGATGTTCATCAAGTTCAAGTATGGCAGCCACATTTCCACAACGATAACAATAATTCGGTGCTGACCATACAGTTAACACTGTTTCATTAAAATGCCATTTATAACCTTCCATAACAAGTTGATGTGCTCGACAAATTAAATCAATATTATTCGTTTGATTAAATTGCGATACTACATCACTACCAAATAAAAACCCGGCACCACGTGGGCTAACACCCCAACCAGGAGTCTCTTCCGGATCGGACCTAAAATAATAATTTAGAACAAATGATCGTTTTTCGAAAAGATTCCTACCATAAAAGATCACACATAGGTCCATCGTGTGGTACTTCCATTTTTCGATCGATTTGTCGTATTTGATCAAGTGTATTTATCGATGGACTAAGACCACCATGAACGCAAAATATTTTCCCATCAATAACAGCTGATAAACTTAAATAATCGAATACTTCTGTACAATATCGCCATACCATAATGGAGCCATATTTTCTTAAACATTCATCATAAAAACCGTAGACTTGCGTGATTTGACGGGATTCGTGATTGCCGCGTATCAATGTTATTCGATCAGGATATCGAACTTTAAGTGCAAGTAACAATAAAAATGTTTCAACACTATAGAAACCGCGATCAACAAAATCTCCGAGGAATAAATAATTGGTTTGTGGAACATCACCTGAAAAAATCCATTACATTATTTAATAAAGAGGTAATCTTTTTTGTTTAACAAATCAAAAAGAAAATTTTTTGTGAACCTTCATTTTCGAAATACTTACTATGAAGATAGAAAGCCAACTGATGGCAGTTTTTGTTTAGAAACGAAGAGAACGCTTCCTATAATTTCAAGGAATCGATCTATTCAAAACTACAGGAAATGATAAGTTTTGTTTATTGGATAAGTTTTCTAGAACGTGATGACATGTGTCAAACAGTAGATCAAAAGATTAGTCAAGCAACGTGCCTTTGTTTATAATCAATATTTATTTTGTCTATGGATTCATATTGATCAAAAACAAAAAACTCACAGTTAATCACTTACCTCCAACTCGAAACAACTCAAGTAAATCGAACATTTGTCCGTGTATATCGCCACAAATAGTAACAGGTGAATCAACACATTGAACATTACTTTCTTCTACAAGTATTTCTCTTGCTTTGGTACATAGCATTTTAACTTCACTTTCTTTAATTAATTCGCATCGTTGTAGTTGATCTAATTGTCTATCGAGATCTGATAGGTCCGACATGATTATTATGGAAGAAAATTAAATATTAATATCGATCTAAAACAAAAACAAAACGATAGAAATTTACTCGGCTTGGTCAAGATAATACTCTTGTCATTTTTGTTTTGTTAAAACAACAAAATACGAGATGAATAAGATTATAATATTAACTCGGTGTGCAAAAGCAAGAAGACACAAAAAACATATCTCATGCTATTGCTGATATTATTTTCAAATTAAAAGCAAAACGAAAAATATAATAGATATATAAGAATCCGTTTGTACAAAGTAGTCTGAAAAAAGAAAGGCATACAGAGAGAATTTGACATGGACAGAAATATTTTCGTCTAATGTTAAGCACTTGTGTTAAAATTGTTCCATTATAGAAGAATCTGGAAATTCAACAGGTGTCGAATAATTATTATAATTGCTAGTTGTTAAATGACCAGTTGTTGTAATCGCACCATTGGGTGGCATCGGTTGATCTTGTAATATGACTTGTACAACAAAATTTCGTTGTAAACGAGTTTCACATATTGCTACACGGTCATCTAAAAACACAGAAGAAAAGGTTAAATAACTCTTTGCACACGAATCGTTAAGTTAACATCAACATGATATGACATAAAAATAACCTTGCTATGGAAGATTAATCATATTGGTTGGTATAGATCAATAGTCTTTCATTCAATTTTTTAATGTAGAAAAAGTCTGGGATATATCCGCAATAGAATAGATTAATGTTTCTCTGATGACAAAGAGAAAGATCATTAGAATTAATCTTAACCAAGCCTTGTTCTACTACTATTTGTTTATTCAAAGGATGTACTTCCTTAATCGTATCCATCCAGCTTCCAGAAAGTATCAAGCAATAAACTGTCTCTTACAGATAACAAAGACAATCTCAATAAGATTTCTGTTAAAAGAAATAATAATACCAAAGAAAGATTTTCAAAGTGACTTACGTAATAATTTTCCTCCAAAATATAAACGTTGTGTTTGCAAATCAATGGCTCCGTTTTCTAATATAGCCAAACGTCTTTTAACATTTCGAATTTTTTCATTTGCTTTACAAAATAATCGATGTTCATTACCATTTGATAAACGAAATTTTATTGGAATTTCAATATCTTGATCGATACTTGATTGTTGATCATTATTTAGTGCTGGTATTGATGATGTAGTTGCATTAGCAGAAGATGATTCATAACTGCTTGAATCTCCAGTTGATTTTTGTTTTCGACGGTGTTTTTTTATTTCACGTACAATTGGATTATGAAGTCCATCGGTTGGTGATTTTATTATTTGACGTTGTTGATTTCCAATAGATGATTGATGATTGTCACTATAATCACGTTCACGATCAGCAACAGCTGTTGCTGTAAGATCAACTTCGCTTGAATTAGATTCATTGTCATTGTTTGATAATTGTTCAGCATCAATTAAATTTATTGGTGCTGATAAAATATATACAGGTAATTGATAGCGAGTACCAAGTTCATCATAACAATCAAGAAGTGTTCCACGAGGCAGTGATATATTAGCACAATTAATAATTGACTGAGCTAAATCTATGTCATTTTGTTCAATGGCATAACATGCACCACGAAGAGCATCCCAAATTTCTTTACGACCTTCAAAGGCAGGAGCTAAAATAATAGTAAATAGTTATTTTATACGATGAAAAAATGTAGGTATTGAAAAAATCCAATAGGCAAAGAAAAGCGGCTTCTTGCGTGATGACTATTTCCGTCGGGGATGCTGCTCTTAGAACAAGAACTTAGAAAGAGCTCATCCCCTTGAAGACAGCTTTTTTCAACCCATTGATTTTAAGATTGATTATTTCGTATGAGTGAACTGTTTCTATTCTACGAGTATAATGATCACAACAATAAAATAATTTGGATTTTAAAACGAAAATTTATCACCGATCGATTCGATGCTTTTAATAGGTTTCGAATCTCGTTACATAAGCCATAGAAAAATTATCGGAAGTCGATAAAGATGTTTATGCTTTTAGAGGCGGTTTTCTTGGCATAGTGTTAATTTTTCTCAATTCAAACTATTTATAAATCTAGTTCTCATGTGAACTGGTCCATTCATATGAAATCATAGAATGAGACATGCTAGAAACTAAACTTGTTGTGCGGAAAGAAACCTAGAATGAACACGAACCGTTGTAGGTTTCTTCTAATCTCGGTAAAGCTCATACAATGAGGAAAAACAACTCATCTTTATTAAGTGCGATTCTCTCGAACGTAAGATCACGGTGGTTAATTTCGTTTAAACTCATGGAAGAAAAAACAATACTTTGTGGATGTAAATTTCAATGAATATACTACTGATATTAAACATGTTTTTCAGATTCTTGTTGATAACATAAATTCTTCTCATGATTAAATTCAGAAATAGAAACGTTCACATTCTAATGAGTAACATAACACAAGAATTGATCATATTCTATTATTACAGAGTACTCTCTATAGCTCTTGTTCGAAAGTTTTCTGTAGTTTAAATTTCAATATTCATCATTTTTTTTTCTAATCTCGTGTCCATTGAGAATGTAATCAGACGTTTGCGAAATAACTTTATCTTTTATGAGAGCTCTCACCTGTATCCCAATATTCTTCTCGTTTACGACGCAATTGAGTGTCAGTAATTGGTACATCTGATTTCCATTTCGGACGACAAGTCGAACGATTTAATGGTTTATTTCTAGCAATAGTTCCACTAGCTAAATGAATCAGAGCAAAATAATAAATTTATAAATTAGTTAATTATTAATAGACATTTACGTGTTGCACTACTTCGTGATGAATGTGATCGCCGCCGATGATTATTTCTATCATGACTCACACATCCACCCATATCTTTCAGTACAAATAGCTCTAAAAAAATGAGAATTATTATTATTTAATTAAAAGGTTAATTAGCTAGGTGTAATTAAGTTTTATGGCATGATATATAAAGCAAATAAAAATGTTCAAACCTGATGTTGTTATCGAATTCTCAGTATGAGTTTTGAGGAAAAGAAATTTTAATTCTTTTCAAAAGAAGAGCCCTGTCTTCTTTGATCATTTATTCATTAAAATACCATATGACAACTACCATTTCTCAATGAACACAACCTCAATCAACTAGGTAAATAGTGTCGATAGATGGCAGCGGAAAGAGGTGCTACAATATTTATACATAACGCGACGTTGAACTACTCACCCAGGAGAATCTTTCTGACAGTAGGATACTATCGGATTTCGACAATGGTCAGACAGTGAAGATACCGAATATCAGATGTATTTCAATAAAACCGACGATATCTTATAGGATTCCTGAACACGAACCTACAGTCAGATCCTTGGTATTGGATCCGATGAGATCCGATGTCGGATTTTAACGGAATCCAACTCTATCGAATTACCCGTACACTCTGATGGCTCAAAATGCTTATTTGATCGTGAATAAGAAAATTATTTTTTCCGTCGGGACCGACAATAGGTCGGTGTCTAGGAATCCTATCGGTTTCTGTCGGGAAGTCGGATCCCATAGGATTCGATAAGATCCATTGTTGGATTCATGCACCTGGGCAGTGACAAATAATCATAGAAAAAAATGATGTAGAATGTTTCCAATTGTAGAGAAAACGTTTTTTTCTTAAAAACAATTTTTCGTCTTTTCAGAATCCGTTTTATTCCGTTCTCATTTTGAAATGGTGGATAACGAATTGCATCATCTAACGGTATCTTTCTCGACCAATTCTGTAAAAAGTATTTTCTCCAGAAAATTGCCTAGCTACCAGGAATTCTTCTTCTTTTTTCTGTTTCGAATTTGTTATAATTATTACATCTTATTATTCTATTGAACTGATCAGGTTTCTTTAATTTGTTAGCTGGTTTTTACTTGTCGCTGCTCCGGGCTGGATTCGTGCTGACCTATCTATACTTTTATGCTATTAAACTATCTTTCTAATAGTTAATGTAGTGAAAATACAACTGGGGTTGAACAAAATATTAGAATCAACGTAAATTTTCATTTTAAAAGTCTATTTCCCTTCATATTTAATAGAAAAACAAAAATATAAAAGCTTTATTTTTAGTCTATTGCTTTTAAAATTAAAATAAGCAATCATTATATAAAAAAATATTTATCTAAATATCTAAAAACAATTTATGATTACATATTAATATGAAAAAATCTTCTGTACGGATTAATATGTATTCATGTTAAGTATGAATATATATATATTTAAAATTTAAATCCAATATTCAAATAAAAAAATAAAAGATAGACAGGGTCGACTAACATCAATGAGACGATTTTTTCAAAATTTATTCTCAACAGAAATTATAAAATTCCTTTTTCATATCAATCATACAAGACGCATCCATGCGCTTTTAAAACTAACTATTGTACCCAAAAAACAATAATATGCTGGGCATCTACTAACACTACCTAAAAAATGTGGCATAAGTGAGCGATTATATTATCCATGCGTGAAGGCGCAGCCGAAAAGTACTTGTTTCTTTATTCTTAGCCCCTTTCTATATATTTATCGAAATTAAAATTAATCTTGTATACTCTAATATAAATAAAAATGTACATAGATGTATTATGTCGAAAAATATATATTTTTATGTATAAGTTTTAAGAATTTATATGGGTCAAATGCATATATAGATATACGTATTTACATTTGAAAAATTTAGAATGCCAGAGAATGTTTTCTTTTCTTTCTAAGAATGATATTTAATGATCTGGAATGCATTCATTACTTCTACGAGTCCAATCTGAGGTAGTCCACAGCAGAACGTGAAGGAACTCAATCCTGACCTTTCTCAAGTAGAATGAAGAGAGAACTATTCCGATAGTGGATTGAACAGTTTAGAAGACTTCCTATTCTAACAAAGAAAGATTTTGAACTGGGAAGAAAAGATTCCATAATAGTATGGAACTGTGAAGAATGCGTTCTCTCATACGTTGATCGTGCTCTTTTCAGTAATGCACACATTCATCGACTAACAGAACGCACTCTTCATGAACAATATACCTTTCCCTAGTCTGATGAGTGCGTTCCTTTCCGTTTTTTTTCTATGATTATTTTTCACTGGGTACTCAGAACCTTCATCTAACATTTTCTAAAGATCTATGAACATGTCATAAGAGTCTTTTGTGTAAAATGTACCAAAAGAAAAGAAAGATTATTGAGAGTAATATTTCTAAAACAAAAGGGTCTCAACGTATACTACAGACCAATGAGAATTTCTAGAAGAAGTTTTCATGCCCATTGGAGTTAGAGAATCTGTGTGAATGCGTGTCAGAAGTGGAATTTTGTTTGTGGAAAATGTACGCCAATTTCTGCTTTGAATAATTTAACGTGTTTTTCAGACAAACAGAACTTTTTTCTGAATGTTTGATGGATGTCAAAAAAGACATGGAAACACTTTTTCGACGTTTTCCAGATGCTAAAATTACTTATTTTATTTTATCATAAGGATGTCTGGTTTTTATACTTCAATAATGGACATGTTAAACAAGAATTGTGTATTCAAAAGTCTTTTTTTTTCTTATTGCTATTAACTAGCATTTCATTTTCAAACGGATACACTAAATTCTGAAACCTATCAGAGTACGATTTTTAAGCTTACGCGAATGCAAGATCACAGCATATTCTAGTCTAATGAATGACCTATTTTTATTACACCTCCAGTATATATTGAAGAGTTCATAAGATTTGAAGATATTTTGCAGTAAAGAAAAATGAATAAGAGAAATGAAAATTCATTAAAAATTGCAATTTTGCTTATGACTTCCACAATCTTTTTAATTTTTTCTCTATAGCATTGAAGAAATTCAGAAACAATAAAATTTTTATTGAGCAGCTTATCAACTTTTCAAATACTTTGAAATTAGCCACCGTGAGGCTCAACACCACGAGAAGTTCCTCTCAAACTGTATCAACATGTTCACTGAAAAGGGAAAACTATTGAACGATTAATTAACTCAAGCATTCATTATCTTAGAGAAGATCTAGACGAATACAGACGGTTGGTTAACATGTGTTGAGGACGGATAAAATTTCTAGTTGCAAATGAATAAATGTTAATATTTTCAAATTTTCAACGAAATGAAGAAACATTTATTTTTATTCAGATATCCCATCCAGTCTCCCCAGGCAAATCCTTGGGGGACTCCTGAGAGGGACTCTTTGATGAGTCGTCTGAGGAGAAGGGGTTAGAAACGTGGTTATAGTGAAAAAAAAGACTAGGCCTTATACAATTAAATATTCAATCAATGATAGTATTGCCACTTCTCAATGAAAATGACTGGCGAACATTTGCAAACAGTGGGACATTAAAATTTCATAGAACTTAAAGTTTGATTGAAAAAAGCAGGTTTCATCAGGGGTAGAACGATCAGCTCTATAATTTCGATAATAAACGCCATTTGCCAGGATTTGCGCTGTAAGATATAGGCGATTGAATGTAAGTATGAGTTAGAGCATATTGATTATTCTTATTCATATAATCCCCTCTCCCTTCCACACACAATTTCCCCATAAAATATTTGGATGATTGGACACGGCAGTTATTCATTTTTCACGAATAGTAATCGAACTGTTGGAATTAAAATTTGAAAACAAAATAAGAGAGAAAATCGCGTTTATGTTATGAAATAAAGAAACAGAGCCGTTGAGAGAAACATTTGAAAAAAATTACAATGCTCAGAGACGGCGCGAATGGGGGAGGGTTCCTCCCAACGTTGGAGATTTTTGTTTCCATTTTACTCCGATTTGAAGAAAATAGAAGAGATTTTTATTGATTTCCTCCGATTTTTGAAAGAAAACCTCCCGTTTTCAAGTAACCCCCCTATACTTTTATTACTTCGCGCCGTTCCTGACAATACTAAACATTATTTGGTTGGTGCAGACCGTTATATTCGCATCCCAATCTGTGTTTTGTTATGTAGTTTTGAATAGAAGGATTGCCTGTCCTGAATAAATAAAACAAATGTGGCAACCTACTGCATGAGTAGTTTGTGCACTGTAGCTTGAACCTACAATACAATGCCGCGTGTTGCTGTAAGTTAAGTTAAATTGATCGCGTTTGTATGCAGCAATATTCTGTTGAACTTGATATTTGGAAAACGCTTGTTTTGTGGTATAAATGCCATATTGTGTCATTGCCCGAGACATATCAATGGTCTTTATATCAACCATTGTGTTCAGCATTATCACGATTACAAATCGGAATTATTACTCTTTTTTTTTGAATGATGCAGTATTCATACAAGTTTCTGAGAAACTTTTATACAGTGTATTACCTACATACGCCTTTTATACTTCCTTCCTTTTATTTTCATCATCATCATCATCAGATATTTTCGCCATCTATTACAAAAAACAAACAGAAGAGCAAGTTGGAAGCTGAAAGAATTATTCCTCATACAGAGAACAGGTTTACGGTAATTCGCTCGTCTATTTTTACATGATATCATATTTTCCTTATTTGTTTGTGTAAAGCTTCCTTTGCTAATTCGTTCTTTTCTTTCCACCTGCGACTCTTTTCTTCCTCGTACTTTTTGAATCCGTTTTTTAAGCAAAAGCAAAATATGCTTTATAACTTTGCAATCAGTTACTCTGGGTTTGAATATAGTGTTGACCTTCTCGTAATAAAAACCCACATCCAATAAATCAATTCTTTAACTAGAATTTATATTGCAATAAATCTCTATAACAACAATTAATTGCTTGATGTCTTTTATAAATATTTTCACCAAACTATTAAATCACAAATAAATAAATAAGAAGCAAATAAATAGAATTATCTTTCATTTTAAATCATTTAAATGATCATCTTTATAGTCATCATCGAAATCTTGAAGTGTAATATTATATTGAAGTACAAGATAAGATCAACTAATGAATAGTTTCTTTTTTATTTACTGCAAAAGTTTAATTTGATATGGTAGTGAAGGAGCACCCTTGAAAGCTAAAAAGAAATATTTCATTTTCATTTTCATTATAAAATCATTGAGATGTGCTAAAGTAGAACATAATTGTGCAATAAGTTCAAAATGTTATAAACTTGTTTGGAAATTTAATTCTTTTGTCATTTCGGCCAACAGCGTATTGGCATATAACATATGTTGTACGCCAAAATAAGCAATTGATAATTGATTTCAGTTGGATTGAATTCGAACTGATACAGGTATACTAGAGTAAGTGAAAAATCACTGTCCAGTTCGAAGACTAAAGACTTCTTATACAGCTGCAAACGGTCGTTTATAACCGTGTCTGCTCGATCTGGACTACAAGTTCATCTCGTTTATTTGCTATACAATGCAGAATCGTAACCGATAACGATAAGCTATCGGTTCAGTACAAGCAAATTTGTTTTCTGGTCAGTGTGTAAGTTTTTGCATATTTCTTTTGCAAAAGTATTACTAAAAAACGCGTTCTTTTTCGCAAATAAAATACTTATCCACGACGTGAAAAATTAAGTCTGTGATGTGATACGCATTATAGACTATTCTATTCAAAGAAAATTCATCATAGTAGACAACAGAAATACAACACAGTAATGTTTTTACAACAATATCGAAATGCACACGATGGAGAACCTCCTCGTTCACTCTTTAATTCGACGAGTTATAATATATTCCATTTATTTGTGGGATGTGTTTTCATTTAAACAACACTATCTGCATATTTTGTATAAATGCTATTGAATGATGCTCTAGTTAAAGATAAAACTACAACAAAGCCATGGCCTTCAATGATTTTTATGACTAATAGGTGCCAAAATTTCGCAGCAAATAGAGTCAAACTGTCTGACAGACAATCATAGGGAAAAAGTTGCCTACTAGAATTTAGTAGACAGTTTGTTAGCATATAATCAACATCTTCATAGACATGGAATGAAAAGCGACCGAGAAAACCTACTACACAGTCAGTTTCATTTAGACCTTTAGGCAAAATTGCGTATACGCATTTGGGCTTCACATTCTGCTGATATATATATATATATATTCATGCGTTATTTTAATTTCTTATGTAGTAGTGTATTTCATTATTTCCTAATCGACTGCACTTTTGGATCAAATGAACGTCACGGTCAAATATTCTATTGAAAATAATATTTGTTTTGGAACCCAACATCTTGAAATTTCATTTCAAAACTGTTATCGATCAGTTCTTCTCGCATGAAAACTTAACATGACACTTCCTATGTTAATAAAACAACTTAATAACATGCATCACTGTTATTCGGACTATGACTTGATCCCACCCCATCTCACACCGTTAAAATCCTTTGTCGAATAGTGATTTACAAGTCAAAAACAAAACTTATTCCGCAAACCTCAACATTTTTTTCATTAAAATTTGCTTTTCAGAATACACAGTGAACTTGAAGTTCGTTGTTTGTAAGTATAACTAATTTATTATTATTAAATTGTGTCATTCTATTCACTGGAGTTTTGTAACTCAAAGGAATCTTTTTGTAGTTTGAATTGATTCCTATGATATCACGATGATTTAGTGAATGTATTAACCATTTAATATCTAATGCCATATTTCTCATCTCAACAATTCTATAGTCATCTGTAAGATTTGAGCCAGATAGTAAAATATTTTTTAAACACATGAATGTTTCTGCGCTTCGTAATTCTAAACGCCATTGTTGAGTGAAATCATTATAGATCGTCATTGCAAGATTTGAACTTTCATCTTGAGCGATTCCTAGCATTGTTCCAATAAATTCATTTGCCGTTAAATTCAATGAATGCTTTTTGATAAGTATCCAACGATTATTGTCCTTACGTCGTTGCCATTCATCGATAAATTGTGATCCCCATTCATTGTAAGCAATGTATAATGAAGGTTGATTATTGAATGTTGTAAAACACTTGAACGATTTTCTATCAGGTGATTTCATATCGGATAAGGATTCTATAAGTTTTGTAATCGGATCAAAGGTAAATACTTTTGTTTCCGTGAGTAAAAAAAACTTTTGTTCAACACTATGCCACACAGCATCAATTATATCTTTTGTTATTGAAGAAGTCGTAGAACATCTTTTAAGATTATTATCCATAAGTATTAATCTTTTTCTTTTGTTTGAATCTTCATTTACCAAAATATGTTTTGGCGATACGGTTAAAATTGACTGAAATGATTTTAGTGTAATTGCGATCGTAGAGATTGAATGATGATTATCGTCAATCATCCACGCAGAGGATTCTGCGCTGAAATATTCATCATCATTACCTGTTGTTGTTGATGACATTTGAGTTAAATTTCGTTGCGAAAGAAAAAAACATCATTATGCTTCCGCTGAAAGTTGGATTCAACAGAACAGAAATCTGCATATAAGTAAAAAAATATCCAAATACGGTTTGTTTTTAAGAAGAACAGCAAAAGAAGAAAAAAAACTTCATACTATTCTAAGATATTCAATCATTATTTTTCAAAAAACAAGCATGATTGTATGTATTAGAATAAACAGAACACAAAAGCTTTTTTTTTGCATATTTATTCCTGTTCTTTTCGAAATCAGGGGACACATACTTATCATTTCATCGGTATTTTCATATATGTATATTCAAATGTCTTTTGCAAGTTTAATTAGTCATTTCAATGATAAATACACAGATATCTAATTGGATGCGAATTTGTAAATCAGAAACAATAGCATAATGCAACTACAACTGATTAAACTTCTATGTTGATATGCATCTTTTTAAAATCGAGTTTCATTCTTTTTTTGTATAAGAATATAGCATTGAAACCTTAAACCAGAGAAATTTTCGACACAAATTGTCGGTGGAAGCCATTATCTGTATCTTTTCAAATTACCACAAACTTGTGAATTGAATTTTCTATATTAAACATGATTTAGAATCGAACTAATGTTTTTCTGCTTTTGCAAATCAATAAAAGAAGAAAGCAAGGTACTAAGATTTTGATGGAGAAGAACAAAAAAATTGACGCATTTGTTCACATGAAGTGTTCATACAGCCAGGACAACGTAGAGGCAGTTGGACAGTATGACGGCGTTGACTTTGTAAGTGTTTTGAAACAATATCAGCCATAGCCTAAAAACAATTTCATGAAATCTTCAACAGCTAGAGACAAAAATTTTAGAAACAATCTTGCTTTTCTTATCTTTGTTAAAATAATAGACTTTGAAAAAACCATATTTTTGGGCTCAATCGAAAACTCTATTGAATAAAAAGAGATGTCCGCGATCTAATTTCAGCGAATTTTACTGCTTCTTTTGTTTTCTTTTAACAACTCTGCTGATGAGAATTTGAAAACCATCTCGTCTAATAGGGGATCAGTTTAGCCAAAAAACAATTTGCTCTTCATAGTGTATAAAGGAAACGAGAATTACTTTGATAAATATTGGACTATCGTTCAACGATGCACATCGACGAATCGTTTCAACACCAGCCTTCAAAATATAAACATAGAAAATCAATACTCATAAATGTATGATTTGCTTACAGTTACAGCAAGATGTTGACTATATTCTATGTCGAGTTCATGTAAAGTTTCAATATGATCACCTAGTAAAATAAAAGTAAAGTTTAAGTGTATATTCAGATTTCTATCAATCCAAGGAAAAACCGAACGAGAAGTCAAAATCTGTATCGGTTTACACTCAATCTAGTACTCACTTGTAAATGCGATCGGCACTAAAAGAATATGACGTCGATTGTTTTTAGCTAAACCTTCAATAGCATTATCAGTAGCACAACCCAGCCATGCAGAAGGTCCTACCTTAAAATTTTAAATATTATCTCAATTTTACTTTAATCGTATTCAATAAATAATTTACTTTTGATTGCCAAACAAGTCGATAGGGATTTGAAAAATTCAACGATTCCATAACTCCTTGAACAGTTGCAGCAACTTCAGCTGGATATGGATCACCACGATTAACTACCTAAATAATCTATGGAACATTCGTCTTCATCTATCCATTCGCTTACTTTCATTGGTAATGAATGTGCTGAGAATAGAATGACCACATCATTTCGTACGTGCGCTGGAAATTTATCTAATTCATTACGAATATTTTCTACAAATGCCTATGAAAAAAAAGTCTGAATATCTTCTTTTGTTTCAAAGTCATTTTCTCTTACGGAAATAAGTCCAGGATGTGTTTGCCAACGATCAATAACACTCCATTTAAGATCTTCGGCTGGTTTTACATCTTTCGATTCATCAAAATATGATATTTTATTTGATTTCTCTATTTGTGCTTTTTTGTTTTTTTCTGCGTAATATCTTGCAATAGCATTTAAACTACTACCGGTTGTTGAACAACTATATTGTGGATATTGTGTAAAGGCAATAACTCGTTTCGGACGATCTCTAAAAATAAATTTTTACCAAGTAACATTCGACGACAAAGCATAATTTCTACTTTTCAATCTCGTCTAGAGCCATTTCAGTTAATGGTTTAACATAACGAAAACCAATATAATATTTATGCGGTGCTAAACATAAAACAAATTTTAAATTGCAAAAACATTTTCACATCTGTTTATACCTGTTGATGGTGACATTTGATCAAGAAGTTTAACCATTCCTTGACCTTGTTTGTCAGTCCACATTTTAATGGGTGAGCCACCACCGATTTTTGCATATTGTTCTTGAATGCCCGGTGTACGACGTCGAGCAATCCATGGACCTAATTTTCTTTGAAAAAAACAATTAAATCAAATTATCAAAAACTAACATACTTTTGCATAGGTAATGGAATAAGATCTTTATCGGAAAAGAGACGATTAAGAAAATCATAAACATCATGTACTGTTTCTGGTCCGCCCATATTTAAGAGAATAATTCCTGTATTAACTTGTGTTTTATCAGATTGTTGATTGGAAGAAGTCGATGGGATCGTACTCATCATGCGAATCCGTGATAGAACTATTTCTTTAATTACATTTGATGATAAACAAGTTTTTAACTGTGAAGATAACATCTTTGAACTAACTGATAAAACGAAAGGATATCTGAAAATAAAATTACATGATCTATGAATTGTAATGTAAGTTGTTACAGAAAAAAAATTATATCGGCATATGAAGTTTTTACTGTTAAATAATTCACTGTAATTATCTGACAAGATTGTATAGAATTAAATATCATCAATCAGTAACCAGAGATTTTCGAACTAAAAATAAAATATTTATACAAAAATTATCGTTTTAATCGATTCATGAATTGAAATCAAAAGAGAATCATTTATTCTGTTGTCTCAAAATACACTATCCTTTGGAGTAAACTTGTCGATTAGGAAGGGGTGAGAGAAGTTAACCCCTCCTATAAATTGAAATCTAATAAATCCAAACATAATTGAAAAGAAATAAAACAAGGTCAAGGTCGAAATCTAAAAATCAAAACTCACCATTACTGATTTTCATCCAATCGTCAAGATCGAATTTCGATATGATTAAATGTTTATCTTGACTTTTCTTATTGAGATTTTTAAGATAAATTTCATTTTCTATGTTTGTTAATGATTGCAATAGAATCAATTGGTCAGCATGAAATGAATCAAAACGTGTATCATCTGTGATAGGAAAATTTCTCGTTCGTTTCTTTGTATTTAAAATAATTCCATTGATAATTAATATCGACTGTTTTTGCGCAAGACGATTTAATCGATATGTTAACTGAAGGATTTTTCCTTTTATACGTCTATCGAGACCTAAGTAAGGTTTGATTAATGAGAAAAAATCATCAATAATTAATATTTGAAATGAATCTTGATTATTTTCAATAAAGTCTAATTGATTCTCAAATGCTTCGAGATGAAAGCATTGATTAAAAAAAAAGTATTTTTCAAATAGATCATTTCGATGTAAAAATATTTTATCGCTTAAACAGCAATAATCATGATAAAAAGAATTTAAATCAAATAAACTTATGTTTGTATTTATATAATTTATTTTAATGGATTCATTTCCAAGAAATAAGCGAAGTAAAAACATATTAAAAAATTGATTCCATTGATTTTGATTGAAATACTCATAAATGAATATTAAATGACGTTGTGCGTTTAATATTGTTTCATTATCGAATAATGAATAGTCTAATTTATAAGAATTACTATTTGATATTTGTCGATATTGAATATTTGCTGTATGTGCTATCATACATGATTGTATACATTGAATTATTGTTGATGACAAATATTTAGTTCGATCATCGGAAGATTTTATTAGCCATAAAGCAAAATCATTTGTCGTTTGAATTGAATAATGTTCATTTAGAATATGAAGACAATCATTTGTTAAACATGGACAATCAATAGAATTCAATAGAATTGACATGGCACAAATAAACAACGAGAAAAGAACGTAATCTACAACAAAATATTATTTTCATTAGATGAATTTCGGCTATTACATGGTTTTTATATCGAGCAGATTCTATCACTTTTGATTAGTCGAATTTCTCGACAAATCTATTTGCACAGTGTAAGAGCTCAGATGACTCACATAGTTCTGTGGTGTATGACTATTATTATCATTATTATTAGAACAATTCTAAGATTGATTAGTAAATTGACTGAGGTACTTGTTAACACGACCAAGTTTCTTCGAACAAATATGTTCAAGATCGAAAATATTTTCCTTTGTGCTGCTCTCCATGACTTATACTATAGGTTTTCATTACCAGGGAGAGAAAAGTATTTGAAAGCAAGCAATCCGTACATAATAATTATGTTCATTATTGAGTTTTCGAATATATTATGTAAATTGACTTTTAATAAGACGTGTGATTTGAGATTTCTATACAGATGTCACTAGTGAGAAGTTGGTTTCCTTGCAGTTAAAAGCATTTTACGTATATAAACAAAGCAATGGGTGCCTAGTCTTTGGTACTTAACGCCAGAGATGTGTGTGGTTTCAAAATCACGCAAACACAAGCACAAACCGGCTCTGTATTTGTCTCTTTTTTCTAACATTAGTATGAGTAAATGTAAAATTTCGCAAGGTATCGAAGGGCTTTTACCAAGAAAATATTGATTGCCTGTAATTTATCCATACCATTAAATCATCCTATGATTTTTATGTGTACTATAAGTCATTTCTGAATGTACAATGGTTCATTTTTTTTATTAGAAAACTACTCTACAACTGATGTATCGAAATTGAAGGAGCTATTCAAATATTTGTCAAATGGAAACTAGAGCTAGCATCAGTTCGAGTTTTTTCAATAATTTAAATCAAACAATAAAAAAGTTTCTTTAAAATCTCATTGACACCCACAGTCTCAAGAGTCGATCTAATGTTTCTATTTTTCCATAGGAAATACGAAGAATTTCTGTTCGCGGTTGTATTAGAGAATGATTTATTTATTCTCTCATTTTCTTTTAAATAACAAAACAAAAACAAAAATGATAAGCATCTTTCTTCAAATGAACAAAATCTGATATTCTAGAATCTACAAAAAACGACACGAGAGTCATTATAAAAGAAAAACGGTCGGCATGGTCATGCAAATGAACAACAATTAACATTGGCCTATGAGGAATGAATGAATAAAATGTTTTTTTTTATTTTTATTGTTCACTGATTTCAATATTGCATTTATTCAGTTTTGTTTTTCGGCGTATCATCACGATGATAAAGTACAATAAAACTAAGAAGAAAAGCACCAGCCATCATTGAAAATGATGAAATATAATATGGAAATGCTGATGTTATAAATCGTTCATATTCGGTATGACGTAAAGGATGAACAGAGACCTAGAAATAATAAGTGAAGATTTTTACAGAAATAAATTCTATGAGAGAGACGCGACTTTTTTTTACAACAAAACGATTTCATCTTATGTTTACCTGTGTTGCTGAAAATAAATGTGTATAACCAACACGATTATAATCAATGACAAATTTATAAATTCCATAAGTATCTGGAACACAAAATTGCGCTTCAAGTTGACCGCCTAAACTCGAAAATTTTTATTATTTAGTAAAGTAAATCAATTGAATATATATATATATATATATATATATATGTGTATACCTTTATTTTTCATTGTTGCTCGAACAAATGGATCAATACGAACAAATTCTAATTGAACATCAGTTCCATTAAATGGCATCCATTTACCGTGAACAAATTCATCAAATTGCACATTAAATACCTTAAGAAAAAAGCAAATCAATAAGATTTTTCTACTATTCTTTTAATCGTTCAATTTACAATATCATTTTTAATTGTATAAAAACGTGGTGTTGATTTATCTTGTTTTAAATAATGACGAATATTTCTCGCACGTAAAACACCACGTTGTTTAAATATCCAATCAGTCAGTGCAATAGCTAATTCTTCATTACCAGATTTATCTGATCTAAATGAAATAATCACAGACAGAATATAAGATATTCAAGTCTCCTATTGAATTCTGTTCTTACTTCTTTCCATCAGTGGATTGTACTGCACTATCAAAAAAATCATTACTGAAAAAGTCTAATGAACCAACAAAACCAACGCGAGCATTGTTACGAGCTTGAAGAACAGATATTAATAATGTTCGTTTACCAACTGTTGTTGGATACTGAAAAAGAAAGCATAGTAAAATTTATTTCAAAATGTTTACCAATGAATTCCTTACCTCAGCTAATGACTTTTCATCGGGATTGGCTGTATATGAACTTGCGGAACCTGTTAAAACATCGAGTAACAGTGGATTTTCTGGATCAGCAGACATTCTTAAAAAAAACAATTTCTGTAATAGAAACAAAAAAACTATTCTTCTTTACCCAATGCCTCGGAAAAGGAATGGTAAACCAGCCCTTTTAGTTTGCCCAGTAATTAATTCAGATGCTAAAAGATTATCTGGACTTGCAACGATTAATGTATGCTAAAATTTCGCGATTAAGTTTTAATAGAAACTAAATTCTTTTTTTTTTCTTACTTGTCCATCATCATTAGCATCATAATTGAGATGATCAATCACAGCATTTTTATCATCAGCAAATTCAATGCCACATTCACCAGCGAATTCACGAATAGCATCACCTTCGAATTATTTTTTCATGAAATTAAAAGACACGACAGTCTTCATTAATAACCTTACCAATTGTATTACTACCCGCAATGAGAACATTACCACCAGCATCAATAAATTCTGTCAAAACTTCAGCATCCAGACGTCCACCGAATTCTATGCATCGGAATATTAGTAATCATAAGAAAATTGAAAGAAATATTTTTGATTACCTTTTGTACCAGGAGCAAATAAGATAATATTATCATAAATATATTCACCATATTTAACTATTTGAAGGCTACTATCATCTGATGATCTGAAGGTTATTTCAAATCCACGATCTAAACAAAATAAATGTATTATTATCTCAATAATCAGCATAATTTTATAAATAAACAGATGGCTGTTCTGCTGATCAAAAGTACTCAACACATGCCTCACTAAATTTGGTCACTATAAAAATGCTCGACTATCCGAATAAAACAACCGAATTTTAAATTAGATTGAAAATTTTTTAATATTTTCAAAAAATTCATTATGACAATCGTCAGATACGAAAATTCGTTCCAATCAAAGATATTCAGAATGTGAACAGCTATGTAAATCGAGTTCATCATTTGATTGCCAATATGTAGAATCGAACGTGATACTTGTTCGTTATCCCGCTGAACTATATATTTCTATTCGTCGATCTTACCTCTTAATTGTTTAAAATAATATGAATGTGATTCGCGAATAGCCAAATTATCAAGAAGTACTAATACACGTTTCGATGATCCTTCTATATTCAACGATGATGACCAAACTGTTGCTAATAGAACCAACCCAATACAAACAAGAGACAGACGAGCCATGGGTAAAAAATCTATAAAAATTAACTTTTTTCAAAGTGAATCTCGTCGATAAAAAGTCCACGTTTTATCAATAAGGCCTGCCACATTCGTCTCAACATTGGATTGGTCTATTCAAGCGACAAACGAAAACATGGATTTACATAGATGTCATAAAATCTTTGCTTTTTTTAAATAATGAATAACAGCAACAAAAAAAAAGAAGTGTTCAAATTTTTTTTTAAATATTGCTCTTATTAAAGATCATAGACTTTTGGTAAATCATTGCCAAGTACATCAACACGTTCAACACCATCTCGATCAATTATTGCTAAACGAGCACAGCCACCGCTTGAACCATCTCGTGTAATTGCTAATGTGATACCTATAATAATAATAATAATAATAATAAAATAAAATAAATTTCTCGTGTTTTTTTTTCTCTCGTTTGTACCTTTTAGTACGAAATCAAAACATTCTTGTTTTGTCATATTTGGACGATAATTATTATCGAGATAACCCCAAATGTATGTACTACCCGATCCACCCAGTGAGATCGGTTGCCGAGCAAGTAAACCACCAAGTGGACAAGAATAAACCTAAAAATAAAAATATCCTTTAGCATCAAACATGTCCGTCTTTTCTTTGATTTCAAAAATATACTTGTCCGCCAAGCTTTTTGTCCCACCCAGCAACAATCATACCAGCAACGAAATCATCACGATATTCATAAATTAAACGACGCACACAATTAGCAGCTGTTCGCACTAATGGAGGCTCATTCGCTTCTGCACTAAAATTATGTAAGATACATTGTTAGAAATCAATAATGATGAAGGGCTGACCGATGGAATACAATATCATCGATATTCTAATGTGAATAGAGTGCAAGTTTAATATGCAGTAAAAACATACCTGAGAAAATCAAGTTGATACGTCACTATCTGAGAAATTGCTTGTGTATCAGCTGCACTACCAGATCGTAGACAAAATATACGATCAGTTATTTTCGTTAATTTATCGGTAAATCGATTCATTACAAACGATCTATTCAAAACAAAAGAGTAAACTTATCTTGAAATAAAGATGAAATTTCGAATCGAATTTCATACCCAGATGAAGTACGTGTATCAGCACCGATGACTACTCCTCCATCATATTCAACAGCAACAATGGTTGTCTAAAACAAAAACAATCAATTATACTTTTAGAGGAAACAACCGAAGCTGATATCCATCGTTTGAGCTCCTATCAGACATCTCGCAGCGAGACACACTAAAGTCGAAAACGATTTCAGCATTTCAACTAATTTGATGGAGAATCTCTTAAGCCATTCAATGCCTAATTATTTCCTTCGATATGAGTTCACAAACGACGGGCATCAGTTCGAGTCGTTACAAGAAAAATCATGAAGCTTACACCAGTGGATACTGGTTGCTGTTGAAATTCAACTGGTAAAAGAAGTTTATCCATCTCACTATATTTGGTTCTTTCACGCAATTGATCTTCTTCTGCATCATATGTCAAAGGATTCATTACATCCATTATTTATCTATAATAAATTGTTTTGTATATTTTTTTTTCTATATTTGTTTGAAATAATCTTCGAATAAAACAAAAGAAAAAAGAGAAGAAAACAAAATAGTCTAAAAAGGTTGAAAAAAATTAATTGTAAGTCATATAGCGTGGTGTTGAACTAAATTTGGCATAGGCTTTGATGACCTTATTGATCGCTTCAATAAAATCTTTTTCCGTTGCAATTTTTCGCCGAGCACGAATAGCAAACATACCAGCTTCTGTACAAACACTACGTAGTTCAGCACCGGTACTATTTGGACACAGTCGCGCTAATAATTCATAGCGAATGTCCTTTTCGACACTCATTGATTTTGTATGAATTTTAAATATATGTGTTCGACCCTGACAAATAAAAGAATGTTATTCTTGAAGAAAAATCAAATGTCATTTACTTCTAAATCTGGCAGATTAAATTCAACTTTTCGATCGAGCCGACCTGGACGAACAAGTGCTGGATCGAGTGTATCCGGTCGATTTGTAGCCATTAGAACCTTAATATTTCCTCTTGGATCAAAACCATCGAGTTGATTGATTAATTCAAGCATTGTACGTTGTACTTCATTGTCACCACCAGCACCATCATCAAAACGTGCTCCACCAATAGCATCGACTTCATCGAAAAATATGATACAAGCTTTTTTACCACGAGCCATTTCAAATAATTCACGAACCATTCGTGCACCCTTGATTTACAGGAAAAAAAAAGATTCTATTGCAAACGTAATATTGATCGTGTAATATAAACAAACCTCGCCAACATATTTTTGAACAAGTTCTGAGCCAATAACACGAATAAAACAAGCATCTGTTCTAAAATATATGAATTTCACATAAGACTCATGCGAGCTTTTTATTTTTTTTATAGTAAATCCTAAACGCGAACGACTCTCGTCAATATTGTGATGCTTTAGTGAAATTAAAATCTCCGGAGAAGATAACTCCGTACTATTCGTTACCGATTAGCTACTGCTCGTGCGCATAATGTTTTTCCAGTGCCTGGTGGTCCATAGAGTAGAACACCTTTTGGCGGTTCAATACCTAAATTAACGAATTTTTCTGGCTAAAAAGAGAAAGAAATCACAATTAAACAGCTTCTCTATGTTTGTTTTATCATACGTGTAGAAGAGGAAGTTCAACAACTTCTCGAAGTTTTTCGATTTGTTCTTTACAACCACCTACATCGCTATATGTTACATCAGGTTTTTCTTCAACTTGCATCATTGTCACGGATGGATCAATTTTCGGTGGTAATGGTAAATGAATTTGATATTTATTTCGATCAACTCTAGATAAATATAAATGAGATAAAAAAAATTCGTTGTTTTTAAATATTATTCTTACCCAACACGCATTCCCTCTTCAATATCTGTTGGTGAAACAGTATCAGCAAGATCGACAACAAATTTCGCAAATTGTTTAACATTGATTATGTATTTTGCATCATCACTACCTTCATTTATAATTTTTGTACATCGTGCAACTTGTAATGGTTGTTCACCTAAAGAATTGCAGAACTTAGAATATGAGATTTTTCGATTTCTTTCCAATTACTTTGAAGAGCTTGTTTATCTGCTGCTAAATCCCATAATGCAGGTGGTGCAAGACCAGTATCTGATTCTTTAATACCTGATAATTCATTGACTCGTTTCAATGCAGTTTGTACATCTTCTTCTGTTTGTTTAATGGCTTTATCATAGGGTCCAGCACCCTAAAACAATTCATAATAAATGAGTTTTTAAAGAAATGATTAACTTACATAAGACTTTAGAAGTGCAATTTCAGCTTCATCAAGTGCTAAAATGACAAGATTTATCAAAAATTCAATAGAAAAATAGACAAATACTCTACCTTTGATGGGTTTTTCTTCGTCTTTATCATCTTTTTGCTTAGTTTTTCGTTGATCGTCACCAAGATAATCAGGCATTTTTTGTTAAATAGGACCGTATTTAAAACGAATGGATGAATGAAAAGGAGTAGATGACTCATCGCATGAATTTTTCGAAATTTTTTAATTTCAGAAACCGGCAATTCTATTTCATTTTATAGAAAAAAAAAGACTATACTGAGTTATTTTCCAAGAATGAAAACCGCAACGATATAAAACAGTGACACCTATAGTAATATCCGGTTGTTATGAATGCAAGATAGATATAGTATAAAAACAAAACAATGTTGAGAAATAAAGATCGTGCCAGATGCAACTCAACTATAGTTTCGGTTGTTTTTCTTTCAGGTTTCTATTCATGAAGTTTCATATAACCGTTTTATGTAATCTTTCAATTGAAAAATTGTTTTTTTTTAAAAAACAAAAAATAATAACAGATATACATTTACATTTGATATAAAAAAAAACAATAAGCTACGTTCTTTGATCATTTATACCAGAGGTAAATTATCTAGTGGACATTGTATAGAAAATTCTTTTAAATAAATTTCAATACAATTTACATGGAAGATATGTGTACAGGGCAATGTTTTTATTTGCTGTCCAAGAGCATATGTCTCCATGCAGATAGTACAATGATCGTTTAAATGTGATTCACTGACATTCGTTGTTGGCAATCGATCTAAAGCACTTGCATCAACTGTTTTACGTTGTACACATTCATCAAGTCGCAATAGCATTTCATAATCATTTGGAGATCTAAATAGAAAGGAGAAAAATAGTGTCTTTATAAATTATCTAATCGGAGTTTGAATTCTTACAGATCACGATTTTGCATTTCAAGAAGAAAAGCAATCATAGCATCATCAAAACTGATGTTGTTTTGAAGAGTATAGTCATTAATTGTATATTCACTCAATTGATTTGGTGGAACATTCGATGCAGGTTTTTGAATTGTTGCTTTCTGAACGTTAGGAACAGTTTTACGATTACGCTTTTCATCAGGAACCGACCGTAATTCTTCAGATGAATAGGGCCGATTTGATGTACTTCCAGAGCTATGATTTCGACTTGGTGGATCAAGTACAACCGTTTTAACTAATCGATGGTGCATGTACAATATTTTATTCTGTGAATTAAATTTAATTGATTTTGCATGCTTTGTCTTTATCTGACAGCGTGCATTCACTTTTTTATTTGAGCGTTTTGCACGTTGATATTTGGTTTTCTCAAAATCATCAACCAAAGATAGTTGTTTTCGATCTAGATGCCGAGTCAAATAACACTCATCATTATTATCATCATTGTCGCAGAAATAATCTGAATCATCATCACTGTTATCCAAATAAAGAAATTGAGTATAATAATAATCCTCATCATTTTGTTCTAAAGCCTCTTCGTCAACACTAGATAACGAAAATCAAAATAAAGTAAAACTTGTCACGATAAATCATCTACCTGTGATTATCTGCAGCAACTGTCGATTCTGAAGATGGAATCGCAACATTATCATCAGCACCAATTTCTTCATCATTACTATTACTAATTGGTTCGATTTTATGTGCCTCAATTGTTATTTCTATTGACTGCAGCGTTGTGGCACTTACTGTGTTTGACGATAGATTAATAGGAGGCATTTCTACATTCCTACTGCTTGGCTTCATCGACTGGACAGACAACTATATATACTCCAGCGAAAATGCGAAAACTTTTATGTGAGGTAATGACAAAAGATTCTTGCATCATTCTCGATGTAATGAAGCAATACGTGAAAAGAAAAAGTAGTCATGTATATTATAGTATGACGTATTCAGTATTTGTTCTTTTTTTACCAAGTACATTTTCATCCGTTTTCACTTTACAAGCAAAAAAACAAACGCGTATACGCACACGATTTTCTTTTCTGTACAATCAAAGAAGTGTGTGATATGGAACGAAACAAAAAATTGAAAATAGAAAAATAAAACGAAAACAAGCGGGAATTTATTACAAAGATAAACTATTCAAACTGCTTTTGCAGGCAAAAAAGAACAGAAGATATACTTCAACTAAGTATTAATCTTTTATATGAATACAAATGCTCACCATAAGTTTATGTTTCAAAGAGATTTAATATTCCCCCAAAAATAAAATAAAATAAAATAAAATAAAACGCATCACTATCGTAAAACAAAGATCACCAGTGAGACAAATTAACAATGCTTTCAAATTATGGTGTATAAGAACTTGCGGTCGAAATCGCTAAATGTTGAGCAAGTAAAGGATTTGTATGGCAATAGTACGGTGCTGGCGCCCGATGATGATAGGGCGCTCGATTGTATGGATATGGTGGACGAATGAAATGTTGCTGTTTTTGTTGTTGGTGCTGTTCTAGCTGTTGATTTTGTAGATCGTAATCCATTTCATATTCATATTCATCGTTATCAATATTATGTAAGCCTTCCGATGATGGTGACGAGGAAGAAGATATATTTTGTGGCATCGATGATAGGAATGGATTTTGTTGATGTTCTTCTCGGATGATATGAAGTCCAGTAGAGTTTGTTGGCAATGGCACAACTTTAAAAATAATGATAATACAAAAAAACAATATTTTTCAAAAAATCATACCAGAACCTCGTCGAATTATTGGCGAATCTGCATTATTATTAATCGAATACTAAAATTAAGAGCATCAATAATTTTTCTCAAAATTTGTTCTTATAATTCTAAATTTTACTTTTTGTATTTGCTTTTGAAGTTTATGTAATTCTTGTAAACTAGATGTGGTAACATCATCATCGCCTAGTTTTGCATCTACAGCATTATGATATAAACATTCGAGATGTGCTTTTGTCGAACTATTGATAAAATTTGTTGCCGTATCACTTGCACGACGTGATAATGAACCGCGATCTTTTGCTGTTTCACGAGCGCCTCGTCGGGCTTTACCACCAAGTAGCATACCTTGTTCACATACAGTATGACGTTTACCACGATTAAGATATCTATAGATTAAAATGAATAAATATCAATTGTTTTCCTTTCTTTTATCAATTCTAACTACCTACCGTGTCAGTATTTCAATATCTTCTTCATCATCATCATTCTCATTCGTTTCATGAGGTGTCACAGTAAATATTGGCGGTGTGATTGGCGAACCACGTGTAATACTGCCGCGGGATGATCTCTAGAGTATTCCAAGAATGACTTATTTCGTATTTTAATTGTTGTGTTTTGCTTACGTTAGATACAGGAGATGCTATGTTTGTTAAGTGAACGGGAAGCATTGTATTTGAACCGATTTCACTATGCTGCTGTTGGAATAGAAGTAGATGAGCAACACTATCACTGGCTCGTCGGTTTAAATCTATTAGAAACAGAAGCAAAATCGTTATTTTAATTTAGGTCTCAATGACATTTTATGTTTCTTATGAATTCTCTATGTCACATTGATCGTTTGTTCCTAATTCTAATCGTGTCATAGTTTTATCTGTGTAATAATGATTGAAACTTCTCGAGAAGATATTTTATGGAAAAAAATTTCAACAACGTACAGAAACTATCTGGACTCGGCGGTGATAACCAATTGCTATTAGTTTTTTGTTGTTCATAATAATTATCTGAAGCATTTGTTACATTTGAATCTACGGTCAAACCATTGTAACTTGTCGAATGGGGATTTCGTTGATGATAAAGTGATGGTTGCGATTCGGAATAACATTCATCATGTTCATCATCGTGGTGTGTAATTAGTGCATCGAATTTTTGTCGTTGTTGAAGATGATGAAGTCGATTTGTTAATAGCGATGGTTCAATGGTTGATGATTGATAAGCATATCGGCCATCTAAGTTTAATGTTGGGTTTGCTTCATTATGTACAAATAAATCCGGTCGAACAATAGTATGCCGTCGCAAGCCATGTGTTCGAGCATATTGCTCGTGCAGTTGTCTCGTGACATCTTCATCATCATCTTCCTCATCGGAATAATTATCTAGATAGTCTAGATGAATATCTGGATCACACGAATGTAGAGATTCATTCTGAAATAAGAAATAAAATTTATAATAGAAAAGTTTTGTTTCTTTCGTTTACAGTATTTGATGAGCAATAAGTTAGATCTGCATGATGTTCATTGATTTCTGTATGACTTGTTTCACTATTTGGAATATGAGAATCTTGAAAAATCAGAAATATTTTTGTTTCGATGCGTAAATAAAATTTCGCTATTTACTATTTATTTGACATGTTTGCTGGAATTTTTCTAATAGTAAATGCCATATAGCTGCATCGCTATCATAGGAATTTCCATGTACAGATGTTAATATTTGTGTACGATCGTAGCCAAGTGCTTCGGCATGATCAAGTATGGCGTTTGTTAATTGACAATTAGGCACTGATTGTGTTTGAGATGGCACATCAGTTAGATTTGAACTATTTAACATTAACCATCGATGATTTTTAATATCATTTACAGTATAACGTTGTTCTGGATCAACTGTTAACATATGACTAATTAACGAACTGCAATCTGTAAGAGAGATAAAATATGAATTTTAAATTTCAAATTCAATTTATTAGTATACCTGAACTAATATAAAATGGTAAACGGAATTGCCCAGAAAGAACACGTTTTCGTAATTCCGAAAGATTATTACTATCGAAAGGTAAATGGCCACAAACAAATATATAAAGGAGAACGCCGAGTGCCTGAAATTTCGAGGGAAAGAAAAAAATTATTTTTACGAATAGATTAATTATTAAGTTTTCTTCCTACCCAAACATCAACTTTTTCCGGCGAATATTCAATACATTGATAAAGTTCAGGAGCTGCATATCTAAAAATATAATCTAAATGCAATTTTTTTCTAAAGCTTGCATTACTTACGGTGGTGAACCACAAAATGTCTGTAGTTTTTTATTTGGCGTGAATGTATTGGCAAAACCAAAGTCTGTAATGAAATATAAAATTATAGCCAACTAGAACTATTAAATGATGTGCACGTATATAATCTCAAGAAGCGCATTTAATAGCTTCGAACACTTGGAGTAAATAGACATCTTTGCACTTATCTTTGTTTTCTTTTGTTAATGTGGAAAATAAAACAAAAAAGGATCTCAATGACCTGACAAAAATGTATTTTTCTCTGTACTTTAGTTTGCAGTGCATAAAAAGATTTTTTTCAGATAAATCTTCTGGGCATTCTTTTTTTTAATGAAGCGCTGCTTTTCGCTTTCCTAATCCTACTAGCTTATATTAAGTTCTTTTGTATTGAATTTTCATTAAAATTCAAAGGTTAGGGTCACAGAATAAAAAATGATTTTTATTTAAACAACATTTCTTTGTTTCTATCGAGCGCGTCTGCAGAAAATTCTGATCTATATCTTTCTCGTTGCTTATGCTATGATTAAACGCTTTTCATGGTGGTGAAAAAAACATCGGGTAACTAAAAAGTAGTTAAACAGCTTACGTTCGATCTATGACATTTACTGTTTTTTTCATGGAGAAGACAAGATCATCGGCATGTTTTTGTCTTGGAAAGTATTATAAAACTAACAGATATTATTTTTGTTTTTCTCCTAATAATTCGATTTATAAGAAAAATTATATTTTATCAACTGGAAAATGCAAGAGTTTCTTATTGAATAATTCAAAATGTTTTTACAAGGGATCTATCAAGGATTTTATTGAAAGTCATGTTGTGATTGGAATCTAAAACAATATTTACCTGCTACTTTAATATTTCCATGACCATCCAGTAATAGATTTTCTGTCTTTAAATCACCTAAAGTGTAATCTTATAAAAACATAAGCAGAACGCTAATTTTCAACATACGATGCACCTGTAATTGGAAAAGAAAAGCTGATGAAAAATAAATAGGAACAATTTTAGTAATTTACAATATTTTTCGAATGAATGTATTCAACAGCTAGTACAAGCTGTCGAAATTTTTCTTTGGCTTTTGCTTCACTCAGGCGTTTCTCACGAACCAGTAAATCTAGAGAAAAATTTCGAATGACAAAAATTAATTGTTTTTAAGAAAATTGATCAACTCACCTAAAAGTTCACCATTGGCTGCATACTCGGTTACTAAATAAATTAGGTTCCTTGATTCCATTACCTGTAGACAGAGAGCATAAATTTCAGTTTTTTTTTCTTCTTCTGCTTTCCAACATACTTCGTAAAGACGGATAATATATGGATGCATTAATGATTTCATAATTACTATTTCACGTTCAAGTTTTTTGTGATCATTTGGATTCAGACGTGATTTATCTATTATTTTAATGGCTACCTGTCAAACAACGAAAGATAAATATGATTGTGTGAAACATTGTTTCTTGCTGTTTTTCTTCTTGTACCTTTTGATGTGTGTCACAATGTGTCGCCAATTTAACAACAGCAAAACTTCCTTTACCAATTGTTCTTTCAAGGAAATATTTTCCTATTTTCATTTGTCGACTAGACTGATATGACGTCAGCAAACCATTTCGCATACAACTATTCGATGTTATTGTAGATGTACGCGAATGAGCTGCCGATGATAAAGGTGATGCAGATGCTGATGAAGTTGAAGAATTTGGAATGGATAACTCTTGCGGGATAGTAGAAGGTATCGATGATAGTGGTTTCTCGCTAAACATCTTACATACAAAAAAAAGTACAAAGAATGTAGAGTAGAAAAGATTATGAACTGTACGAAAAAAACGTTTATGGTGTCAACAGAACAAAGCTTATCGATCGTTTTTTTAATAGCGAACTGTTGCAGGGTTGTGAACAACAAAGAATAATAGTCTGATTTTTTAAAAAGCGAACGAAAGAGAAATACAGTTACTTTGGTCATATGGAGAGGACATGTGTACTTGTTTATGTGCACATCTAATTTTCAAGTATACGTGCAATCGCATCATTCAAGAAAAGGCAGCAGATCGAGCAAGAGCGAGAACAGGAGCAAGAGAGAGAGAGAGAGAGAGAGAGAAATCTGAAAGAAAAGAAAGCAACCGGAGCCCTTTCCTTTCTCTTCTTAATGTGGTTTAAACGAGAGCAATCCATCAAATATTTTTTTGTCAGGTTTTTGCATCATTGTTGTTCGACATCGATAGCAACGTAATAAGAATACACAAAGATGTCAGAGCATCAAACATTCTACGAAGGAAACATGTTTGATCGTACCATACACCTATGCCTATGTATATTCAACATTAATTTATTTGGCTTCTCAATAATTTAATTCATACGAGTGAAATGACTAATAAGAGAAGAAGAAAATTATACTAAATAAACAAATCAGGCATTAGCCTTTATTCGTTTGCTTTTCTTCTTCGTCTTTTCTTTTTTGTTCGCGAATGTTTTCTGCTACAGGAAAAAATAATTCATTTATTCATTGCGACTGAAATAATTAAATATTTTTTCATGAGACATTTCTCTTTTAACAAATTAACAAAAATTGAAATCACATATGTTAATATCTACTCGAGGGAAAAACCATTATGTTTCATTCAACACAGGAAGGAAAAAAGGATCTCTAACAAGGTGAAGCATCATTAAGCTGGTAATATTTTCATACTTTTACTCTATGCTGATATGTCGGTATTATTTTCATAAACAAAAAATGCCCACGCACGTATTAGCCAGATTACTGAAGATTGTGAAAACATTCTATAGCACGTGTGAAAGCGTAAATACATCTTCAGCAGTAATTACATACTCCACTTAAGGAAATGTGTCAGTAAACACTTAAAAAATATTTATCAATATTCGTTCAAAAACTAACAGTGTACTGAGAGTACGGTTTCTCGTATGATTTAAAACGCCATGATACACAACAAGAAACTAACCTTATCTAAATCTTGCACTAAAAGGCTGTCTCTTGGTATTTTCAAACGAACGCAAGGTGATCATAATAGTGGATGTGTTTCATCTGTCTAGATCATAAGCGTACTCATATATATATATATATATTTTTTTTTTATGTGATTCCTGTTAGCATGGATCTATGGCGTATGTCCGCATTTATATATTTCTTCTATAGTCACTATAGGTGTCCTTGAACCTTAAAAATATTACACCGCGAAGTTAAAGAGTAAAATGTTCAAGTTCATTTTTCGTATATTGTTTTTCTTTTCTCTTTCTCTATTAGAGTAGACAACAGCGCGAAGGAAAAAGAGAAACATACCTTTCTTTTCTTGTAATAGCTTTTTAAGGCCACGTCATATTATTCTCTGTTGGTAGCCCATAAAGTATGTTTTAATGTGATTTTGTTGAAAAATCCAACAGATGTATCGAATATAAAGCCATAGAGTTTGTTTATACTGCACTGAGAATACTACAGAAGAAGCAGAATGGGGTCAATATACTTCTTTTTGTTGTGTTCTTTTTTTCTTGAGTTTTTTCTTTTTTTTTCTTCTCTCGCTCTGTTTGTTGCATCTCTGACTATCTGTGTTTGGTTTCTTTTTCTTTTTCTTTCTTCTTCCTCAGTGTATACGTACGCACCACACACACAAGCACACAAACACTAACAGCAGCATTATACTTCCGAACCACACAAAAGAAAAGATGAAAAATAATAAAAAGCTTGAAAGAACAGATATTAGATGCGAATAAACAAAAAAATCTAAAGAAGAAGAAGAAGAAGAAGAAGAGAAAGAGCTCGGAGTGTGTTCATACGTTGTTAATATTCAAAAAAACTTTGTAAAACAAGTTTGGTTTCATTCGGAAACAATAAGGCAAATAGATTTGACTGAATAATTACGATACCATGTAGAAGAAAATTTTCAAATAATGGTATTTGTTATTGTTGTTGATAATGAACATAAATGCATGATGTTAAACGTCATCGACGACAAGCAGATGGATGTATTTTCAAAAATAAATATGCGTCGAACGAGACTAAATATGTGTTCTGTTTAACCTAGTTGAGAAATGATTTTCAGAAGATGTCAATGTCTCATTAATTAGACATAATTTTAAATATTCAAACAAACAAAAAATAGAAAAGAAACTAAAGACATACTCTTCTTTATGTGCAAACATCCAAAGAATTATTATAGATACACGTATAATATATTATTTCCTTTTAATTTTCCTGGATATAAAAAAAATAAATAGGATTTATGTTTTCTCTATAGATTTGGTATTGAATCAACATGCAATGAATAATTTCCTGAGAAAAGTTTAAATAATCAATTCTAGATATTATGATATGTTTGTATCTTATCAATAGACGAGATTCTAGTCATAGTCAAAATAAACAAGCAATTTCAATTAGTTAAATAGAACTTTTGAGTTATGATTCAATCAAATATTGTTTATGACCGTGTGACTTCTCGACTTGACAGTTTGTTTATATCTAGGAAGAAAATGCCTGTTCGACTGGAAGACATCGACGAATGAAAATTTCCATGTACTTGTCAAAATTAAGGATTGTTGTTTTAATAATCAAAAACAAATAGACAACATATGGCAGACGTCCATTGAACGACATATTTCTTGACATTGTCTATTGTTCAATAAGATAATGGAAAAGCTACTGCAAATATTACCATTCAAAACGGTTAAATTCAACAAGTGAGCACGTTATGTATATAAGATGATAACTAGATTTTTGTTTTCTTTTGCAAACCATAAACTACTTTCGTCATAAAGCGTTAAAGTGATAATCGGCTTTAGTTTTCTTAACACTAGGAGTTGAAATTGTGTTTGCAATTCCAAATGATACAAAAAAATCAAAAGCGAAACTCTGTTAAATAGATCTTTGTTTTTTGGCATGTAGGAAAAACATTTCCATGAATTCAATTTGAATAAAACATCTCAAATTCATGATTTTATAGTTTTATAAATTAGACGCTAATTAATTCAGGAGAAAGGAAATTGAATGAAACCGGCATACTCCATTGTCTCCGGAGAATGATTTCAAACGGGCATTTGAGTATACAATCTGAAATTTGGACTTCCTCTTATATCAATAGTTTTGACAACCATATTAGCAGTAAGTTATCACCAAAGTGATATGCCCATGAGAAGCAATTCTTTGCATACGTGGTAGACACTCTTGACAACAGTTTATCACATATACCTTAGCAATGACATATCACGGACGTGGTTGACATTTCTCTCTGCATACATGGCAGATCGCATACCAGTAATGTGTCATTAGAATACAACAGCTATTCCGCCAACGCATTCCTTTAGGATAAACCAAACGTGTAGCACACGCCATAAAACAGAATCCTTGTGCCTTCTAGATGCATCACTTTAATCTCTACGTCAAGAACTTTTTTAATATTATGAATGATCCGTGTATCATGTAAATCGTCAACTTTCGGTTTTCGTCTATCGATTATTTAACATCGGAAAACTATGTACAATTCTGTATTGTAACTTTTTGTGTTGTTTTTTTTTCATTAAAGAGAATACAAGACGAATTGCGTTTTGTTTTTAATCTGACAACAAACGAAAAAAAAATGAAAAAGAAAAAAAATGAAAATTTATCGCAGTTTTTAAGGTGTTATTTGATATTCTTGAAATGGTTGAATACGATACTGAACAAGTGATTCGAGAAACCTAAAAATAATAAAGTAATTAACTTTATTTTTTGTCCTATAAATTTTTACCATTCCGGAGTAAGAAAATGAATGCCAGCATGAATACATTTTTCATACATTTCACGTCGATTAATTAAATATTCTTTTTCACAAAGAACAATCCGTGTTATACCTGTTTGTATACGTGCAAAATGTGAATCAGTTGTATGTTTAGCACCAGACAATTGAACTAGTTCAATTAATTCATCATTATTCATCATTTCTTGGCAACCATTGCATTTTAACATAATAGAAAAATTTTCCAATAATAAATTCTTGGGTAAATTATCTGGTAAAATACTTTGACGACTTCGTTGCATACCTGCAGAGAACAAAAACGAAAATTACACAGCGAAGTTCTTAAAAACAAACCATTATGATCAGATGAAAGTGTTAAATCTCCTTGGATTTCGAATGGTTTTTCATTTAGTATTCGGTTGGCTTTTAAACATGCATCAATCCAACGATATGTTACAATGTACATATGGCGCGCAACAGCTTGAATCACTTTTTTCGATAATGGACATACAAGTGTTTCGTCTTCTTCATCTGTTACTAAATGTGTCGAATGTTCGTCAACAGCATTCGATAATTCGATTTGAAATTTTGAACAAAAATCTTTCAAACGACCCTGAAAAGAAATTAAAATAAAATATGTCAATTGTTGCAGACAATAATGAAACCTTGGTCTACTTAGAAAAACGGAAACCTTGAAAATATACAAAACGAAGGTATCAATAAAAACCAATGAACTACTTCCACACGGATTTAATGTTACAACACAGACTTAGTGCTTTGGAGCATGCCGTTCCCTGCCACTCGTCAAACAACATGACAGACATCCTACAAATATTTTCTTGCTCCTTGGCGACTGCATTGATGACATCTGACACGTTGCATGTGAATAATGACTTTTTAGAATTAATGAATTGTTATCTTAAAGCGTACCTGCAGGATTAATTAAAATGATAGTGAAGAGTTGCAAGTCAAGCGCCTGGAGATAATTAATACTTTGTCTTTCACATTTTAATACTATGAGACATCGCACTAATAGATTTTATATAAGCCACATGAAGCCAGCAGGCAGGCTTTTAACTCTATGGAAACTTGATGTTAACAAAACTTTGTATTTTTCAATTAGAAAAATAAAATCATTTCTATCTCTATGGGAATATGATTTTAACACGGATGACTGATTAATAGGATAAGAAAAATACCAGAAATGTCATTTCAATTATATTCGTATCCCATCGATTACAGTAGTAGCGACTAATCATTGCACTCAAAAGAAAAACTCGTAAAATTATATGAGATCTACTATTGTCGAAATCGAACTTATGTTCTCGATAGAAAAATTAATGTGCAATTACCATTTGATCGTCATCAAGACAAGTACTGGTAACAACAATTTGTTTATCTCCATCATTTTCGTCTTCAATTTTAATTCCATTTAATAGAAATTCATGACTACCATTTCGTTTAAGATAATTCGTTGTTAATACTCGACTTGATGGCGTTAAAATTCTTATCGTACGATCCGATGTCAGTTCATCATCGGTCATAACCGATACTTTTGTTGATGTTATTGTTGTTTGATCAACGGTCGAAGGATTACATTGCACACCGATGGAACGGCAACATATACCATTAAATAATGGTAACGTTCGAGGTCCTAGAAAATACACGTTTTTACTTTGATGAATGATTTGCTTGTTTTTACCTCTTAACGATTCGGAGCGTTTTTTATTGTCATAAGCTATATGTTCCTCTTCATTATCATCACCATTCGTTGTATCGAATGTAGTTTGTAATTTAGCTTGTCGACGTCGAAGTATAGCACGTGCATTATTAAACCATGTTGTTACTTGATCATATGTTATTGATGATTGCTTAGCTAGGTCTGATTTTTCTTGATTACTCGGATATGGATGACTACGATGTTCTCGAAGCCATTTTTTCAAATAAGCTAAATGAATGATATATTTCGAATAAACTAGAATTGAAGATCAATATTTTACTTGTAGGAAACTTTTCTCGACTAGCTGAAAGTGCATTGATTAATATATGATCGATCTGTACACCTAAATTATCTTCATCGTTGGACGAAGATTCTTCGTTTTTAATATTTGTTTCATCGTCTACAGAGATTTTATGTAATTTTAGTGAAAAAAAATTAAAATAAAGCTGAATATTTACCTGATGCAGTGTAGCTTTGCGATGTACTATCAATATTAGTTTCGTCGTGTTGATTGTCATCGTAATCTATTGATTGTTCTTTTAAATTTGAAATTGTATCTTTCTTTTGTGGATCATCAAATTCTATAATAAATTAATGAGAAAGTTCATAGTTGTGTGTGAGATCGAGAAAATTATACTTAAAATGCGAAAAACAACATAAGTGCGTAACTACTTAATGTTTTCATACTTATCATTATTTTAAAAAATGTATAGTGAAAATTTCACATTTTTATCTTTCATATAACTTCTTTTTTAAAGTCTAACTAATTTCAAAATACGTATTACCCTGCAATGTTCTTTTTAGGCACTTGAAACCTTGTTATTTTGCAAAACATAGAAATAAAACATTTTTTTTATATCAAGTGGCCTTTATATTCAATCTGTTGCTAGCTTGGAAAAATGGTTGTTATTGTTGTTGCTGTTGTGTCATAATGTATGAGAAAAAATATGTCTGCCATCGAATGTCAAAAATACAAGTAAATAGATGTATAGACAAGTAAATTAGTCCGTATTATTTAGCCATGAAAATCGCGTTTACATATTTCCTGTCAATTGGCAAACGTTTCGTTTCCGTCACTGCTGAGAATATTACATTTTTCTCTTCTTCTAATGTTGATATGAAAAATATAGATACAAAAAGCATATTAAAATCAATTAATCCAAGCAGAAGTGATTTTCCATCTTACACCCAGGGATAAAATTATGAAAAAAGATTTTTTCATATTGTTTTAAGCTTTCCAATGATATCATCAAATCATAATTATTATCAGATTGCTAAAGAAACAACCTGGATGACAGTAAAATTCTAGTTTCTCATCACATGGAATGCATAAATATAATTGCTTTTGGTCTGGATAGAATGATAGTAAAATCAGATCTCGAAGATGTTTCCTTAGCCGAAATATGCAACTCCTAATATTATTTTCCTACCCATGTACAACAAAATCGTACAAAATCTGATTATAATTGATTGTTATGCGACTATAAATCTATTTTAATGGCACTATTATAATCTGATTTTTCAAACTTGAAAGGCAGATTATTCTTGATTTTGATTGTATTTTAATTGATTACCTAAAAAACTATTATAATCGATTAAACTAAAACCAAAATCAAAAATAATCTGCCGTTTGAGGTTGAAAAATCTGATTAAAATCCGATTAAAATAGTGCCGTTGTAATAGATTTTTAATCTGATTATTAATCCAATTTTTTTACATGGGTATTAGGAAAAGCTGTTTTGAATAATTTTGGTATCCACTGAATATGAACGATCGTACACAGTTATCGATTGCAAATGATGCTCATTAGCTTTCACTGCATTTTTCCTTTAGAGAAATATTCAATTTAATTATCTACCTATTTTATCATCTATCGATGAAGTACTGTCTACTCTTGGAATACTCATTGAAGTTGATGACATCATATTCATAGCCATCGTAGGTGCTGTATTTGGTTTTCCATTGAGTTTAATAAAATGTTTTCGACATAATTCATTTCGTTGCGCAGCAATTAAACATCCCGGTATGGAACAAATCGTACGCCAAACTACACCATCGAATTTTTTTCTTGAACCATTTTCCATTTCAATAATATCACCTTTATTCGGATGATTAATATCGACTGTTGCTGGAATAACAGCTATTGATAGACGACGATTAGGTTTCGGTATAGAATTTTTATTCATTCCATCGTATACGAATGATTGTAAATGATTACCACCAGATGACGGAGATTTTAGACGACGACGTTTGCGAGATGGAGATGGAGATGAATTTATAGACTGTACTAATGAACTTGGAGGTTCGGGTAAAATTTGCTGTTCAGATTCAGGATAAAGTACTGATGGACTGTTAGCTTTTCCGCGAAATTCTTGATAATGTTGTGGACATAAACTAAAAAAATATGAAAATCTATGTTCAGAATAAACAATTCAATTTCAAAACTAACCCATTTTGATATTCAAGACTTCCAGGTGCGACTAAAGTGCAATTTGAGTTACTACAAACACGTCGATACTGTCGACCATCGTATTTTTTTCTAATACCATTCGGCAAAACAATAATATCACCTTTTTTTGGCTGTTCTTGTTCGGATGAGACTGGCTGTGTTACTGATAATTCACTATCATTTTTTGATATTTTACGTTTTTTTAATGCGGCTAAATGTGGTTTGCATAAACCTTGACTTTGAGTGTAGTAACTACAATTTAGTTTTGAACACATACGACGCCATGATGAACCATTATATTTTTTTCTTGTGCCATCACTCATTTGCATAATATCACCTGTGTTGGCTCGCACTGGTAACGATGTTCCTTCTGGATATAATTGATTATCATGTGAAATACTTTTTTGTGGTTTTGATAAACGCGTACGACTATGATGATTATTATAATTATTATTATTGTTATTATTGTTATTATTATTACGAGAAGATGTGTTATTTATATAAGATGCAGACGTTACGGGTAAAATACGATCGGATAATGAACGAAGATCATCATCGACTTCGAGATCCATCGGAATCTTAAATATTGGTAATAATATATTTTTGTATCAGAAACATACGACACCCTTCAAACATTTGTTGACAAACAAGACCTATATGGCAGATAGAACGGTTAAATTTATCCACCAATTAAACTTTATTGCATAGTCTTACCTCAATGTTGGGTAATGATAAGTGGCGACCTCTATCAGAAATGCTTGCTTATTTTTTTTTCGAAAGGTTATCTTAATATTTGAATTTCTATACAGGATTAAAACAAAGATTAGCTCCAATTCAGAATCTTCATATGTTTTAAAATCAAACGATAAAACAATGCAAATTCAAAAGATTTACCATTCGATATTTTATTTTAAGAGACGATAGTGTATTATTCAAAAACCAAAATTATTTAATTCCAATAACAGAACATTCATTTTATGTTACAGGAGCTGCATTTTTTTCAATGTACACCGATTGAAGAGAGTGAATTTTCTATTTATATTGCTGAAAAAATTGATTGACAAATATAAGTATCCGTGTCTGCTGTTTTCACTGTCAGTTATTCTCGGCATTCTCGTTTTCTGCTAGATTATATGTTGTTTGATTGGTATCATGATAGGAATTTTTCAATTCTGCGTAATAGCACTGATCGAATCAAAAATATTTTGTTGTAAACAAATCTTTGTTTTCGACGAATAATATTCATGATGATTATCTTTTAGTTTGGCTTGTAGAAGCATCGAGAGTATCTATCATGTCTTGAAATTATTGTGAGTATTCTCATTCATCTCAGCAAGATTCAATATAACTTTATGAAGAAAAAAAAACAGAGAATTTGCTTCTCTTATTTGCTAAGGATTCATTTGATCATAAAAAGAAAAGTTTTTATTTCAAGGAATCATAAAAAATCCGATGTTCTGTTTTGATGAAATTATTTATAGAATACACGTAAAGGAAAGAAAAATGCAATGTTTACACACGAAAAACAGCAAATTTAATACATCTATGTCTTATATCGACTTTTTGGATTTCTCTCATATTATTGTAAATCAAAATGTTATATTCTTGTGCCCATTGAATTCACATGCATAAACAGATTATTCGTACGACTTGATATTTTCGTTATATTGATTGAAAGGCTATTAGAATGAAAAATAAAAGAGCATAAACATGTGTCATTTTATACAAAAAATACTACTTGACAAATAATTTACATTAAGGATTATAAGAGTATAAAAAGACTAAAGACAAATAATAAATCAACATCAGGTTCTATTTTGACACTTAGAGTTCTGCACATCAATTTTTTCAAGACAATTATTCTGCATTAGATCACGATTTCACGCATTTGTTCTTACTGCTACCAATATATTAGCAGTCGGTCAGTCGATAACCAGCTGGTTAAGTACAAAGCGGACTACTGGTCGTTTCATCCTGAGAAAATAAAAAGCAGTAATCAATCTGTACTACAAATACCACAGTATCCGTATGAGTTTTACGTCTAAAAATAGTTCGTAGACTCCGCAATACTTCATATCATGCCATTCTGTTGTGTAGTACGTAATGTACTGACTATTAATAGAAACCATATTCTTCACATGGTGAACCTTGTGTACCTGTCTCGAATTTCTGTACAACCATCGAATCGTTCTCATTTTTTATATCAATGTAAAATTTATTGAATAATAATCTTAATTCAAAGAGCCTATTTAGACTTGAGTCATTTATGTAGATAACACATTCGAATATTATCTAAAAACGAGATAATTTCTACCATTTAATTAACAGTTTACTCCCAGATTGACATTAGTTACATTACATTTGCACTATTTACGTCGTTCCGATCGTTTTTATTTCTTTTAATCATGCATACAGAATATGGGGGAAAATATTCGATAAGAAAAGATCATTTTACTTCAAAGGTGAGTTAACAACGAAAATAAATGTGACGAGTACATGAATTTTTATCATTCGGACAACAGCATAGGATCTATTTTAGCAATTAGTCTGACTAATCCATGAATAAAGCGGCTTACCTGACTGAGTAAATCGTTTGTTCATATTGCTTATAGCTCTGAGTGCACGATCGAGTTCTTATTTCTACTTGCATCGAAATTGTTTTATTGAAGAATGAGTAAAATTCATAGCATTCTACTCAGAATAGACCCTGAAAACTTCATAGTAAACCGGTATTCTAGACAAGATTTGAGATCTAACCGTATTTAGAAACGATCGGAACAAGAATTTTATTATTATTGTTCGCATATGTTTTATGTCATATTTTTTGAATGCTAATTAACTATCGGTTTATTCATGTTATATACTAATTGTGTTCTATGAAAATGATGGTTATATTTGGGAATGTTTTTTTGTGGATTGATTATGTTTCGCAACTTTTCATATGATCCGTATGGCTAATTTGGACAATCGAAATCAAGATGTTTACATGTTTGTATATTAAATTTCTTCTTTTGATCTATTTCATAGAAATAGAATATCTCTCTATTAATTCGGTTATGCGAGATTAATCATGCAAGGTTAGAAAATTTATCGATGTTGAGGACATTTCTTTTGTATGTGTATGTAGACACATTGTTTACTTCCTTTCGAATGCTTTTATTCTTTTATTCTTCTTTATTGTCATTCTGAATGCGACGGGGACAAAAAAGGAAATGAATAAGTGCGAAATGTCTTTCAATTTTCTCAAAGAGTATATAAACATGCACTTAAAGAACAATGCAACTGTATCGTTCAGCATTGAATTTCATAGATGTTGACAAAGAAACGGTCTGGTGATGTAGTTTGAATACAAAACAAGACAGATATCAACCGAAATTTGCTTTTTTTTCTTTGAAATAAAATCGTTTCTCATATTTAACAATCGAATCCATACTCTATACAATTTTCTCATTATATCTAAGCTCGATAATGAAAAAGTGAAACAAAATCTTTTGCTCGACAGAAATATGAAACTATTCAATTGCAGTATTGTCGAAAAGACTCATATGGTTCGTGTTTTTCAGCCTCTCTTCTTTTCAATGCTATCATATTTTGCATGAATGCATCATTAATAAACGTTAAAAAGCCTATTATGCGAAACCCACATGGTATGTATATTTAACTAAGGTCAATCGACGACCATGAGTGTTGTGTGAAGTATCAAAAACTTCACTACAATTAAATGACTGCAGCCTATTAGAATTAAGACCAAGAGATAAAAAATAAATGTAATCACGATATTCTTGATCCGTATTTACGTTTAATCTCAGATATGATTCATTCTTGTAAAGATAATAAAAAAATTTGAAGAAATATGTATATTCAGATAAGCAATCTGGATAGTATGATATAGTTCACGAAATTTAAAAAAAATATTCTCTACGTTCGTTGTTGTTGAATTGCTTGTTTCGTGCACTATTTGAGTTCCCGACCAATAATTACCTATAGACGCTATCGTGGCTATTGATTCCTTTTATCGTGTGCTCTCGTTTTTTTCTATCACTCGTTTTGAAAAACATGTTTTTTTCTCTGCGTTCTTTTCTTGGATTTTATGTTCATTCTGAGAATAACAAGAATTCTATGTAATAGAAATGCATACATAACGAAGAAGATCTGGTAATGACAAGAAGAAAATGAGACCGAACATAAACATGCGGTTGCGTGTTCCAACGGATATTAAGCGATACTACTAGCAGTTATTCTAGTAACTATAAAAAATTGTTTTTCTTTGCATTTCTTGCATGCATATGTTAAATACCAACATGCTACATGTAACGCTCATACTGATAATACTTGACTTCAGGTTTAATCGTTCATATCAATCACTATATGCTGACATCTAGCCATGAAAAGTCAATGATCAAATAAGAGATTAATATAAAGCAATAGCAACAGCTGAATGAGTAAGTCACATATCGATAAATGTATTTTGAAGGAGTGCGTTCAAGTTAAACTTGAAAAATTGATAGAACGTTTCATGATAAAATACCCTATTGATTTCTTTCTTTTTATGCACAATGATTCACCGTGACTGATTTATATTCATCATTCTGATCAATAAATATCTATACTTTTAATGCCTTTAAGAGTATAATGCAATGTTATCTTCGTTTGCAACTGCATCAACATCATCATCGTCATCGCCTTATGAAACGTCATCATCGAGATGGAAATTTAATTTTACCACCAATTCATTTGCAGCGTTATCCGCAATTTTTTTCGCATCATATGTTCCTTCGCCCCAAGAGTCTTCGATAATCAACGTAGCGGAGAAACGAAAGACAAGTAGTGTGTATAATTATCGATGTGAGTATCTCAAAACAAAACACAGTGGTCTCGATTCGACTTTTGCATTAACGAAAATGAATTAGGCTTTTTCTTTTTCGCTTACGTACAGTCTCTGTCTAAAAGGTGTAATACGTACATATTGTGCGAAGGAGTATGTGACTTGAGAAAGAACGAAAGAGAACGAGAAAAATGACGAGAAAGAAAAAAAATTGATTTTAACTCTCAAATACTCGTTTCGTAAGGATATATAATATGGACGAACGAGTAGTATCGCGCGTTATTTTTTCTCATACTGATTTATTTGATACCCTTTGTTTTGAGATATACATACTTATTAATATAATTAAAGTCAAATGGTCAACAACAGAGGTATACAAGTCTCTCGAATTTCTTCATCATAAACAAAACAAAAACAATGTAGATATTTGCTATTTTTTTTCTGTGGTTTTTGTAGTGTATACCAATGGTAACTCTCATCATGATGGCAATGCTGATGATGAACCTTTACGAATACTGCTATTTTCCGAAAGTTTTCCATCGTTTACAAGCGGTGTCGTACGTCGATTTAAAGAAATCGTAAGACGCCTAGTTAAAAGACGACATCATATTCATATTATTACCGGTTGCAATGTAAGTTGAATACCATCATCATCACTATTATTATTATTATTATTATTATTATTATTATTATACAAGGATGTTGAAAGCTCTAATCCCTGTTTTACTATTATTTAGAATGCTGTTTCGTGGACTGAAGGAAATGAATTACTTGAAAAATATGTAACATTTACCATATTGCCATCGACAGAGTTTACAAATAAAATTGATTGCGCTTGTCCATTTCTTTTCCCTAATGTAAGTGCTACGGTTTGTACCTTGACAAAACGTTTATGACATGCAGTTATTGTATTTCTGTCGATGAATAAGAAAAAGAAAATGATTCATAGAAACATGAGAAAAGAAGTGATTTACTCAAGTTATTCATTTAATCGTAATAAAAGGAAAATTTTTTTTATCAATAGATTAACATAAGAAATAACTTGTGAATGTGACAAAAGTTTTGTGCGATATTGCAAAATTTTTACAACACGTATCTCTTTCGTCTTTGATTGACAAACAATATTTTGATTGAGATATGACAGAATTTATTGTAATACTTAACGAAAAAGAAAATAGAATGAGAATTGATTGGTAACAAAATCTTCGAGAAAGTAATTAGTCATTGCTGAATAATATTTATTTTGAATACAAAGCCATATAGCTAGTATTTTATCAAAACTGAAAATTAGATGATACAAAAGGACAATATTTACTTGACAAACAAAAGAAAAATGTTATTTTAAATAATTTATCTATAGAAATAAAACTCAATGAAAAAGTGAAATTCTCGATTCTTCAAAATCATTGGTGTCTTGAAAGATGTAGAGAGTGTTCGTAGCTCTTCGACATTGAACTAGATCTACGTTTAAAACAGTATTTCATCGAAAATTGAATATAGTTTTTCGTTCTTAATTTTAACCTTTCGAAAAATTTAGTTCATTGTTCTCGTACTTCAATATGCTGTTTTTCTTTCAGCCGATACTTTACTCAGTAATTCGTCGAATATCGCCTGATGTTATTCATATTATTGAACAAACGCCAGCCGCACTTCTGTGTGGTGCCTTTGCAAAAGCACTCGAGATTCCTATAGTTTGGTCATCACATACAAATATAGACTTTTATTTATCAACATACATTCGTCCATTTGCTGTCACAATGACAAGACGTATCTATCAATTTATACGCTTACAACATTTATGTTTTTCTTCAATAAATCTAACTGTGAGTAAAGATTTTGCTGATTTTATGGAACAAACCGGTATACCGAAACCTGTTATTGTTTGGAAAACAGGTGTTGACTCAGATTTATTTAATCCATCGCGATATTCATCGGAAATGCGCTATCGTATGTTTGGTACGTATAATAATTATACAAAAGAACAAATGGATACAATTACATTATTTCTTTGCGTTGGTCGAATATCTCCGGAGAAAAATTTTGAGTTTTTGTCTCTCGTATTAGAACGTATTCCAAGTCAAACATTTCTATGTATTATCGGTGATGGTCCATATCGTCAGACACTCGAACCGAGATTTCCTAAGGATCGCGTTCATTTTTTTGGTTTTCTCGGCGGCGATGAATTAGCAAGTGCATATGCAAGTGCCGATTATTTTATATATGCATCAGTTAGTGAAACATTCGGACAAGTCTATTTAGAAGCCATGGCTTGTGGTACGCCGGTCATAGCTGCTGAAGGTGGACAGTTAAAAGAATTTTTTGTTAATGGCGAACACGGTTACTTATGGGAGCCTGATGATTTAGATTCAGCTGAAGAAGCTGTACGTGAAGCAATGAAAGATCGAAAATATCTGTCCACGAAAGCAAGAACACAAGCATTAAAACATTCGTGGGAAGCAGCTAGTGATCAAATAAATAGTATTTATCACGATGCTATTAGAAACCATAAAGAGCAAGAAAGTAATAAAAAGACGAGTAAATTAAAACATATATGGCATTTAGCTTACTATTTTTTTATATGGTTAATTTGTAATTTATGTGCACTATTTTTCATGGCGCCGTTTATTCGAGTTTCGCCACCGCAATCTGTTACAACAAAAAAGATTAATAAACTCAATGGAAATTCTGTTGAAGAACAACACAATTCTTTAATGACAAAAAAGTCGTCGGTTTCTTAAGATTCAATTTCAGCATTCGTTTTTTCTTCTCTTTGTATGTCATTCTCTCAAGATAACAATATAATCAGACTGATATAGCTTAATTACTTTTGGTTTTCTTCGTCTCTCGTTTCTTTTTTTCATAAAAAGTAAAAATTGTTCAACCGATTTGTTTAGCAACATTCTGTTTTTTTCTTCTTTTCTATAATACGTCATCAATCTGGAGATAATCACAGAGGGAAAAATTAATATACGCGTTTCTTCTTTTATTTTAATTTTTCTATTCTTCCGCTGTTATGGTGTAAGCTTTTCATGATAAAGAAACTGACCACAATGTACTTGTTGATGCATGACGTACAAATGAACTCTGTTGTGTTTCTCTCTATTCTTCTTTCAAATCTCTACTATTGCATTATTTGTGTCTATTTTGTTTTACTCAGACAAAACGAAAACTCAAAAGGATTTATTTCTGATAAAAGAAAATAAACATGCTTGAATTACACCTTTTTTTATATATCTACAAAACAAAACAAAACGATTAATGTATTATATTACTAATCATACACAATGAAATGTTACAAAACGACAAGTAACTCCTGTCAATCCGATCATTCGTTCGATAGATGATTTATCACTGGCCTTAAATAATAAGTTGTCTCTTTGCTAAGGTCGAGTGCGTCCTGTAGAACTTGAAATCGTGTATTCGAAAAACAAAATCGAAATAGATCATGACGACCTAGAGCTAATTTATAAATTCCTATGAATCATATCGTATAGGTAAAATAGTGCAAACCCAGGTTGACCAAAACGGACTCGTTTACATCCTGTTTATCGACGGTAAACAATGCCAAAAACGGTATATTTAAGGCAGTCAATAGGCCGTATTTACCCGTATTACCTGGCACAGTAATACGGCACCATAAATGGGACTGAATTTTCATGGTTTACGGCTGTTTGTGCTCCTTACTCTCATAAGCATACGGTCCGTATTACTGCGCCATATATTACGGCAAACTTTCGCCCGGAAAATTTTCGTAAAGTAGCCGTATACGGACCGAACTGTTCGATCTGGGAAGGTTTCTTTTTTAGATAGAGTGCATGTTATCTATGTGTTGACGGTAATATTATTAAGTAAGTATTTATTATAATTGTGAGAATCAAAATCATGTACGTGTCGTTAAACGCATACGGATTATTCCCCAAGGTCACCATTTCTTTTTAATGATTAAACGAAACACTTATTTGTTTCATTAAAAGATGCTTTTTTTCTAAACGACAAAGCGAAACATTTCATTTCGTGTTAAGAAACATTTTTTCCTTTCTACAAATGCGTATTTGTGTTTATCACAGAATGTTTGGTACGCACGAGTGTTTTGATATATAGTCCAAGTTAAGCCTCTTCACAAAAAGGTCCGTCGTTGATGTCTAATGAATACAGGTAAAATAATAATATAGTTGCAACGAAACGCAAGTACCTGTTTTAAATCAATTATTTTCAGGGATTTTATATCCGAATGAAGATGTATAGAGGAAAAATTATTTATGTAAACAATTCTAAAGACTAACTGATTATTTTCATTGCATATCTTTTTACGTCAAACGAACTGGTGAGTACGTAAAAAAGGCAAGAGTAAACATTGCAGATAACATGAAGGAATGGAACAAATTAATACTATCCCTCAGGAATTTTCATCAATAGATTTTCGGCGATGATTTTGTAAGCATCGTGAACAGTGATTAGAAATTGCGTTAAATAAAAAAGACTGCTCAAACTTTTTTTTTCTATATTTCATATTTGCTATTCCTCATAACTTATTGTCAATTCAACTGCCAGCATTTGTCCACAACACTTTTAATAGAAAAAAAGCATATCGTAACCTAGATGCATGATTGAAATACAAGAATAAAGAACGAGAACCACTCAAAAATCGCTAGAGGTCAATCGAGCCAGATAAGAAATTTACCCGAAACCATATTGAATAAAGCGCTATATCTCATTTCTACACGGTTAGCAAACAAATATCTATTCCACTTTTGTTTGTCGATATAAAGCGATGCTATGTTTTCTCTTTGAATCGTTTCCGATTAAACACTATAAAGAATTTCTCTGTAACTGTGTCACCAATTAGCATGGCCTTGTCAACATTGATTGTTCCTTTTGTCTTATATGTATAAACAAATATGAAAGTAATTTTCTTAAAATACGATGCATATTCAATCAATCAATCAATCAATCGAGAACAATTATCTCATCACCACCAACTGAGATGAAAGTATTCTTCTTAACTATACAATTAAATTTAACAGATGCTCTCTTCCTTTTTTTTTTGTTAATATCATAAGCATAAATAATTCGTTGTTTCGAATTTTTTGATAATTAACCCTGCTGTTCTCTTTAAATAAACTAAATCATACAATGATTATATTGATCTCTGAATAAATACTCATGGGTGTATCAAACGCATATATATATATATATACACATGTCTACTCCTTCCGATCACCTGACTGAATTTTCTGTGTGATTACTTTCTCCCAAACAAAAAGCAAAAAACAAACAAAAATTTCTCTTCTGCTTGTTCAAGCATAAGACGATGAGGTTCTCGCATTTTATTATTTGTACAGAAATACCAACATACACATATAAATAAAACACCAAAAAAAAGCAGAAACAAAAGGGTGAATTCAACTGTTACTCGGTCAAACAACGAATCTGACATAATGAATAAATAGTAACTCGAATAAATTGAATTTTCATTTACAAAAATGCCTTTCGATTCTTTTTACACAACGCTTACATCGCACTTCGCAACACCAATGAAATTGACAATCACAATCTTCTTCGATCGTCGAAATAATTGTTTCATAACCACGATCACAGCATAGCACAGAACATGATCCGGCCTCATTGGTCGTCAAATTACATTCGCGTCCTTTTGTACCTAATGAGCCAAGCTGAAGATTTTTTTCACAAAACGACGGTGACATATGAATATGAATAAGATCAGTTGTATTAAATAATTTCTGTGAAGCTTTACGTGGCTTAAGAATGTTCATGGCACGATTGAATCGGACTTGTGTTGCACTGGCATATTTTGTTCGTAATTCCGAACCAATAATACGAAAATCTGGTAGTGTACGCCAACAAACACGTAATGTACATGAACCACTTACACCATGACATTTACATGTCAATTGAACATTTCGTTCGACACTCTAAAACAAGAAAATATTTTGTTTAAAAATACTGAATAATTTTTCTTTTCTCTTCTATTTACTTGTCGTCCAGCTTCATTATTATGTAAATTAACCAAACTTACAATACGACGTGGAGTCATAAATAATTCTTGTCTATCAATAAATGATACACTTATGTTTCGACCGAATTTTAAATCATCCGAACAGCCACCCCATTCGAAACCGTCACTTGACATTGGCGATAAGGCAGCATTGGTTGGTGGTTTCGTTGTAGTTGATTGATATTTGACCATTGCGTCCGTTGATACTTTCGGCTGACTTTTATCGCATCCACATTCACGTAATTCACCTTTTGAACAAGCTTTTGCGATATTATGCATGACCGCAGCAGATGTAAGTGCATACATAAAAGCAGTTTCAGGTGTTTCTAAAAAAATTTCAAGTAGTCTAATTAGACACTTCTTCTCAATATGCTGTTTTGTGGGTGAAATAAAAAGTATGTTTAGCTCGAAGGTAAATTACATGAACACAACACACTGAAGAAAAAAAAGAGTCATGAGTGTATTCTCGTCTCAAGCTGTTGTATCCTGATGACGACATCAAATAAATCGTATGCAATATGATGTAACTAACTCAACATCATGTAAATGTAAATATCTTATGACTTACTTCTTAAAATAAGTTTTCCTAATATTTCTGGTTGATTAAATAATGAACAATTCCATCGTTGATTACGAAATTGATATTGACATTCATCAATAGCCAAACGTAGTGAACGATGAATAATAGAGAAAATTTTTGGATTTGTTTGACATAGAGAACGTTGTTCAGGAGTTAGAAATTTTAATGATGAACAAAATTGATCTTTTTCCAAGAGTTGATTCGCTGCTGGTTGTGACGACCATAATTTAAATGATGGTAGACCAAGTGACCTTAGCAAAAACAAAAGGAAAGGACATTAATTATAGACATTCTGATACAATTTACTATTCATAGTGACTTGAGCTATGATTTACTCAAGGCAAAATTGTTTAAATACTTACCACCAAAAAGCAGAAGTAATTTTAATCGTCGTAATAAAAATAAAGACAAGTTGTTGATAATGTAATAGAAGCATTTTAGATGTAATTGAATAGAACAAAAAATCCAATGTAATAAATCGATTGTATGACTACTTTCGATACTAATGACAAGTAAACTCAAATATAGTGTTTATATACCTTGTTATTGATCGAAATAGAATAAGATGAAGTGAACCATTGCTCTCCTCTCTTTTTTCCTCCCTTGAAGAGAGAGAGAGAGAGAGAGAGAGAGAGAGAGAGAGAGAAAGAAAGACATTCCTATGGACAGCTATTTTTTCTCTCTTCGTCTCTCTCGCTGTTTCTCAAGGAAAAAACGACAAGGTGAATGAGAAAGAAAAAAAATTGATCGTCCTTTGAAATTCAAAAGGAAATAAAATATCCGGTTATAGAACAGTTTGTTTGCTCAGTGATCACTTTTTACGTAGACGAATCTGAAAAGATGTTTCAATAATTCAATGTAATCAATATATTGAAGTGTTCGTTGAGCAATCTTAATCTTTTTGTCTGGCCGATATTTAAACTTCAAAGTCGAGTTTCATGCTGACTAGTAGTGATTAAATTGCTCTATTGGATATAGTAGGTATGAGCTCAATATCATCCTTAGTACATCTGTCTACGTTTCTCTTTTTTTTCTCTCATCATTGAGTCTTTGAAAATTTCAACAGCTGTCTGTTGATGTAAGATCATAATAATTACTTTGACAACAAACGGTATCATAACGTTCATATAAGAACAAGAAGCAACGGCGTGAACGAGAGCCCTTTGACCAGTCGTTATACGCGTTACTGCCAGGTTGTTTCAAGCTTAAACAATAAATTTTTTATCACCTCAATCATACAGATTAATCAGATAAGTGAGAAGTGATAACAAAACAAAAGAGAATGAACATTTGAAAAAAAAAGAGGCAAGGCTGGATAAATTAATTTTTTTTGTTTCTTCTCTACAGGATATATATTGATCAATATCATGTAATCGGCTTAGTAAAGTTGTTTAATTTCTACGCGATAATATCATGAGAGATCGAATAAAATGATGTTTGCGTTTGTTAGAAAAACAGTTAGAGATTAGGATCGAACCACAGGGTCTTTTTGAAAATAAATAAGATCATGTAGAAGTATGTGTGTGTGTGTGTGTGATACATGGTCATTCACACACACACACACATCGGTCTTGAATTCTTTCATGGGTAATTTGTTCAGTTAGCTTTTTTTCGAGAGTCGAAGAAAAAAAGCCTGAATGTCAACGTATTTGTCATAGATAATTAACGTTATAATCGATGAATTGCTTTTTATGCGATATAATTGACGGCTAATACAGAATGTGTTAGTTGACATGAGACAGTATTTTAGTAATTCACTCTTAAGAATAGGAGAATTTTGCGACGATTAATTTATCAAAAAGTGTCAAAATTCATATCATCAATAGTAAGATAACGTTATGTCGTTGAATAATTATGTGGCTATCTTTTTTCTACGGCCTACTTATCCAAGATCATGGATAATTCTATGAAAAAATTCAAGGTGATTGATGACAAATAAAAATTGCATAAATCGGAAACAAAACAACATTCCTTCATTTTAACCACAGTTTCTGACATCAATCAGGTGAATGATCTATTGAAAGAGACAATCACTTTAGAATTGATGTCATTAACGTTGACAAAAAGTAATGATTTAATGAGTCTTTTGATGAAACATCTTTGTATCTATCAAAGAAGAGTTCAATTAACGTTGGCTCGGAATAATTGTTAGTCAATGTCCAAAGGGAGGGATACTTGACTTCTTTTCTTATTGCTGAGAAAATAGAAATTCATCTTATAACAATTAGATATTGATGTGATTGTATGCCGAAAGGTGCGAATAGAGTATGGCGGCATCGATCTTTTCTTCTCCGATGGACTTGGACCACCCGGGGATCGTGCCATTGGTACACAGTGAAAAATTATCTTCTCTGACAGATAAAACAAAATCAATCCAAAAACTACATTCGGTGTTGAGAGACATATTGAATTCTAAATTTACCATTGGCATACAACAACAGCTGGAAAAGCACAGCCGGTTGAAATTTGTGATTCTACATGAAAATGCCTTAGAAAAAGAAGCAAATCAACTTTGTATGCAATATTTAAAAGAAAACCTTCATTCCAAACGAATTAACAGCGACAATCGAATATCTGTTATTCATTAGTTTTTCAATTGTTCTAGTTTATATCAGCTTCATTTGAGTAATAATTCTTCTTGGTACACTATAGTAATTTACGGAAAGTTGCTTTAATTCAGGGTGAAGGTGAGCATCTGTTTTCGAGAAACACGGAAAATCAATATGCAAGACTATAGCTACAATTATGTCTTCTCTCTAGATGTAATCAGCATTCGTTCTATAAAGTTTTAATGCTAGAAATTTGTTGGCATACACCACTGCAATCAAATGGTTTCTTTTCTTTTTATTGCTTTAAGATGAAGGTTACGGATTATAATGATCGTTTACTTATATTTCCATTACTTTGATTAATTGTAAAACGATACACATGTTGTAGTGATAATCATGAAATCCATTGCTAAACTTAATCAATTCTTAAAAAATTTAAAAAAAATTAAAAATCACTCACACTTCATAAAATAGCGCCCTCTGTCGTGCATTCGGATGGTCTGTGAACCAGCCATTCATGCTCATCATACATTTTGTCTACCTACCACTGCATATGTATTGATGTAACAATTTGAACTTTTCTAGAAAATTTGCCAGAGAAAATGTCGGTTGTTGACAAAGATTATCGTGAAAAATGTTGGTTACACCGTGACGATTATTGGGAATGTCTGGATACGAATAAAGAAGAAAAGGAAAAATGTTTAAAATTTCGTCAATTATTCGAAACAAGTTGCCCACCAACATGGGTAACACATTTTGATCAAAAACGCAAATATGATATATTCAAACGACAACTAGCACTTGGCCAAGTCGAAACAGATAAATTAAAGTCCATAAAACAACAGCCAACACCTTGATTAGAATGATATCAACCGTGTTTCTTTTGCCTAGTGTTTATTTTTTTTCCGATGATTTCTGCGACTGATTGTTCTAGTAGAATTTTTTTTGTTGAAAAAAATATACGGTTTAAATCAATTTATAGAATTCTTTTTGTGTTTTATAACACCTGGTGTAGAGAGATGAAAATATTTAGCATTCATAAATTAGAAGGAATGTCCGATGTAAACATATTCTTGGAGTTTTGCAAAATTGAGGTTCTTATATATTTATCAGACTTCGATTATAAACTAAAGTAAAAGCGTACTGAATCTTTAATGTAGGATTAATTTTATTTCAATAGATTAAATGTTTCAATAAAATATTTGTTTTTAAAGTCTAAAAATCGATCAGTTTCATCTTTTATTTTATTTTGAATTTTACTGCTTTATTTTTCATTACTTTTATTGTTGTTCGAATTGTTAACAGAAGTGTAATGCATGTCAATACAAATAAAATTGTATGCTCCGTATCAGGAATAATAGCATGATCTTTAAAACGCGGTAAAATTCGATGATGATTTGCATGATATTGTTTATATTGCGCCAGTTTTTTACCATTTTCATCCGTATACCAGAGACCTTTTTCAAAAAAATACGGTAACCACCATGTAAATATTTGTCCCGTAGTAAAAATCATTAAATATGGCATATAAAGTATCATTGCCCATTTAATTCGATGATAATAAACGTAAGCAGCCGCTAAATGTGGCAATGAATTTATTTGAACAATTAAAAAATAAGCATTTTGTCCAAATAAATCACGATGATGACCATGCGTTGTATAATTTTTTATTTCTACTTGCCATGCGAGATATTCGTAGAGAAATAAAATAATTTGAAAAAACCATGCTGTTGAGAATGACATTTTATTTTGCTGAAGTGATGGCGCGGTCAACGTTGATGTGTAAGTATTTTTCAGGACACAAAAAAAAACGTATCTTTAATTCTGATGAAATGTACAGATTGTTGTGGTTGATAACATAGAGTCAGTTTTTTTTATCTATATGACATATGTGTGCTTTTACTTATCAGTGACTGAAGGAAAAAAAACACGTGTTTGCATAGTGAACACAGAGTTTTTATTCACTAATTAAAATCTATGAGTTTTCGTACAATCGTACTTACCGTTGATAGAATAAAAATATTTGCCGATTAGCCGTTTTCTTGCTGTTGTTGGTTCGTGCGAAAAGAAATGAAGGATTATTGCAACAGTGAACGCACTATTAAAAGAAATCGAATACGCTTTCCAATCGGAAGAAGCATTCATCGATAGGCAACCAATTAACTGAATTTCCAATTGGAAATGAGCAGTATTCATTATTTTGAGGACGAAAATTATCTACTACATCTATTGAATCTACACATGACAGAAGACACTTGTGGTAATAATGATACTCCATCGTTTCTGAAAGCTGTAGTAGAATTGAAAGAGTTTCAACGTCCATCAAAAGACTGAACAGCCATTGTTCTTTCCTTATTTAAACAGTTCTTTTCGTGCGATTAGAAATTTATTAAAAAAAAGAATAAGAATTTTTTTTTGCAAAGCCGTTCTTCTTTTGTTATCTCAAATAATTTCGATTAGATTATTGAATTTCTCTTCGGCATCCCGATCCAAGATAATCTCGGATCGCTTGAATACCCAATTGACAAACATTTAAGGGTGGACTCATCAATGGATTATCATCAATGTTCGATGATAATGGATAATTTGCCCAATCTAAATGTCTTAATTGTCCGAAATGCAATGGCAAACGTTTGAGTTCATTTTTTCCCAACCACAATGTATGTAATTCGAGTAGATCACATAAAGGATCAGGCCATTCACTTATTTTATTGTTGTATAACATTAAAGTTCTTAAACGTTTCAATTTCGATAATGTCGGTGGTAGAACACAGATTCGATTACAACTTAAATCGAGAAATCTCAATGATTCCATTTGACATATAACCAGTGGGAATGCTTGAAAACAATTCGATGCTAAATGTAAACTTTCTAATCGTGTTAATCTTTTATATGATAATGGCAATGTTTGTAATCGATTACATGAAACAGTCAGACATTCAAGATTTTTCAGTTCTCCTATTTCATTGGGTAATGACGTTAAACCGTTGACATCGAGATTGAGAACGCGTAAACGATATAAATAGCCGATTGCATGTGGAAGACGTTCAATACGAAAATCAAGACCGGACGTGCGTTCAGTTGACAAATCGAGAATTTCCAATTCGAATAAACCAAAGATTTCTATAAAAAAAGGTATTCAACAACAGACTTTATATCATGTGTAATATCTTAATACTGCACGGATTACAAAGACACCTTTGATTTTTCGAGTTTTGCTCACATGTGAATATGAAACATTTATTTGAAGAGATAAATTTAAAAAATTATTTTCTTACTATCGCATTGCCTTCACTTATATCTAAATCTTTTTAATTAGAAATAGTTTATTCTGAGATACCTGCTGGAATAGGAACAGCTGCTCGGCCACTTAATTTCAATCGTCGTCCAGTCCATCTTCGATCATCACTTTCAATTTGTTTACGATATTTAGTTTTGGCACGACGAGCTTTAGCACGAAATCCAAGCGCTTTAAATTTCAATACAGCCAGCAGTACTGTTAAATTGATAGTACTACGGCGTCGACTAAGATCATGCGATTGCATAGTTTAATAAATATTATGAAAAAAAACAGAAACCAACGACAACTAGATTGATGAAATAAAAATGATCGCAGCAGGAGTCTTTCTATTATATGCCAGTAAAAATTTATTTTCGAAACATTTCACATGAGCTTCCCTGTTTCTTTTTTTTTATCAAACAGCAAAGAATGCTAGTGATTCTATGATCTTCAAAATGTAGGCTATTCTTTTAACATAAGTCGTGAGTGCATCAATGATTCATTTCTTGCATGAGAAAATCAAAAAGAATTTTTCTTTAAATTTTTTTTTTCGGTTGATGGTTGTTTTAAATCATTTACTTTCTTTTTTCTTTTTTTGTTTCTTCAATTCATATAACAAAACACACTAGCTCACTGTTATCACAAAACTCATGAATAACATGCAAAACAACGAAAAAAAGAACACGCACAGATTCGCTCAGTTTTTGTTTTCATTATTTTGTGAATGGCTAGTGAGTAAAATACACCACGATTGAATCACCTTAACGATTTGATTTAGCAACACGTTCAAGTTCATCTTTACGTTTGATTGCGAATGATGTCGATGATCCCTAAATAGTAGAAAAGGCCATCGTTAAAATCTATTCAATTTAAATTAAAATTTTTTTCGTTTATTGAAATCGCCTATTAAATAATTATTATTTGCAAAATAGGAAAATTTCAATTTTTTCTATTGCACGCGCCGACGTTCAATATCACATTGAAATATTTTCGTGGTATGACGTCTAGTTGTGTGGCCACAAAGGATTTCTTTCAGTACGAAAAAACTTACTTTAGCAGCATTGATTAATTCATCAGCAAGACACTCAGCGATTGTTTTAACCGATTTGAAGGCTGAATCTCGTGCGCCTAAGAAAATATAAATAATAAATTAGAAGAATATTTTCCTTTTCTTTTTTTGGTTAAAATATGTAATTTACCAGTGCAAATTAAATAAAGTGCCTGATTGACTCGTCGTAATGGTGAAACATCGACAGCTTGTCGTCGAACTGTACCAGCACGACCAATACGTGTAGAATCTTCACGTGGTCCACTGTTAATTATAGCATTAACAAGTACTTGAAGTGGATTCTAAATCGATGAAAAAATGATAAACAAAAAGTCAATCGATGATTAAGTTTAGTAATTACTTCGCCAGTAAGTAAATGAATTATTTCGAAGGTATGTCGGACGATACGAACAGCCATTAGTTTTTTACCGTTGTTACGTCCATGGAACATAAGTGAACATACAAGACGTTCCACAATCGGACATGTTACCTTACGGAAACGTTTTACTTGATAACGACCGGCTGAATGTGGAAGAAATTTTGGTTGTTTTGCACCAAGAATATAATCCTAAACAACAACAACAACAACAACATTAGTTTATTAGAAAAAAAATTTGTTTTAGAATTAAACAAACTTCAAGTGACATATCGGTGATTGCTACATCAGCTCCACTCCATTTTCCAAACACACGAATATCAGTTGCTACATTTCCCAATGCTTGATCATCGGTTAACATTACATCCGTCATGATTGTATGATGATTGTTTTTAGTTTTCTTACACTCGGATCTAGAAAAATAGAAATGGACGATGATTTTAATCGAAAACAAAATCTGTCCGCTATTGTTTTTATTTATTATTTGTTAAATGAATCGTTCCTTATAGCCATGTTATACTACATGTTTAAAAGTCCTCATATGTGTCTACGGTTAATTATGATTGGTTAATGGATACATCCAGAGAATATTACAATTTTTGTTTTTACCTTGGATGGATGTCAGAACAGAAAGAAAAGAAAAGAAAAGAAAAGAGAAGGCTGTGATTATAAAATACGTTTTGTTCCTATTCTTCTTCAATCAACCAAGCTTAGATTCATTCATTCTTACCGGTCGGTCAGTCGGACAACAGAGGTTTTGCTTAGGTGTACTTTATTCCCTTGGATGTAGCAAATGAAAGAATTCCTGGATGTTGAAAATCTTCTTTTTGTAAATTGATTTCTTTTAATTTGATACATGATATGAATATTATGAGTTTCATGCTTGCATTATGTTATAGTATTAAAATCGGTTTGTAGAATATCCTTAACAAATAGTTATGATCTCTGAGCTGTGTTACTTAATCGAATTAATAATGTCACAAGCCATCATCACCAATTCATTTCTCACGAGAGATACAAGTGGAAGTAAGGGTGTATAGTCGTCGTTATTATGAATAGATTCAATAAGCGACAACTATTTTCATACGAGACAGACGTTAGATGCATTGATTTGAGTGTATCGCCTGAATCATAAAAAAAAACAATTTTCTCCTCTTCATGTAATCTTTTTACATCGTTAGTTGATCGGTCGACTACATGTATGTAAAAGAAAAAGGGCACAAAATGGACGTTCTCGTTCGATCTTCATCGCAATATCTTTTTTTATACACACACATACACATATAAAAGCAGAGTAGATGGAGGAAAAAATGATTAATCGTTTGCCAGATATTTGTGATGTATACATATATTCTAGATGTCAAATCAACAGAATCAGCCTCGCGGAGCTAAAGGTAAATATTTCTATAGAACAATAATCCGCTGATGTTTTATCTTTAATTCAATTTTTTTTTCTTTTAGAATATGTTGTTCTAATTCCATTACAAAAGACAGCTATTCTTAATATAGTTTTAATAGAGAGACGAAGAGTAAGTGACATAACAGATAAAAATATTCTTCATATTGGTAGCGGTCGTAATGTAGATTTTATTATATACAAAAATTCTCTACCGGGTAAATATTAGTTTCAAAAAAGTGAAGTATAGATAATATAATATTCATTGAGTTTATTTTAGTACAATCGGATAATGAACCGTCTCAATTTTCTTCACAATTTAAAGTCTTCATGATGGATAAAAGAACACAAGAACTAAATCAAGAGAATCGAATACTACGTTTTTGGTTTTATAGTCTTGAACAAAATCAATGTCTCTACGATGCGAATGAACTCTTACGTGCCTTGTTTAAATCCGATGAATTTCCTCGAGGTAACGAAGAGAAAACATGAAGAATATAAAAAGAAAATATTGTTTTTAGATTATTTCTCTTTTATTAAACGACTAATGGAATTGTTAAGAATGTTTACAAGAATTCGTAAAATTGAACTTGAAATACAAACATTAGATAAAAATGCTCTTGATGTCGATCATCCAAGTACGTTTTATTTTATTATAAATAAGAAAATATTTGTTTTTCTTGTTATTTTTTTAATTGTAAATTTTCAGTTAAACAATATGTATCACGTTTAATGCTTTACGATAATGATTATCTTTCTGAAAGTAGTATTGACAAATGAATGAGTGTGACTAACGTAGATGAAATAACATACAGAGGTTTATATACTAGTATGAATATGTCAGGGACAGAAAAAGTAAATAAAGGGAAAATATTATCTAGTCATGGTATTAGTTTTGTTTATTTTAATCGTAGTTGAACTAAATCCATTAAGAATATTAGCATAATACGTGATTTGATTTCTCTTTGCTTAGTGCACGAAAAAAATCCGGAAAGATATGCTGATTTGATTAATGAAAAATTATTGGATTTACTTGAACAAGCATTTCCAAATCCTATGTTTGTTGATGATTTGGCTAAGTATGTTTATTAGATTCATCTTATTATCATAACGGGGATTGCTTTTTCTGTCTTTCTTCCTAATGAAGATATGTTGAATGTGATGGTCAAACAGTGTTTAACTATCTTGTTGAATTAGAAGACAAAAATTTAGTTAAACATCTTGGTCAATATGGTGAACAATGGACACGTGTTATTATAGCAGCTCAAGAAGAAGATACTCATAGTCAGTTTGAATAAATAATTTTATCTTGATTTAAATATAAATTCGTTATTTTGTTCTTCAGAAGTAATTATCTATAAATCAATATCAGAATTATCAAGTGCCTTTCGTCCGACAATCGCCATCATAACTGTAAATTATTTTGAAAAATTAGCAGTTGATTCTATGATTCAAAATAAAGTTACATTCGTTCGACATAAAGCAGGTAAATTGAAAAAAATCTTATCACTATATTGAATAAAGTCAAAAAATAAACTAACAAGGTGAATCCAATGTTTACACAATTGGTACTATTGGTCCACATCATGTTGTATCAACGAAATTACCATTAATTGGCCGAAGTCGAACAGCACAAATTTCAACAGGAAGTACCACAACTCGATTATTAGGTACATTTCAACAAGTACAACATGTCTTTATCATTGGATGTGCGGGTGGTGTACCGCATTATACTGATGCAACAAAACATGTTCGACGTGGTGATATTATTGTTGGATATCCTAATGAAGAAGATTATGTCTATGGTAATTTTCTTTTGTAAATGAGAAGATAAGAATGAAACGTAGACATAGCATTTCTCATACTTATATATTATTAAGATAAAGATTTTGTTATATAATCACCTGTTAAAACGTGCACGGATCAATAGAAATTTTAATTTTTTCGTTCTCCATTCTTAGTTAAATATCTAATATAGTGTTTGCTATTTGCGTAAGCATACTTGTGATTGAGTTATATTAAACCATTATGTCTATTGTTAAAATATTTCAATCATTAAAAGGATAGATTATATAATTTTCATTGAAATTCCATCGAACCTATGGCGTCCGTTTTAATTAAAATAAATGATAGATGAAGTGAATAGCTTCTATAGTAGGAGGTGTGACTGCTCTCTATCAATCGACAGTGTCATTCATACCCTTGAACTTTGTCCATATAGATTCTATTCAGCATGTTCAATCGAATTTAGGAGCAGAGAAAAAAATATAATTCATATTATTTTAGGTATTTATGAAGCTGAGCAATCGCCCGAAGGTTATGAATTTGTTTCTACATGTTATAAACCAAAAAGTTTTCAACTCTATCAATTAATGGAACCGATTAAAGAAAATTATGAACAAACACATTTAAATCGATTAGTAACACATAAATATCCATGGGAGAAGTTTCTTGAAGAAGGCATACAGTATTTACTTTCGAATAATATTGATTGTTTACCGCCGAATAGCGATCGTCTTTATATTAAAATGGAGAACAGTGAAATTGTTGAAGTTAAACATCCAGATCAAGATAAAAAAGATTATCATCGACCCAATATACGTTTTGGTATGATAGCTGGTGGAAAAAATATCATAAACAATGATTATCTTAAAACAACGTTATGTGATAAATGTAATGTTTTGTGTTTTGATTCGGAAATCGATCAAGTTATTGCAGCCGTACAAGGAAATCGTACAGAATCGTTTATGATTATTCGTGGAATATCCGATTATCATGATGGTACTTTAAATAAAGAATGGCAACCATTTTCAGCGTTATGTGCAGCTGCATTCATGAAAACAATTATTTATAAAATACCCAAACCGTCCAGACAAAATCCAAATTCACATTCGAATAGTGAACACGATGATGATGTACTCTGAAATCATTCCCTATACATTTATATATATATACACATTGCTCTTTTTTTATATATTGTGTTTTGTTTTTTCTCGCTAAAGTATGAATAATAATATTAATATATTTCTAGATGACATGGATTTGTTCAAATATGAAAGTCGGCGAACACAATCGATTACATTGGACGCTGGCTATGTTTCAGTTTCATCAACTGATATAGCTCAATCACCAAAAAGATTTGGTTTACATGGAAAGAAATTAATATGCATTATTTTTACCATAGCATCGCTTGTTTTAGTCAGCTTTATTAATTTAATTGTGAGTAGGTTTGTTTAAAAACAAAAATTAGGAATTAACTTTATATTATGTTTAGTGCCTTTTATGGCTTATGTACAGACTCGATTGGTCGTTGTTTGATAGCAATGGATCAAAAGTATTTCGAGTTGATAAGTATAATCAAAAAGTTGAATTTCAAAATCAAGTGTCATTTGAAGATATTATGTATGCATCTAAAATAAATAATATAAGTCAAATAAATGTATTGTTAGCTAAACAAGTAAGCATAGCGTATCTTTTTCGATTATCTATAGGACGAATTTGTTCGTATAGATTGATATATCTGGTGATCAAAATTCTATTTTATTCGATGATGATCAAATTTTATTTAATACTGATAAATTCGATTTAAACAATCATTCATTTATTGATTTTACCAATCTTCATTCTCTTAAATTCGATAATCGAATTAAAACTCGTGTTCATCTAAATCAATTTAATTCTGAAAGTGTATGAAAAGTTTTTCAAAGATTTTATTTTTTTTTTGAATTATTTTATTTATAGATTCGTAATAAACAATTAAATATCAGTGCAATAAATCATTTAGCAATAACAAATATTGATCATGCTTTTTTCTATGCCGAAAATCTATTATTAGAAGCTGATCGACATAATCGTCGGTCGGTACTTCGCTTTGGAAATCTTCCCGCAAGAATAAAATATGTTCATCATTATCAAGTAATTTGAATTGTTGTTTTATTTAAGTAATTTATAATTCGATTTGTATAGAAAACTCTACTTGAAAGTTTACACCTGAAAAGTGATTCGGTATTTTTCGATTTACCTCGATTACCTCTATTAGCTAATACACATCGTAGTGAATCTGGCATTTATCGTATATGCATTTGTAATACAACTTTTTTATTTTTACGCAGTTCTGCTCATCAGCCGTGTCCTCTTTTTTAACAAGTATTTTTAGATTTTATTACAGGTGCTGTATCATTTTGTTTTCTTGTTTTTTTGATAACCATTTTTTATTTGTATTGCATGAAATATGATCCTAATGGATCGAAATTTTCGATCATGTTTTTTAATTAAATTTATTGCGTTAATTGCCTCCCTTATAAGTATCCCATTCTCCGACAATACTGTTTTGCCTGTAGAGAACAAGTTTTTTGAAGCAGAGCATCCCGTCACCTTCCCATGGATGGTAAAAAATGAAATCACTGACATTGAGTGTGTTTTCATCGGAGCCGCTTAGGATCGATTGATTGGGCAATTGGTTTGTGTAGCCCAGATCATTTTCATCCCACCAATGATTTCTTTTCAAGCCCATCGGTCCCACTAGTTCGCCCGGCCATCCGCCGCCAAGCATAAAATAAGAAGTTTTGAGATTTGGATCCCAAATATTGACTAAAGCTGAGAGTTTTTCTGCATGGGGCAGTTTCGATGATTCGATCTTTTTCAGCACAGGTGCACTTAAAAATAGAGCTGGCTGATGACCGAGCTCGATCAGATCAGAAAATTGCTTCGGGGCAAGAAAGCCTGAACCCACTGCGATGTCATTGACTGGAGTGGCGCTTTTGTAGTCAGAATAATAGAAGTAAGTATGACTCCCACCGCTATTGAAGGTCATGGTGCTCATAGCTTTGGCGTCGTAATGCTTTTTCAGCTCATCCACAAATTGGTCATACAATTCCTGTACATGAACAAAAGTTTTTCTAATAGATCTTTCTTTATTGATGTAAAAAGGTACATAAGGTACATGACCATCGTATCCCATCAGCCCCGTCAATTCAAGATATTGACTGTTCTGTTTGATGATCTCTACTGCCTCCGCAAAGTCCTTGGTGATTTCAAAGCCACCTCTATGCAGGCCGACATCAATTTCCAAATTGATTTTTATTCGGATATGTTCCTGTTGTGCATAATAGAGATATTGATTTAACCGCTCATTTGTATCAATCAGCCAGTTAATAGTATTCCAGCCATTATAAGCTACCAGTCTAATAAAAGCATCAACTGGTAGAGGAGTGCCTAGCAATATATCAAGCGAGTCGGGATTCAAATTGGATAGTATCTCAGCAAGAAATGACTCGGAAAAAACCATCAACCTGTTGGTTTGAACTTTCACCATCATATATTTCAATAGGTCTAGTGAAGGAAGTGATTTGGTCACCAATCTCAGTTGGTAACCATCGCCCAGTTGTTTTTGGACAAAATGTACATTCGAATCCAATCTGTCCAGATCAATTATTCCCGCGCTGGCCCCACTGCGTTGCTCCTTTAATGCTAGATTCATTTGAGCGAAGTAAGGTTGGTACTCGCTTTTGACTTTGCGAGGTTTATTAATTATGAAATACACTACACGAATAGAGAGGACCAGATAAATAAGGAGTTTGAAATTTTTCATGTTGCTACTATGTTTTGTGGTGTGTGTGCGCGCGTGAAATCTATAGCCAGACCCTGAAAATAAAATGTGCTGAATATGAGAGTTTTACAACACTATTGAGAAAACCACTAAAAATAGCAAGAAAACGTACAAGCAAAGAATAAAAATGCTGCGATAAGGTGAAAACAGAATAAAAAAACAATAGTGTGTATGTGCTTCATTGTTATCTTTGAGACTCGTGTCAAATTTAGATAAATAAAACAACTAAGAATAAGTATTTATTGAGATTGGATAAAGTGAGCATAATAGTGTAGAATATGGGTGTGGGTGGGAGTGTGGTTAAGCGATTTTTCATATCCACACCTAAATATCTGTTTACAATCTTAAAATGTAACGCATTGATTACTGTTTAAATATCACAATAATTCACTGCCATATAAATGGCATGGAATGTTTTTATTGTACGAATTCATTTGTGTATTTAGCATAAATGTGAAAGTCGTTATCGTCATCTAGCATTCAAACGCACAATATTTATTGTAAATACTTTTGATTTGATAAAAGTGACAGCGAACAAGAGCTAGGAGCATTTGTTTTTTACATTTTTTACAGCATACATTACAAATGCGAAATGTTCATTTTCCCAAGATTTATGTGGGAATATTGATATTTATAACCGTATTCTGTACAGTATTCGTTAATACAACACGGGATTGTTGGGAGCCCAGTGTTCGTGTCATGCGTCACCAGAGAATCTTTTAAAGTTCTTGTCGAAACATGATAGTGACAAGCACTTGTACAGTCAACATTTGAATTAGTTCACGTTCTGCTCGACGTATAGTTCTGGTGTTATTATTAATTGGTCTCACTTGTTGCCGCTGTCGGCGAATATTCATCAGTGTAAGAATACCAAATACGAGCATACAGATCGATGACAATAATGCGTAAATAAATGTATGAAAAAAGCAAAAAACGTTCCATATATTACGTGTGTAAACAATTTTGCCAGATGCATTAACATTCGATAGAAGATCGTAAAAAAATCAACATATGGACATAGATACAGCTTATGACCAAAATAATGAATGCAACTATCCAGCCACCAATATGTGATGAACTTAAACGGCGACGCCAAACTTCACTACGAATACTTTGCATGTAGCGATCAATGCATGCTAAGACAATGAACCAGATAGAGATGGAACGGGCCACTTTGAGGATATACACCTCGAATTTACATATAATAGAATGTAAGTTTGCTGGATCAAGTTTGAAACCAGCTGACATTATTCGTGCATGATGATGTGAGAAAATAGAGTGCACATGGTTATCCTGTGAGTATTGGTCGAGTAAACACGAAAATGTTGAGTACATGACCAATTACACCTGAGATCACGATGAATGTAGCCGATGAAAGTGAAATTATTTTGATAGCTAGATCGATTTGATTGATAAGATCAACAGACGACGGTATATTGCTTCCAAAAAATTGAATATCTTCGAAAAGTGCAGAATACTCGTGTCGGTGTTCGCCAACAGAATGAATCTTCAGTATGTTGGTTTTGAGATTCTGCTTGCAATTTCAGTTTAAATATACCAAAGATAGAATCGCCGATTGTTACAGTCATATGTTTATTCCTTGACTCATCGACATTTGTATACTCATTCTCTGACACGTATTCCCTCCATATATACTCCTCTTTCTTCAATGATAAAGTTAGTTCCATCGTTATGGTACTCATTCTTTATTAACATCAAGAACGCACATGGATCCCTAATACCGATATTCGAACGTTGCCGCAGGCAGAGTTGGAACCGGTCCAGATCGGTTGAAATTTTTTTTTATAGATCTGTCATTTTTTCCTTGCAAAAGCTATTAATAACAATTTTTCATGCTTTTATCGAAGTAGCCGTTGAATTTCATGAAAAAAAATGTTTCATTGTTGAAAAATAAAGCCAAAGCTTTATTTTCTGGGTCTAATTTATTTCATAACATTATTTTTAAAGATTGAATTTAATTTGAAATATTATTCGGCGAGAAAGGCTAGACTTTTTCCGAATTATCAGGTACTACAAAGAAATTTCGCCTGTCATTCATTTTTTATGTGAAAAAAATATTGTAAACTTGCCGGTTTTCATCGGTTAGGAAAATGTTTTGGACCGGCCGGGCCGGACCGGTCTTAAAATTTTAGATCGGTTCCAACTCTGTCTGCACGGGTTGAATAAGCTAGTATAAAGAAAAAAAATGGTAATCTAATGAAGAACATACACTAATCTACAGAAATCTTCGACTACAAACTGATCATATAGTAGTGATCATGTAATTTTTACACAGTGAAAGGATTTTAGAAAAAGCATTTTCATGCAACAGAATTCTTGTCACTGGCATCTCTTTACATTCATGAAACTATCAAATTTGGTCGATCAACTATATTTCTTATGACATATCTCCACCAATTGCAATTAAGATACTTTTTTTTATCAACTTTCAAATCCTCTCCACTTTTTGCAGAATAAATCAAATGTAATTTCTAAATGCATAATCGAAGAGTCATATGCATGCCTATTTTGAAGTAAAAGAGCGCATCAATCGGCAAGTAAATAAAATTTTTAGATATGAATACAGATTTCATGTTGTCGATGAAAACTGACAGGAGTTATTCATTGATGTGCAATACGGCAGAATCGTATTCATATACTATCATTTTCATAAAATTATCCATTTGTAAAACTATTGTAAAGCAATCAATGAATTGTATATAAAATCTTGAGGGTGTGGGTGTAAGTGTTCAAGAAATAATTTTTTTGTTTTTACATCATGGAAAACGGTATTTACCTAGATCAGTGAAACACAACACACCCACACTCACTATATGTAGTAAACATGCACTCAATGCTTTGTCATATTCTGTATGAGATAAGATATTTTGCGAAATCATTGTTTTTCTTCTCCTTTTCATATGTCCTGTATACACACCACTATTACACGACACTTTCCTGTATTTGTGAATAACTAAAGATGAAAATTTTTGTTTTTTTCCTGGTACTCGTTGCTGCTCTTGTAAGAGAAGTTGAACAATCTGTGCATGCTAATGCCAAAATGTTCCTTGCAGGAACAAATGACTTCATTGGAACAATCGATTTTTATGAAGAGGAAGAAGCTTGGGGTGTTGTCATTACTGGTTTTGTTAATCGTCTGAGACCTATGGCAACATTAGTAAGTCTATTATTACACTATATTTGAAAGAAGAAGCAACTCATTTAGCATCTTTCGGTAAAATAAAGTATTTTATCATTCTAATTTATCGTTCCACAACAGCAAGAATAGTAACTACTGAAGAGTGGATAAGTGTTGTTTTTAAAATAAAAGAATCTCTTGAATGATACTGCATCAGAGTTTTTGTAATGAAAACAAACATTCTTAAAGCGATTTTTGACAGATTTACACGTGCAATGATCTAAATTTCAATAGGGTTTTCATATTCATTCACAACCCATTGGAGACAATCATAATTGTACAGCTGGTGGTTCCCATTTCAATCCGTATAGTATGTTAATTTTCTACAACTGACTGACGATCTTCATAGTTTATTTCTTTTTGGTAGATGTATCCCATGGAATGCAGACAGATGAACTTTTGAACCGGCATGTCGGTGATCTAGGGAATATTGAAACAAGTGTTGATGGCGGAGCGTATCTTGGATTGGTTGATCGAGTCATTTCGCTAAACTTCAATAACACAAGAAATGTTATTGGCTTGCCTCTCATGATTCACAATTTGACTGATGATGGAGGTCATACGGGCAAAGGTGAAAGTAACACAACTGGGTAAGTGTTCTTATACTCATTTATCACTCACTGATATCTTATTCGAATTCGTAGGAATGCCGGTCCTCGCATAGCATGTGGTACAATACTTTTTGGTTGAATAACGTCTCTCTATGATGTTGAATTTTCATGTTAGCATCAATTTACCAGTGATTGTTTTGTTCTAAAACTTTTTATTTCGCTTTTGATAGTTACGTGTATTTTCTTAAATGTTGAATTTATATTGAACCTATTTTATATCATTAAAATTTGAGGATGTGAGTGTTAAAAAGTTAGACTTGCTATTAGTGTTCTTTTTCCCACTTGGAAAATGTTACCGATTGGATCGTTCTAATCATATTCTGCATTTCCCAACATAGAGTAATATTTGATTGTATACAAAATCGTATGGTATTGCAGCTCATATATCATTCACTAGCTGTGTATGAACGAATGCAATATCATCAAAAATCGTTTTTTTCTACAGATACTTTAACCGTTTAAAGTCTATTCGAAATGTGCCAGTCATCAGAACATCATTTAGTTCCATCTTGTATCGGTTCAATGGTGTGCAAGCATTCGGTTACTATGAAACTGGATGCTGTGACCTCATGACCGATAACGGCTATCTGTTCATTCGGCCCGCCAGTCAGCATTTTCTCTCCTCTCTTGTATTTATTTTGGCGTTCTATTTCAATCAGATAGAGCTGAAGTAGCGAAGCGAGCACCTATACCAAGAATAGCAGAAACAAAACAAACCAATCGTCTCTGCTTAGTTTTGTTAAATTAATAATATAGAAATTACGATCACACCTAATATTTAGATGAAGAAGATGCATCGCATACTCTTCTATCTTATGTAGTAAATAGCTAGATCTATATGTTTTTAAGATATGATTCTCACTTGATATTCTCATTGACCATTAAAAAGAGTTTTATTTTATCATAGTTCATCGAGTAACACATTAAGAATTCTCCCTGAAAGAAACGCTAGCACAAAATTGAATTGTCCCATTCAGTCCATACATTTCAATTTTCATATTTTAGCGTATCAAAGCAAGTTTCTGAAAGTACAATTAATTGGAATGAACACTAACAGTTCAAACTCACAATTTGTTAGATCTTTATCTGATACTGAAGTATGTCAAAAGAACGATATTTATTTATTTATTTTTCTACTCAAAAGTGATAATTCTTACCTTTTTTAATTTCGTCTTCGAAAAGATCCCACAACATGTTGCAGACGAGCCGATAGCTGCAAAACCTTTACCACCAGGCTGGGAAGGTAATGTTCTGTATCTGCATGCAACGAGGGTTTTTGAAATTTCTCTAGAATCTTTCTAGTACGAACGGATAATTCCGGTCGAACCTATTACTTGGGTCATAATCGTCGCAGAACTACATGGATTCATCCGAATCCTCAAAAGTATATATCAAATCTTATCGCCCATTTGCTAAACACGATTGATAATAATTGATTCTTAGTGCAAACATCACTGGTCAATGTCAAATTCATGAATCGGAGGCAAGTGCTGAATTTGGCTCATTGATGTCTGACTGCACAATGGCATATGATCATTTAAGTCAAAACGTTACTGGGGTATGACCAATTAAAAGTCATTGTTTTTCTTTTACTCCTATATTTTTCCATGTATATATGCATAAAAGATTGATCCACGAACGAACCAATCGATTTCGAGACCGACTACCCATCCAGAAATTATGAAAAACGGGCCATTACCAGTGAGAGAACGAGAGCTTGCTTTTCAAGTAGGTCATAAATTGTTAGAATCTTTTGAAATGTTTATAGACGCCCTGGGACGTACGCACAGCACCCTCAGGCCGCTACTATTATATTGATCATGGTGAGTAGAAGTTTAAATTGCATTTGCAACGTCTTGTTTTTCTTTTTCAGTAAACAAGAGGACAACATGGCAAAATCCACGTGTCATCAGTCGTGATCATCATGAACATTCTAACTCCGATGTCCAACCGGATTCTAGTGAAACTGAAATAGAATCTTCTCCGCCGTGAATGCCAAGCATCTGATTTAATCGTATATTGCTGATCATTTTCCAATAAAACAGACACGTTTATGTTTACGACTCATTGACTAATAAATAAGGGCATACATGTCAGTCTTAAATTCACTCACACCTCACATAGAAAATAAAAAATCTATACGTATATTGCGCTCGTCCTGATTGTCAACACGTTCCATGTATTATTATTTACTTTGTCATTTGTCTATTATTTTATCGAGTAGAATTCACTTTCCATAGAACAGCAAATATGATCTGGATCATAGCCATTGTGACTAGAAAAAAAACGAATGTAGTACTGAATATTGTCTGGTTTTTAGATATCGTCAATGGAAAATTCGTTGACACTCGTATCGTCAAGTTTATCGCTTCTCACAATTCCTGTCGAAGTTCTTTATCGTATTTTGGATCAACTCAATATTAAAGACATTCTATTGCCAATAGCTACAATCGATTGACGATCGAAATTTCGAATCATCCATCGGACACTCGTATCGATCGTTTTCATCGAATTATTTCACCAGAAAATGTCGGAGCATTGATTCTAAATCAGTGATATACAAATGCTGAACCAAATAATATTGATTGTTTTCTTTTTCATTTGGCGATATTCATCGATTTACTAGGCTTCGTTTTGTCAAATCTCAAAATGTTATACGAGAAAGATTATCGTACGCTTCTACGTCATCTCGCGACTTTCTCATGATTCAGATCATTGAGAATCGTTGATAGGAAAGTTTTTAAAAATGATACCAATATTATTCTTTCAACAGTAATTGCACTACCAAGTATTCGGACACTCGATTTGGATATTAGTTCTCTAATTATCGATCGAATCGCATGGCCAAAATCATAGTACACTTCGAGAACTTCACTTGAAAAAATGTTCCTACAATCAATGGTGCCATATTATTCGTCATTCGCCAAATCTTCCAATCGCTTCTGTAGCAGATTTTGATATGAACAAGATCGATAAGACTATTTCATCGTTTGAAAATCTACAACGGTTCTCACAATGTGAATATTTCATTCACGAGAAATTGCCTCAACTTGAAAATTTTTCGTTTAAAATTACTGTTCAAATGCTTCATTATCAACATATTGCACGTATTGAATCGATTATTGCCGCATTTCGAACACCATTCTGACTTAAATATAAACATTGGTATGTGCATTTTCAATATGTTATTAATAATGAAGGACGTCGACTTGTTCGTAATTCTTCCAAAAATGGACATGTTGATTTTTTTCAATATTATAAGCAAGGTTTTCTACGATATTTCACTTCGACGACAAACGACGATGATAAACCAAAGATGCACTCTATGTGGAATGTAATCTTCAATTTACCAGATGTGCAACAAGCTATTAGTTTTCGTCATGTAAATATTAATATTGATTCTCAATAATAGCAAAAAAAAGATTAATTTACTTGCGAATTATTTATTTTAATCTCTAATTTTATTTTGTGAAATACGATCTGAAAGGAGTGTTGAAGTATACAGAGTAGAAATTTGCCCCCCCCTTCCCCCCACAGACCGGGACAGAGAAACTAATTAATTAGTTAGCTGGCTAATTAATTTCTCTGTCACGGTCTGTGATGGTGATAGACGAATTCCAGAAAAGAAATTTCATCGTGTGTCACATGTTAATCCCACAGGGATTACGCTAACAGCTTTTTTTCTAGTTTCGAATTCCAAAGTATTATTTGTTTGATAACGTGAGTCAACTTGAACTTGACATTCATGATTGGCAGCGACCTGACTAATTTGCACTTCTTTCACAATTAATCAATCTTGCACAAACGAAAGAAATTTGGTTCTTATTATCGAGTAGACAATCTTTTCAAGCCAGCACTATCAATAGTATACTGGAAAAAGCCCCCGATGTTCGTATTTTTGAAGTAGCGAATAATGGTAGTTTACGGGATAATCCAGAAGATGAATGTGCCGTACTATCTCGTCAAATTGATCATCTTAGAATACGATCACCAGATATTGCTGGTATGAAATTAATCCTCGAACGTGTTGAACATTTATCCACCATAACATTTATGTGCGATTCGAGTTCGCCAACGACTTGGAAAAAAATTATTAAATGGCTTCATGAAAAAGAAAAGAAATACTCCATAACAGCTGATTATCGATCTCTTCAAGTATTTCTGAAACAGAATATCGGCATATTATCGAGAGTTGAAAGTTTGTATCGAATCAATTGACCATTAAATTTTTTTCCTATACTTTTTATTTTTATCTTTTCAAATATCACCAATAAAAAGAAACTTTCTATGACGTAACTGAAACACTAGTCAAATTGTATTTCATTGAAAAATACCATAAACTTACTGTGCTATAAGTTGAAGTTTTTCTTTTAAATACTACGAATGATGATCATTCTTGTTCATAATTCGTCTATAATAATAAAAAATGACTGTATCATATGATGAAAGTCATTATATTTTCTGTCAAGATAGTGATGACATACAACACATTTATTCGATGAGTTGCGAGGACAAAGTTGATTGTACAGGTTTCTTTTACGAATACTATTAATTAGAATATGTTTGTTTTAATCGTTTAAGACCATGACTACTTTTTTATGTATTTTTTTCCGAATGGATCTATTTCTAAAATGATAGTTTCTTTCTTTTTTATTTTAGTTAACTTAAATGTATTTTATCTTTGATTAAAGCAAAGTATTTCATAGAAGTTTTATGTTGATTGAACTGATCGACGACCAACACGAGGTAACATAATTATTCGTTTAGCCATACGCATTATATTATGATTGGCAAGCTTGTTAGGGTAATATGAATCTTCATAAGGTATGTCATTATCCAATAGTTCATTACTAACAGCATAATTATAAATGAATGCATTATCCGGTGGCACTAGACTGGCATCAACATCAATAAACGCGTGTCTACTGCTGCTGATATGAATGAATGTGCATAAAAGCATGAGGCCAAGAATTACTAAAAAAGAGAAGAATGATATTTTACATTTATCTAAGATTTTATTCAATTACATTTAAATTGGTAGGATATAGTTGCAACCATTATCGATAAGAAGATTGAATGCTTTAATAGAAATTATAGAAGATAAAGAACAAATGAATGTATGTGACTTTAAACCGGTGAAGAAATGAGATAAGATTAGAATATTCGACAAGAAATATTTGTCAATGATGAATTCTTGTGATCACAACTATTGTGTGACGCACGCTCGCACAGCAGATGCCAAAAAAAGAAATGAATGGACTTGATGGGATTTTTGGTAGACTCCTGCGGGACGGGACAATTAGAAAAAATCTAGTGTCCCGAATTTTAAAATCATTACATAAAAACGTTGAAGTTGATAGTAATGAGTTAAACAATGAAAGAAAAAGAATTTTCACACAATGATAGGCAAACTGCTGATACAAAAGAGAGAACATGTGCGTCAGATATATGGAAGTTATTATAAACATACATTACCTCAAATAAGCTAATATATTTTAAATAACATCTATCACAATAAACTTCATTTCACTGATTTAATAACGATTAAATTAAAATAATCTTCGTCGGTTATATAAAAAGCTAGTATACTATCGGAACGGGAGAGTACTATTTTTCTCAAATATCTTCATTAACTCGAATGCAACAAGGTGTGTGAGTGTAGATCTTCACGTCATTCATCCTACAATCACACACACCCTAACTCCATGTTTCTATTAATACAGTTAGTATTAATTCATATTTCAATTTCAGAGTACCAGTTTCTATTTTTGATAAAATCAAACTTATTTTTATCTATAAATGTCTAGAGAAATTTTTGCTCTCCCTCTTTTTTTCCTATTAATCAAGTAGAAACGCTATCTTGTTTTCTTTGACGAAACTACGCAACATTTAAAGTTTTTTTTTTCAACAGGACAAACGAGATTTTACGGGACAATTCGACAAAATACGGGACGCGACAAAGTTTGTCCCGCAGGACTCCAGTTTTTGACCAATTTTCTCTGACAATGAAAAGCATCTATAAGTAAAAATACGTTTTTTTGTTCTATAAGAACCTAAGATGTTGTCATATGCTTTTTTCATAAGTAAAATAATCAACTCCCTTGTCACATTCACATCGTAATAAATCAATATTTCATCATTTTTTTTCATAACTGTAAATATCAAGGGATCAAATACTGTGACATGAAACGTCTGATTATGACACTGTATTTTATCTTACGTTCAAAGAAACAATAGAAAACTCAATAGATTATCTTTTAAACTATCAAAAGATGAAGCTTTGTTTTTTAATGAAATTCACCTCCTTGCGATATTGATCAATCAGCTGCATTGACAAGCATGAAATTAAGTTTGCTCTGTTCTACATCTTCTCGATAGATACACATACCATGTGATGTCTGTCTACATTGTTTTTTGTGACTGAAGGAAAATCTTTGAGATAATTACATCGATATTCTTATTTTATTCCCAAAGTTGGTTCATACACTTCTCATCGCTCGTGTTTTAAATTTTATTTTTAGTTCACAAAAAGTATTCAGTGGTAATTTAACCTATACATAGACCATCAATGTTCTATTGATGCCTTCTTTTTTTTTTCGATTGCTCGACTTGTAATCAATATATTTAATAAAAAAAAGCTTACGACACTCGGTATTCCCAGGCGGTCACCCATCCAAGTACTAACCGAGCCCGACGTTGCTTAACTTCAGTGATCGGACGAGAACTGGTGTATTCAACGTGGTATGGCCGTAAGCAAATGTATGTAATCAAAATATCCCTAATGAGACCGACACATATTATGTTTCTATCACAAAAGATGTTTTTTCTTGAACATAATTTTATCTCAATACTGTTAGCAACATATGAAATCGAAATGAGAATACACTCATTTATGTATAGTCAAAATATTCAATTATATTACAAGATGGATTACTTATTACTTCTATCAACAAAGATATGATTTTTTTGCTACAAAGATAATGAAAAAAATTTTTCTACATTGTTTTTTTTGTTTTGTTTATAAATAATTATGAAATGGAATATCTCACGCAGTTAATAAAAAAAATACTTAAATCTTAGTAGTTCAAGAGTGTCATAATTTATTATTGGGAGCAATCGTATCGATTACAGACTCTATTTCGACTTCAACACTTCGAGACAATTATAATGCGTACGCATCAATATTTAAAATTGAGATGCACTCGAGATCATTAGAATAAATCAAATGTTGGAAGAGATTGATACTTATACAGAAATAAATAAAATAATGTCATTATTTTTATGATATATATATATATAGTTTATTTCAAATGATTGCTCACATATGTTCCTTAAATATACGGTCTATCCAATATAAATATTGTGCAATAACGTTGAACAATAATTACGAAAGAATCGGCGTTGTATTTAGTAGCAATTTTCGTAGTTAAGATTGTTTCTATCATTATCATTCATAATATTACTTATAGTCGTACGAAATAGAAAAAAAATCAACTTGGTTTCGATTTAACATCATATAAATCCGTGGAATATTCTGCTTGTATTGAATCCCGGCAAGATGCTCCCCAGTGACACTTGCTCCCTAACTGTATTTAACAAAAATGTTACTCAACACTAGATTAAAAAAAAAATTTATTTATTTGAGGGTATGGGTGTATCGGTGTGAGTGTATCAGTGCAAGTATGGACAAATGGTCATCGTTTTCACTCACCCACACCCTCAAATAAATAAATTTATATCTTAATCTCGTGCTGATTAACATTTTTGTTAAATACAGTTAGGGAGCAAGTATCCGGGGAGCAATTGTCTCTGGGAAGCAAATGCCCCTGGAGAGCAAATGCCCGGGGAGCAAGTGTCACTGGGGAGCATCTTGTCACTTACTGTTTGTGTTATGGGTGTAGGTGTGAGTGTTACGGCTTTCTTTATCCACTCCACCATACCGAATATGGGTATTTCGAACTCAGCGCATGTCTAGGGGTCATCGCTATGAGCATATCAATAACATAGATTCTTGCTTAAGATACGAAACATTATTAATGTAGGAATTATTATTGAATGAATTCGCGGAAAAAGCTCTCATTGTTACTGATAACAGAAGAAGAATAAATAGATTGGTGAACGGAAGGTTTTTTATTATCTTGCATTTGTTACAAAACAAAGTATGTATTTTTCAACGATTTCACCTACAAGGTGTATTCAAAACTAGGAATGAAACATCAGCCAGAAATTCAGGAAACATATAAATGAAAATACATCTTTTCCCAATTTTCACATACACTGGTGTCAACAATTAGGAGTTCACAGAAGTTAAAAAACAACATTGTCGTATAAGTATTGCGTAAATGAAATTTAGGGATAAACTATCAGTAAGAGGGACAAAATAAACTTATGAATTTAAACTCTTTTCCAAATTAGAATACCCGCCAAGAAAGTAGTCTGTTTAAGTTCATATTGACTCCACTCTACTTCAAATAGAAGAGTTTTCTATAGAGAATGACTTCTATGTAAAAATAAAAATGCGAATGTTTCAGAATCATCACATGCAAAATGATAACGATACAGCAACAGCAACCGTAAGTGAAATTTTTTTCAAATCTATGGCATTCTATAATGTTTTGTTTTCTCATTAATAGATGTGACACTAATTTTCATGATTTTAACGAACAATTAGAAACAAAAAACATTCATATCCGTAACAGCAGAATTTCTTTTCATAATCTTAATTTTTAATTACGCATAGAACTACATTATCTTATTTTCTCGTTAGAACAACAATCTTGCAATAATTTTCCCAAACATCTTCGTGGGGGTGGCGGTGGTAGTTCTGATGGTACTATTGCGGGTGCAGTAATGCATAATATGTGTGCATTTTGTCGTTGCATTGGAGGATTATGTTGTCGAGGATGATGCAAAATAGTTGCTATTGACTAATTGATTTAAAAATTGCAAGATAATTGAAAATGAATAAAAGTAGATAGATTGTGCCCTTTTCTTTTTATTCATTCGTTTTGAAACACGTATATGCATGCACCAAATCCAAACCTTTTGGTTTTGAAGGTTTTGGTTTCGGGGTTTTAGTTTTCTTTTTGAGATAAGTCGGAAAAGATTATATTTTTAAGTCAAAGTCTGAATAAAGTATATGCTTTTGATATACCATGGCGTACGAACCAGTCAAAATCCGGCGATTTTCGATCGGTTCGTATAACATCGGAAGTCTCTAGTAATCGAAATAGCTAGATCACATTCGTATTATTTTCCTTTGTTCTAAATTATTATTAAAATTCTTTAACTGACGATGAATACTGTTTCGATGAACAAATTACATGTGAACTGAATTTTAACAGGATAAAAATAAATTTGTATTTATAGATCTTGTTCTGTATTTAATAAAGAGCATTATTGGTAAGTTTCATTTTAGATATTTCCATCGGTATATATATATATATACATACATTTGTGTCGTTGTATGTGTTATTTCGATGTAGAAAATCAATCGTAACTTCTAACATCCAAATGTGTGCGCTTATTGATCTTGAGGCTTGAAGCACAGGTGACATGATATTACTTGATATGCTTTCGAAGTCAGAAATCTTTGGACTAATCAGCAGATCTTGAGAGTGGTGAGCGTTGTGCTGTTTCTGAATGGCAGTCGAACAATGAGATTGAAGCTGTTGCCAGAATGGGAAAGCATCGAAATGATCAGGTTGGCTATGGAGATTTTCATCACTTTTCCCAGTGTTGTGGTGGCTAGCGAATTAGGCGGTGAGAACGACATCTGCGGGCGGGGATGTGGGTCTGAGGTGTAGAGGTGGGTGTTGGTTTTCTCTTCGTCATAACAGTCCATACCCACACCCACACCCACGTGTGGTCGCTCTGGCACTTATAACGCGTGTTCATTCTCTGGTTCGATAGTAACGTACATGTCGATGGTAGTAAGAAGAATAGCACTAATGATTTCTATCACTCTCAATTCTTTCTTCGTACGATAATATGAAAAGATAATTAGTAAAATACGACTCTCGAAATGCATCAATATTTTAGTGCAATCTCTTAATGTTTAGATAGACAGAACGCAATAATATCTCACGATTCTATTTTCTTTAGAAGCAACAACAATAAAGTAAAATAAATAGATATCTGTCTGCATTCCTGACAAGAGACGACCGCAAGCGAAGAGTAAGATGAAGAAAAGGCTGAAAAAAATCTTTTTTTTTACTACATATCCGGTTGCTCATAGTGTGCTTAAATATATACTGCGCACACTTTGGCAACTTTACTGATCTATTATGAAATTAACCCATTCAACTTCACAATTGCATACATGGCTACCACTTGTACAGTTTTGTTGATGAAAATAGACCTGTCGATGTAGAATAGTGCAATCATGTATTATCATTTTTCATATTATGATTAATTGTTGAAATAGATCGAATCGACCTGATAGTGCTGACTAAATAAAAAAATGAAATGAGTCAAACAGCGATTTCTCTGCAAGTTGTTTACAGATTATTTTTGTTTTATCTTTACGACAGTCCGCACGATCATTATCACCGACATTCTTTTTCATTTTCTGTAAACGTCATTTGCGGTGACTAGTTTTTTTAGATAAAAAACATTGAAAGGAACCAAATGGATGAAGACTATTGCATTGCCGCATGTAAAAGTAATATTGAGCAACGATCTGATGCTATTCAAGCAAGAAATTCTCTTGGTAAAAAAAGTGACCATCGGCAGCAGCTAAATATTATCGTTCATTGTCAACATGGCCTGGATCCTAATTGTACCTGCGTAAAAACATTTCGTGTTGATAAAAATTGCCCATTGACATACCAAGAGGCATTAGTAGGTGCAGCATCGTATAGACGCAGCATAATTGAAAATCATACACGTGAACTGGAGTATTATTTGCTGTGTAAAATCATAAAACCTAAGCGTAACAAACAAGATAATTTCATCAGGAAGTACGAATCAATATATGGTAGTCTTCTCTCGAATTATGTTTTCGAAACAGACCAATCTGTTGCGCATCTCAACAGAAATATTTCTTCAACCTAATTCATATTCTTATTCATTATGCCTATTATTCTTCTGTCATTTTGTATCGCGCAATGTATAAAAAATAAAAATAAGAATAAAATGTATTTATGCAACAACTGGGAGAGTATTCGAACGAAAATTTGTTTACCAACGGCAAAATCATCTGTTTGACCATTATGCAGCTTTTACGAAACGCAATCTAAAATTAGTATCGAATCAACTCAAAAATAGATTCATCTATCTCATAAAGAAAAGAAAAACCAATTTGCTACTCTTAACTCTTAGTTTTCGACAATCGATTTAATCAAAGTTCAATAACTAATAAAATTATTAATCTATGTACTTGAATTAACATAACTGAAGAAATACAGAGTTTAATTTCATTCAAACGTTTCGTCTTATTTATTTTAAGAATTAAATATTCATCAGGGCTATGCATTAAAAATGTTTTGATTTCATAAATTTCCTTTGTCATCAGTCTGCAAATGGAGGGCATACTTCTGTAGATGCGACGCATGCCATTCTAGTGTATATTCTTAAACTTGTGAATATACCGTCGAAGAATGAGCGTTTCAATAATAATATGTAAATGATACTAACTTAAATCTGAGAAAATCTTAGTTCTGCTTTTTAAAGTAGACGATAATAACGATAACTGAATTCAACGAGAAGCAATTTGAGGAAGCAACGCTTGTAAACACCATTATAGTTGACTGTGATATTGTAGAAATAATTTTTTTAAAGATATACATCGCATAGATCAAAATAAAATTATTGAAATAAGCAACTGTTTTTTTTTTCAATTGAGAAATATTGTACACAATACATTGATTTTTATTTTCAAGGCGACATGCCAACATTCGTTTTTCAGTGAAGATCGTATTTTATATTATTGAGTTTCATATTTCTCAAAATGATCTCCTCAAATCGAAAGGATTTTGAGGCACCAAATAGTCATACGAAAAATATTCTTATGATACACAAATGAAAAAGAAAAAAATATCGGAGAAGAACAAGAAGTTGCAGGTGATTCAAATGCACATGAGAAATATTTCTTTGATGCATCAATTCATTCCAAGTGAAGCCAGCAATACATACTCTGAGTCATCCTTTGATGTAGGTGTCAGGTTTTGTACATTGGCAATCTTCATCATTCGTCTTATATTATCTTTGATTCGTTCGACATCCGGATGATTTGGAGGTAAAATTTTTAAACTGATAGCCAATGCTTTCTTTGCGTACGTCAATGCTTGTTCGTAGTGTTCATCGTTCTCAAGAACGCGACTCAGATTATTGTAAGCAAATCCGATGTCAGGATGGTCTTGCGGAAGAACTTGTATACGAATGTCGAGTGTTTTTTGAAAATAGTTCGCCGCTTGTTGAAGATTATTCAACGTAAAATAAGCCAAGCCGAGAGTATTGTATGTTTCAGCTAAGTCAAGACTATTGGGTGGCAGTATTTGCTCTTGAATTTTTGTCGCTCTATTAAGGTTCTCCAAACTTCGACGCATTTCTCCTTGCCGACAAAGCGCTGCTCCAACGCGACTATAACTTATTCCAACATCAGCATGACTTTCGTCTAGTTGATTTTTTCGAATTGTCAAACACGCTTCATAATGTTTCAATGCATTATCATAACTTGTTATACCATACATGGCTCGACCGATACCCATGTGACAATTGGCAAGCATGATTTGCGTTTCATGAATCATTCGATCATAGTATTTCAGTGCATGCTGATATTCGCCCATTTCATGAAGAATTTTTCCAAGAGAATCAAGTGTATATTCATTTCGAATTTTTTGTTTTAAATAATCATAAATTTCTTTCAAACGATAATCATTATCACTAGCTAAACATAACTGAACTACATGGTGTCCATCCTCAGGATGTTCGATTATTTTATCAATACGATAGAGCGCTCCCAGAGTAATCAATACTTCGTCTTCTGTGGCAAATTCACTGTATTCTTTGATATCCGCAAATGGTTTTATTGGTAAACGTGAGTCAATCGTTATTTCGAAAAGAACACATCGATCTTTACCATCCACGGAGCGATTTTGGAGAAAGCTCATCGCTACTCGACGTTCGCGACTAGTTGAGAAGAAACTGTTCATCGAAATAAATTCGTTTACATTGTCGAGCATCAATTGTAGTTCATTGCTACTGACACATTGACCCCGAAAGACTTTCACAGTATCGCGTTCTGTACTAACCCGAAGGTACTGCTCGTACTGATGTTCGATAGCAAGCGCCAAGTCAGTGATGAAGAATCGAAGTGCGAAAAGCAAATCAAAATCACGATTACGTAGGGCTCTGTTTAATAGTCGATATAAAAAGCAATCTAAACTGTACCACCAGATCGCTTTGCTCGACGTGTATTCGCGCTCGAAGAGCTCGATGCAAGCCAAATCATTTGGTTTATCTGCATATAGTTTTTTGCACATTTCTACGAATTCTTTTTTAGCATCTTGCGAATGTTGTATTCGAATTAAAACTTCAATATAAAGAAGAAACCATAGAAAATGAGCATTTCTTGATTGTAGTGATTGGGATTCAGTTGGTATAAGAGTAATGGATGTGCTATCTTCTGAATTTTTGCGATCTTTTTGATCTTGAATTATCTGTGACAATATTTCATCATAGGTTTTATACATTCCCTTGATCTAAAACAAATGATAGATCTTCTATTCGACTCGAGAAGAGGACAAATCAATTATCGGCGTATCATTAGCGGTATGGTGAGTAAAATGACAATGCCATCACTAAAATGTTATTTTTCAGGATGAGTAAATCTTATTTTATCGATTGTGATAGAAAAAACAAATCGATACTCAACGGTATAATGTTTCACATATATTTTTAAGATTACCCAGGTCGATCGTTCTGGTCACCGGATACTGTAGGAACCGGCTGGAAAGATGCGGAAAAATCACCGTATTCCGGAGTTTTTCCCGATGATGTACTGTCAATTATTTCCGGAAAGCACGGAAAGTCGGTCGGAATCCACCGGAAAAAAATCTGTGAATTTCCGGTCGGAATGCTGCTTCCACCTTCCAGCGCAATTTCCCGTGTTTTCCGGTCGGTTCCCGCCGTACCGCCACGATTTTGGTTAGTATCGCTTCAATATATTTTTTATTCTTAATTCATTCATGCTTTACCACCGATAGCTAATTATGATTTATTCAAAATCAGACGAATTGAATTTATCTACATGCTACAGCAAGGTTCAGAAGTAATGGTTCTTCCCGTATGTCTGGGAGGATATTCTTTTATTATTCAGCACTTTGTAAAAGCTTTCTATAAGTTCAGTAATAAATCTATTTTGTTAGAGTATATCGTCCTATAATTCCTATCTAAATTTTACTAAAAAACATGCTTTGAAATGCTATTCAAACAAATATAACGTAATTTTGTCGGTAACTAAATAATTACCTTGGAATATTGATTTGCCCATGTAAAATCTTCTGATTGGTTGCTACAAAGAACATAACAACAAACTAGTTGTGGTAGATCGTGAAGACGAGCTATTGTCGATTCATTGAATGTGTTCGATATAACGAAGACTACATTTTCTTTTGTACTTGCTCGAATGTAATTATCGCATTTTGAACTAGTATCGAATATGTGTAGAGAACTAATGACATGTCGTAATTCATTGTAAATTTGATTTCTTTTGGCGTCCTTGTCAAGCCAGACACAAACATAGCCTCCGAATTGATTCGTCATGGCAAATGAAATTATTTTACAGTTGCCAAAACTACTTAAAGTAAGGAAGAAAATGCAGTTCTGCTTTCTTTGTTATTGTTTTGTATGTAAATGTTGAAGAAAGCAAAAGAAATTTTATTTTCTTGCATATTGTTCAAACGAGTAGCTCCGATAATTCCCGAGGGTGTGGGTAAGTTAAAAATTTTAATGATTCAAAACAATTCATACAGCGCATTTTGAGTTCTGAATATTTCTTTTCATGTTTTTGTATTTGTTTATGCTGTGTATGGATGCCATTTTGGTGAGATAGTTTCAAACTAACGTTACTAAAGGATGGTTAGGACTAATGCGTTAGATCGAGATACGTTGTTCTACAAAATGAAAGCAAATAAATTATAGGTTTTTATGTTTTGATGGAAAAAGGAAAATTAACGGAGCATAATTTTGTATTGTGTTATATCAGTGTATTCCAAATGAAACAAACACGCATTTCATATGAAAATATATGTATAGATTTAGCGTTCTAGCGTTTCTGCATGACGGCTCAGATCACATGTTGGCTTCTTTTATTGTGATCAATTCTCGATATTATTTCTTTCCGAGATATGTTGTGGACGAAATATGTTTAGAGTTCTAGATTACTATTCTCTACCAGTTAGAGTTAGACACTCGTTAGTTTGAACTCGTCACGTGCGTAATCATTTTCCCATCATGTGTAAAATGCTTTCATCCATTCATCGGCAACAGAGATCGAAATGAATGAGAAGAGTTTGATTCGGATTCGATTGAGACTGTCAGAAAAAATGTGATTCATTTTTAAATACTATCGAGTTTTGGCAATTTTTTCTTCATTACCCAAGCTCTCTATCAAAGAATGAGTCTCATTTACCACAAATCTCACTTTTCTGAATCGTAGCCCAAAACACATCCCCATTTGTGGAGAATGTAACAATGAGGAAAAATCTGACGACCAAGTAATGATTTCAATTTATGGATTTTCTCATCAAAGAATTTTTCATCCGAGATACTGTGATGATATCAATATGCATGGTATGCGCCATAGTCTTTCTTCCCATCGTCCATTTATTAGTCTTTCACTTTCTACTCTTTGTCCTTCTCTCTCTTCATTGGGTATATAAGCGTGTACTTTGTATGTAAACGATGCAATTTATGATATAAAGAAGCTAAATAAATCATAGCTCCATCAACACAAGCATCTCTTGTATCTAAAATCGTCACAATTATAATCTTTTTTTTATTTTGTGATAGTCATATTTCAGAAGGAACTCAGTTATCATATCCACTAGTCTTCCTATAGTTACATCGTATATAAGGGTTTGAGTACAGAATGAGTATGAAAGTCAATTGAGTATGAATGAAGATCCCGTTAAATAAATTGAAATATATTAGATTAGGCTAATCTAATATTATCTAGTTAAATTAACTGAAAAACAATAAAATATTTGAACATTAGTTTTACCTACCTCAGCGTTGCAAATGTATATGGCTTTGATTTTGAATTATTTAATGAAGCTACAATCTTGATTATGTTTTTATCGTAGCTTAGAATTTTTTTCAATCTGATAAATTGTATCGATATCAGCCTTCGCACATACAATTTCCAGATCTGTGATCCATTTTCTTTCTTTCTGTTACTTGTCCGATATATGAATTTTCATTTGTTTGCTTATACATAAATCTAATGAAATACGTAGTCCTGATGAGTGCTTCTTATGTTAATAAATAACACGAAACACATCGGCGAAATAAAACACTGAAATTCTTTGATGACTATCTCACTAATTTATTTTAATCCTGCAAAGTTGAACTGTGTTTTTTTAGAAGTTTGTCTTTGTTTTTCATGTCACGATTTATTCTTAAAAAAACCTCTGATTAAACAGATATTTTACGAAAACCATATGTTGGGCATGTTTGGAGTAAATTTGATCATGCATTGAAAGTCAAATTTATTGTTATGATCAAAACGTTTTATACTCTTTTGTCATGAAAAAACGAATAGATGACAATTGTCTATGATTACATTTTTTTCTAAGGGATTACATAGAAGAGAACGCTACTGATAGTCAGAAAGAAGTAATAGTATTTATTCAGGAGGTGGAAATGTATCCAAATATTGACCAAACCATACACATGCAAATCCTTTGTAAATACCAACACCCATGGCTTTCATAGGCATATTTTGAAAAGCACCTCGCTGAATTATAACATCCTTATGTGCTGGACTGTTTTTCCAAGCGTTAACACTTTGTACTGGATCAACAGTCCTGCCTCTATCTCTATAATCCCCAAATCCATATGCTATTTCAAATCCATAATATTTGTAATTACTTATTTCCGATGGTTTACTCCACATCAATTGTGCTTGTCTATGATCAGGTGTGTATATAACTGGTTTCCAGTTTCCTTTATTACTCCAGCTATGCGCATTCCCACCATTAACAGCTGGACTATTTTTAACAACATCAACAGCATGTGTATGAGCAACATAAGCAAGATTAGCTGATGCTTGAAGTGTTGGTAAACCATATTGTTGACGATAATTATTAATAAGTGTAAATATTTCTTTTTCCTTTGCATTCATACCATGAAATGAGGAACTTTGACTTGCACTAGCTTTTAGTTAGAAGAAAACAAAATCTTAGGATCGATACAAATGCAGTCCTCATTTTGGAATGCTGATATTTACTGTGGTTTTATTCTCTAGCTGCATAATAAGAAATAAAAGTGCATAAAAAAATAGTATTTATAACTAGTTTATCATTAGAATTAAGCCTTGTTCAATTCAGATGTTCGAGAAAAAAACCATTTTTTATCATAATCATGATCATGATTGATTGAATGAAAATCTCTCGATTATCTGTAAGAGATTAAATAGAGTTATAAACAAATTACTCTTAAAAGATATGATTCAGTGATACAATGATACGTTACCCTTTTCTCAAAAGTATATTTTAAATAAACATTGCATATCTACTAATGTGCGATAAGAAAAACTTATTGCAATGTAGCAAAATTTAAATTTTATTCTTACCTTCCCGACTACTGATTAACATATGATATGAATCTTTAAGACGTCTTCCATATGTTGTTGATGAATAGCAAAGTAGACATAAAGCTAACATAGTTACGAAATAGTACATGTTGCAATATTTTCTAATGAGGGTCGAGTTGGTGCTGAGAATAATCTTGTAGAAGAAAAAAGAAACACTGCTTTTTATATAGTGTATGTTTAGGTTTCAATGCATACCCTAAAGATTCAACACAAATATAAATACCCCAGAACTAATTGAGACTATTCAAATGATTATTCACTTTGGAATAAATATTTATATATCCTGCTTGTATAAAAGCTACCCGAGTAAATATTTTTTTAATCAAAAAAAAACTTTCAGCATTATACCTGCGGTATTGAAAATGTAAAACACGGCATAGTCACTACAACTGATCACTTGGATATAATCTATACAATGGAGTCTTTGTTGATTTTGTAAAACAGCTCGTATTTTTTCACGATTTGTGGAGAGAGCCAGAGACGAGTTTACATGTCTACCCCATATACTTCAATAAATAGGGGTGTGGGCGTGGGTGTCGGTATGAGTGAAGAGAAGTCTTACACATCCACACTCTATGAAAGAAATAGTTGTCTAATAGATCACGTTTTTGTCACACTATCTACCATCGACTTGTGCGTTTGTTGATAGTTAATACGATGTTTAATTCTTTATGTCTAACAATGATGTTATTCAAAAATATAGTTTTATGCATATTTAGAATGAGAGCAAATCATTAAGTTTGGAAAGATTTGGCTATGGCGGATTCTGATAGAAGAAGTATTCTTGTGGTATTATTATAGTTTATTCTGTTCCTTCATATTATAATATCGTATTTTTTTTTCATGAAAATCACACATTTATATACCCAATCAGGAGTTACAAAAGAAGCAGAATGCAAACATGAAGGACAATAGTAAAGGAGACCAAGGTTGTCTACGATAAATAGGTAAAATAGAAAGAACAACGAAAAGCATGGATAAATAAAGGTGACAAGACAAGAGGATTAGAGTTGCATTCGATGGACTTCACTGGGAACGTTACACTGGTACTGATGAATGGAACAACTAGTTAGAATCTCCCAATCTAATTGTTTCGATATGAGTTTGTATGCAGTTGACACATTTGAATAATCAGTTCAAATGGTTTGAGATCAGCATGTTCGATTGCTTGACTGTAATCGCTTTGTTCTATAAGGAAACTTTTTTGTTCAGATTTTTGAACTTGATAAGGTCCAATATTCAAGGAGCCTTTGTTCAAAATATTGACAATAGTTTCTTTTACTATTGAGTACTCATTGCAATAATCATGAAGTTCTAGATGTTTACCGGTAATGTCGCGCTGAGCCGTTAAATCAGGGAAATCGCTCAGAACAAATTTGCCAACATCGACAGCTTCGTTGGTAGGCATACACAAATAATCCGATCGCATAATGAGAAATACGTTGTGTGGTAGATCATTATCGCTTGTGAAGTCCGTAAAAACTCCCAAGGCATCCTGACGCAAAGCTGTGCCAAATAATGCAGCCAATCCATGAATCATTTTTCGTGTACACGTCACCAGAAGGCAACCGTACAGCTCGATTCCCCATTTGTCCGTGTGTGAAAAACTAATGTTGTCTAATAATTGACAACTGATTTTGATTGACTTCAAGAAATCTACAACAAAATCTATTAACTTTTTGTGTGTCTGCTGGCTTTCCTCGAGTGTAAAACGGTTGGCCATATCTCCGGGTACAGTTGCCAGGTGTAAACGATAGGTCTTCAGATTGTTCTCGTCACCAACTAAAAACTCCGGCTCACTCTCTGCCACTGGTTGCTCCTGAAAATCATCAGAATCCGAGCAACAGGAGAAAAATCTTTCTATTAAACAAGAATCCTACAAAAAAAGAAGTCGTGTAATTACGCATAACATTTGAATTTCAGGTAGCTTTTAACTTGGTAGCCACCAAAAAAGCAACTGACTTACGGCGGTTATTTCATTAGTATGATATGCCACTGAGATCGTCCTTGAAACCATTGGTGCATACTCGACTTCAATTTCACGGTCTGCATTCGGTGGACAATAATCGATGAACCCATCAAGATCCATCGTGTCGTTATTTGGCACACCCGATGCCATTTGGCAAGTTTCATCGTCAGCGATGTTGGCCATGTTTGTAGTAGCTTCTAAAAACTTGAAACATGCCACGGCTATTAGTTAGGATTGAATTAATCTTTCGTGTGTGTGGGTGTGAACGAAGGGTGGGTGTGGGTGTCCGCCTGTTCGTTTGCTCGTTCAATAGGAAAGCAGATGAATAAACCTAACTAACCTCAAACAATATCTGTATGGATCAGTTTGACCGAAGGTTTTCGGGGTCAGGGAATTTGAATCTGGCGCCAGAATTTCAAAAAATTTGAATCCTCAATTATTTTAGTAAAAAAGAATTTTTTTGAGGAAGAAATAGTTTCTTATAAGGGTTGACCGAAGGTAATCGGGGTCGGGGAACACGATGGCATTGCTAGTTTTTTAAAATTTTTTATTTCAAGCAAGTTTATAACGGATGAGGAGCAGTTGGGTGGGGTGGGTGTGGGTGTGGGGTTTATAACGAGACATGATAAATATAATCACACCCACATCTCACACGCCACGCTCCCTCCAGATATCGCTAATGCTATGTCTGGTCGTCAGCCACCAAAACGAAGAAACGAATCATTGAACAGGCGATTATATAATTTAGTTCAAAATCCACATACAGACATGAAAGACCAATTGAAATATATCGGACGTTTTTTATCAATATAGTCTCTTTTCTGTTGTATATTGTAAATCATTATTCTTATTGTTATTAATAAATATTTTTTGTAAGCAAGCATCCTAGCGAGCAAATGTTCACGCGAGCAACTAACCTAGACCCAGATAAATTTAGGCGATTATTTCTGCATAATGATTTATCGCTGTCAACAAAGCTTATGAAGACTTTGTCGATTAATTGAAGATACATCGTATTAACAATCTTGAATAGATGTGGTTTGAATAAAGTATACTGAGATAAACATTGTTTTCCGATACCATATCGAGAGTATATAAGTCGGAATTGAAATAACTGTAAATACATACCAATACAAGTAGTAAAAAAAAGTGACATGCAAAGGATTTGACTGTTTTGTCTTGCTACGCATCTTTTACCTTCAATATTGGATGTGGGTGTCGGGTGTCTATCAGTTCGTTCATGTTATTAAGAGAAATATATTGGCCCGGGTAAGAAAAAAAGGAGGAGGAGGAGGGGTAACATTATTAGCCTTAAGCGTACACAAGATCCATCAAATCTAGTCCGAAACGTCTAGCTAATTCACACGGGTTGATATACGTGAAGTTTGTGCTTTTGCAACATATAAATACACAGAGATGTACGACAAACGCTACAGAAGGAGATGAAATAAAAGAACAGAATTTTAGATGTTTTGTTGCTTTGGGTTTTTTCCCAGTTCAACGTTCGTTGCAGTATTTAAGAAATTCACGAGCTTCGTTTCTGTCGCCGAATAAACGCGATAGCAACTGTCACTGTCATAATACCCAGTCAGACAAATTTTTTCAAGAACGCATTTAAATGCATCAATAAACACGAAAAAGTGGGCGATTTTCCCTAAGGTGAAGAGTGTGGGTGTGGGTGTGGGTGTGGGTGTGGGTATCTGTGCCTTACTTTCGTTCGCATTCACACACCCCAAAGATTCATTTCTCGTTTCTATAGACAGGAACGGAGGAAGATCAAAAGAAGAGGAAACTTGAATATATGAATTGGAATGGACGTCCATTTTTGGCACAATATTGGCCTTAAATGAAAAGTATCGAAAGTTTCGATGCCATTTATTTCATAATGTCCCATGGGTTTATCGCCCGTTGGGACCAACCTCTATTCGAATAATTTATTTCCATTTCCTTCAGTCTTGCGCAAAGTGGAGCAGGTCCTGTCCACTGTATCCACATCATTCGATTGTATCGTCCATCCATTCTTTACATGGACGTCCTCTTCGAGGTTTTCCGTTTATTTCTGCGAATACAGTGTGTTTTATCAGCCTGTTATCGCTCATTCGACAGATATGGCCAAACAATCGCAGCTTCCTTCTTTTTAATGTTATCTATGATGATCTCTTTTCTTGCTATCTGTTTTCTTATGTCTGTGTTTCTTATCATATCTTTCCAGCTGATTCTTGATGTCCTTCGATAGCATTTCATTTCGAATGCCAATAGTTTCTTTCTATCAGCTCCTTTCAGTGTCCATGTCTCTGATGCGTATAATAGCACACTGAAAACACATGTTGTTAGGATTATTATTTTATTTTCTTGCTATTCCATATACTTTTTAGTGCAGCCATTGTCCCTATTGATTTGCCTATTCTTCTCTTGATTTCAGCGCTACAGTTGTTGTCCCATGTGAGTAAACTACCAAGATACTCGAACTGTTCTACATTTTCGATTATGTTTCCCGCTATTTGAACATGTTTTTCGATATTTCTGTCACCAAATACAAGTGTTTTTGTTTTCTTTGCATTCATGAGTAGCCCTGCTTCTCCGGCTGCTACTCTTAATTGTTCTATTTGTTGATGAAGTGAGTCACAATCTTCTTCTAGGACATCAATGCCATCGGCGAACCGTAGGTTGTTCACTAGTGTTCCACTGATATTTATACCTCGGTTTATCTGTATTGCTTTGTCCATTACTCGTTCGAGATATGTAATAAAGAGTAGTGGTGACAAAGGATCTCCTTGCCTGCTGCCAACACTTGTTTGGAACCATTCTCATGTTTCTTTTTCTACTCGAACGGCTGATTGTGCTTTTTCATATATGTGTTTTAACAGTGTGATCATTTTGTTTTCGACTCCGTATGACTTGAGAACAGCCCATATAATTTTGTGTTTTATTGTGTCAAAAGCTTTTTGGAAGTCGATGAAGCAGTTATATATCTTTTTTTCTTGTCTTTTTGCTTTTTCTGCAAGCAACTTGAGTATTAGAATTTGATGTACTGTACGTCTGTCCTATCTGAATCTTGCTTGTTCTTCCGACAAGTATGGATCCAGATGGCGTTTGAGTCTGTTCAACAGTACTGTCAGTAGGATTTTTCCTGTATGGCTTATGAGTGAGATTGTTCGGTAGTTTGCACATTCGCTGAGATCTCCTTTCTTTGGTATTGATATGAGGATTGATTTTTCCCATTCTTCTGGTATTGCTCCCTCATGTCGCGCTTTGTTACATAGTGAATGGATTTCATGCATAAGTTGTTCACCTCCAGCTTGAATCATCTCAGCTGTGATACAATCTGAACCCGGACTTTTGTTTGATTTTAGTGTCCCGATTGCTTCTTCTACCTCCGAATATAGGATATATTGAGGATCTTCTTCCCAGGTCGAGCAGTTCGGCCTGGAAACGGCCGGTTCCGAGTAGTTCCGTTGATTTTGTGGAAGCAGTATTCCGGTTAGAAAATTTTCCGGTGATTTCCGATCAATTCCTGCCGGAAAGCACCGGAACTTGGCAGGAATTCGCCGGAAAAGTCCGGCCGTATTTTTGGCCGGATTACTGCTTCCATGTTCCAGCGATTTCCCGTGTTTTCCTGCAGGATATGGTGACTTTCCCGCATATTCCCTGCAGTATCCTACGGGATCCGGGCACCGGAATGTTCGACCTGGGTTCGTATGAAGGGAAAATACCTTCAAGTTCCTTAACCATCTCGTCTCCTCCGCCTTCGTCCTTATATAGCCCGCTGCAGTACTGTATTCATCGTTGTTTCACGCCCTCTTTTGGCTGTTGCGTTGTACCATCTTGATTTCTTATCATCGTTATTCGTGGTAAAAAATTCTTTTTCAGTGTCTTTATTAAGCTGTAGGCTTGTCTAGTACAGTAGTGTCAAACTTGAAACTTGAATTCAACTGAAACTTCAACTTTCAAGTTTCAAGTTTGACGTTATTGCTCTCACACTACTGCTTCCCCGGTACCCACATTAAGGGTACATATGTGTGTGTAGACAAGCGAATCTCCCTTCCCCGGCACCCACACCCTTGAAACTTGAAACTTGAAGTTTCAGTTGAATTCAAGTTTCAAGTTCGACATGTATGGTCTAGTATTTCTAATTTTTAGTCCGTTTTCAATGTCATCTCATTTATCTTGAATCCAGTTATCTTTGTCCAGTCGTGCCGATTTCTTTACTTTGTTACGCAAGTTTTTATATAGTTGGCCGTATTCTGCTGAAACGTTCTTTATTTGCTTCATCTTACGTTTTTCGTCGGCTAGGTTGATGGTTTGTTCTGAGATGCACGTTTTTTTGGCTCTCCCTGTAGTTGTGACAGTTGCCTGTAATGCATCTTTGATTGCTTCCTCGACCTTCGTTGCATGTTCTTCTAGGTTGCACTGTGCATCTATGTCTTGGAGTCTGTTGACTAGTCTAGTTTGATAGACTTCTCTCACTTTCTGACTCTTGAGCTGACTTACATCAGATATGTGATGCTGTTGCGGCTTGATACATCGCTTTTTCAATCTTAACTTGATGTTGCATAGCACTAGTGAATGGTCTGAGCTAATATATGCACTTTGAAATGTTCGACAATTCGTGACTGATGATTTTCATCTATTTTGGGTCAGCACTAGGTCAATCATATTCTTGTGCACGCCATCTGATGATGCCCATGTCCATTTTCTATTTGCTTTCTGTTGAAATCGTGTATTGCAAATATATAGATTGTGTAGTGTTGCGAGCTCTAGGAGTCGATCGCTCCGTTCATTTCGATCTTCATATCCATATCTACCCATCACTGACTCCAAGTGGGTATTATCACTCCCAATTTTCGCATTCCAATCACTAGTTACGATTATTATATCCTTTTTAGGCGTTTGTGTTAGTGCATGCTCGATGCTATCGTAGAATATTTCGATTTCATCATCTGATGATGCTGATGTTGGTGCATACACTGGGAAAAAAAATAGCACCATACGGAACCATTTTTGAAACGAATGCTAAACCCTCAAAAAGGTTTCGTAAAAGCCCAAGATAGTCTCAAAATTATTATCAAGAGTCTAGGAAACTTTTTCGAAGGTTTTGTGGAAAACCTACGAAACCTAAAAAAAGTTCAGAATTCGTTTCAAATCTAGAAACCCTTTTTAAGTTTCGTAGTGTCTGCGAAACCATTTTAAAGTTCAGTGAGAAAATTCGAAACTTTCTTGGTTCCGTGTGGTGCTATTTTTTTTTCAGTGTACACGTGTATTACTGTGCGTTTGAATGATGTTGCATCGAATCTAGCCGTGATTACTCTGGAACTAATCGGATTGTATCCTATTAGCGTTTTTTTTGCTTTTGCACTTAATAGCATTCCTACGCCTCTGGTGTGTGTACTATCTTCTCCTGTCCAGATGAAATCACCACTTGATATTTCTCCTTTTCCTGTCCAGCGTACTTCAGAGATCCTGATGACATCGAATCTGAAACGTTTCATTTCATTTCTTAGCAATTCTAGCTTTCCTATTGCCCATAACGTTTGAACGTTCCAGGTACCCACCAGAGCTCCGCGTGGGACGGGACGGTCCCATCCCGTCCCGTCCCATCCCATCCCATGGGACGGATGGGATGGGACTCTTTTGAAAAGTGTACCATGGGATGGGATGGGACTGAAATATTTTTTTGACATTCCATCCCATGGTACTAAAAATTTTCTGTCCCATCACATAAGATTAAAAATTTGCGTTTCGTCCCACGAGACAGAATGGCTTAATGAATGAACTAAAATTTTGCGGCATACAATTACTTTGACATAGATGTCGTACTCATCTGTGCAATCAAAACAAGTCAACCCGAAGTACTTTGTAAGTGGCTTATTACTACCCAGGTGAATGAATCCGACTGGTGGATCCTGTTGAAACCTATCGGAAAAACCATCGGATTTTTTCGGATCCGATAAGAATTCGTTGGCACATGTCGGAATCCTTGTCACTGAATTCCGACAGGAAATCATCGGATGTTGGAAAGTGTCGGAATGACGCTGATTTCTGTCGGAACACCGGAATTCCGATACTTTCCAACATCCGACAACTTCCTATCGGAATCCTGTGACAAGGATTCCAACAACTTCCGACAGGATCCCATTGGGATTCTCGGAGTCCAATAGAATCCTATTGGGTAGCTTTGCCCTGGGTATAAGCATTTAACACAATTTAAAAATAAGAAAAGTAAAGTAAAAAATGATTAATGAATACATAAATATGCAAATCGGCCTATTTTGATATTGAACTATTTCACTGTTTTCCATTTCAGATAATACTATGTTTTTGAATAGTTCACCATCTTTTGTTGAAAACACAGCTGATCAATCTGATTCTATACAACTGAATACACCTTCGTCTTCTATTATAATATTATCCTCGACTTCAACAGCTGGTTCTTCATCAAATATTGTTAAATTTACAACGGAAAGAATTACAAGATGATTGAAAAATGATTCATCAAATTATAAAGTCATTAGAAATTCAAAGATAAATTTATCATCTTCATGTTGGGAAGTTTTTGGATTTCCAGCAAAGAAAACAAATAAACAAGAATTCGAAATAATTTCTAACTTCGCTAGTTGCGAAACATGCTTTCAAATTTACGCTTATAAACCTTATTCTAGTACGACAATACTCAATTCTGATTCTTGTGTTCGAAAATTATTAAAGAAAGATAAAGAAAGTTTATCAACAGGTGATAACGGAATTCAAATGAAATTAGGAACATGCAATAATATAAAATAGCATCATGGTTTCAGCCACTCGATAACCATTCGGATAAATTTGATGTCTTATAGGATATATGATAATTGAGATGTCCCATGGGATCATGGGATGGGACAGAAAAATATTTCGTCCCATCCCATGGTACGGGACAATTTTCGTAACTGTCCCATACCATGGGATGGTTTTTTTTTAATCACTATCCCATCCCATGGTACGAAATGTTTCAATCTATCCCATGGGACGCTTTTTTTCGTCCCATCCCATCCCACGCGGAGCTCTGGTACCCACTGTAACTGTGTCTTTCGTTATCTTCCACTGTTGTTGGCCAATTTTGACATTTGATGTTACTGCTGCTGTTGTTTTATTTGTAATTATCTGCCCTGTTGTTGTTCCTGTCTTTCCAGTAGCCAATTTTTCGATTCTGTCCTGTCTACTCAACAGAGGACGCGGACCTTGTTCACCCCGGGCGACGTCCGAGCCGGTATAGTTTTCGATTATTGTCATCGTTCATGGTTGGTTTCTTTCGTCTTTTCTTTTTGACAGACGGCGGGCATCTGCACTCCTTTCGTCTAACGCTCCTCCTTTTCCCGGACTTGCGACCGGCACAGAGATCACTGGATTGTGGTTCCCATGGTGGAGTTATGCCATTTACAAGGACCCATTATTTCTTATTTTCTATTTAAAAATAGGGTTTAGATATTATAAGGAAAAGCAGAGGGTCACAGATGCTAAACAGTTTAGTGACAAAGTGACTCTTCATGAACTACTTGGAATGTACAATTGAATTTTTGATGCAAAAATAATCTTTGATACGTCAAAACACTCTTGCTATAGTGTCAATATTATAAATTTAGTTTACGGCGGATCAGGTGAAAGTAATATTTTGTAGCTCTCCATGTACGGAAAACGCATGCTCACGACATCTATGACGAATATTTTTTGTCAATGACATGATTTCAAGTTTTCTTCATATAATGATTTAATAGTATAGATTATTGATGGGAAGCAATTATAAAACTGAGATTGACGAACATCTCGAAGCCATCTTTGTTTTGTTGCTTATAGAAATTTCAAAATTTTGTATTTTCCTAATTGCGTTGACATAACGACTCGTTCGGCACACAATACTCTATGTTGGTGTCCAGTATAAATGACAAAAAAAAAGAAAATTTTAACGTATTACTCAAACAAAATATTTCAAGATTTGCTTACTTTACTAGAGAAAAAATAATATTATAATGAATATTCTTACCGATTGTAATGTCATTTGGCTCGACGACAAAAATATAGATTGCGAAGATTTGGGTATAAACATTCAATATTATGTGAATTTTTCTCTTTATACATTTACTGAACTTCACGTATGTTCGTCATTTATTCTTCATTGTACATCCGAAGTTCGTCTACTACTCATTGTCATAAGAGACCACTATGTTGATGAGCTCTTAAAAAGAACTATTATACGCCTATCTTCTCAAATCACTGCTTTTATTTATATTCTTGGTGATAAATGGTTTTTTCGCTGGCAAGCAGATACTCGTGTCCGGGGTATTTTTCATATAGATGAAAAACAAAGAATCATTGACACGCTGAGAGATGATTTAGAAAGATATTTCAATCAACGGTGGTCGTTTGGTGTTTGTGTATTTAGTGATGATACTCCACAAAGTGCACTCGATCAATTGAATAATGAAAATGCTCAATTCATGTGGTTTCAACTACTTATTCAAGTGCTTCTTCGAATGCCTTCAACTGCAAGAAGTAAAGACGATATGCTACAGCAAAGTTTTCTTCTCTACAAAAATAATTCTTCAATACGAAATAAAATTCATGAATTTAACCGAACATATCAAGCTAAAGATGCGATCGATTGGTACACAAAAAATACTTTTCTTTTTCGTCTTTTGAATCAAGCATGTCGCACTGATGACATTGATCTTTTATTCAGTTTTCGCTTCTTCATTCGCGATTTGCATCATCAACTTAAGGAAGTTTATTATGAACAGCGGTCAAAACGTAATCCGCAACAAACAATAATTGTCTATCGAGGTACAGTCATCTCAAAAGAAGAACTCCAAATACTTCAATCCCCTACAATCAAAAAGAAAATAGTTTGGTTCAAAACATTCATGTCAACCAGTTTAGATGAAAAAGCTGCTGAAATATTTGTAGTTAAATTAAGAACTGATGATCAAGTAAGTGTGCTCGAAGAAATACATATCGACGACAAGAAAGATATGTCATCTGTACCATTTGTTTTTATATCTAAATCCATGGGACCTGGTTGCGAGAATGAAGTTCTCTTGTCAATTGGAAGTGTATTTGAATTGGAATCGATCAAAGAAAATGTAAGATTCACGCTGAACATCATGAAACAGTTCTATCCAAGTATTTTCCTAAAGACTTTTTTTCGATATGAAGCAAGATATTATTTCTAACTTTATACAAATGCAATACCAAATTATTCAGCACATCAACAAAATTGCAATGAATTAAGATATTCGAAACTTTCAAATTTCAATGATAATGTGTTTGTCTCTTTTCCAAATTTCGTTTTCGAGTTCTATATAACATAATTAATCATAGTATAAGGATTCTTAAGAGTAAACACATCGGATTTCTTACATTGGCAAATGAAATTGAGTCATGTTGAACAACAAATAAGTTTTTGAAAAAACAATAATTGTTTAGCTCGATCTTTCTTATACAATAGGCCAGTAAGAATATAGAAATTTTGGAAGCCAAAAGAGATTAAGGAGATAATTCAAATGTGTTACCTTAACTATGAGTGTAAATATTCGAAAAATGAGTTTATATGAATGACTGGTAAATATTTTGTCGTTGTTATCAGTTCAAAATATATAGCAAAACTATATTAGACTTCATTTGTTGAATATTAATGTTTTGAACTTCTGACTTACAGTGGGCCCACTAGATCCAAAATTTTCAATTATATTGATTGATTGAAGTCTCTGGTAGAATGTGAATAAGAGTGTACTTTACCAAAATTTGAACTGTCGATATTTTCTTTTCGAAGAGCCTAGAAAAACGAGTTGGGTGCAAGATACATTTTTATTTAGACCAACTACATTTTTGAACGGTTATACTTTATTAAAGTTATTTGATAATATTAAATAAGACTAAAGAAATAGGAAACAATATGCAATTATTAGAATTTATGAATCATCAATAAAAGGATCCAGACTAAAATATACGTGGTTAATTATTATTCTTCTCACTAGCGATTGGATAAATCATTTTAAATGTATAGTTCCTAACATTGGAATTGTTGAACTGAAGGCATATTTGTAAACTGATATGTATTTGGAAAAAATGTAATATTAACAATAATATTATTGAAAATATGCTGTAGTATCTTTTACAATTCTGAATTTTCACTTTCTTTTTACAGGATGAACATGTTTGGGAAATGAAATTGCATCTGGTTGACTATGAAGATCGTGTTAGAAGTGAATTAAGAGCGTACCTTGAATATAATATCGAAGAGGAGACCTCGCTGATAACATTGTCAAACTTCCTTCTTTGGCAAGGAGATTTTAAAAAATCAGAAAAGTACAAGTAAACTGAATTGCTTTTTCATTCTTTTAATGTATTCCAGAATAATATTTTTTTTAGTAAAATCTTGCTTACGGAACTTTCGTCTAATAATTTCATCCTACCAATAGTCAACAACAATCTGGGTTATACATATAACAAAATGGGCAACTTCAAAGATGCCCTTTACTTCTTGAATATATCTGTTGATTTATATTTGAAGCCCAATGCGTGTGATCATATTATTAATTTTAATCGCAACTTGGCCTGTGCCTACAACAATAAAGGTCTTGTTCATCGAAATCTTGGCGAGTTTGATGATGCTGTAAAATACATCAATAAAAGTCTTGCTTTACGTCTTGATAATGACACTTTACCTGATGAAGAGCGAAAACGTTTGGCAATTGATCGTTCATATTGTCATGAAAATATTGGTCTTCTTTACGGAGACATGTGCCAATACAAGTTAGCTATGCATCATCTAGAAGAAACACTTGCTATTCGAAAGAACAATTTACCCACCAATCATCAAATGATGGCTCAAATATACAACAACTTGAGCAGAATTTATAACATTTTAGGTAATCCATCGAAGTCTTTCGAATGCATCGAGCAGGCACTTACTCTTCAAATTCAATCATTGTCAGAAAATCATCCACATCGAGGTACGATGTACAATACGCTAGGTGAAGCATACTATCGCCAAGGGCAATATTCAATGGCTTTATTGAATTACGAAAAAGCCCTCAACATATATCAGCAGGCACCTACGCGAAATTCTCTGCTTGAAACAATAGCTCGTAGCAATATAGGTACAGCCATGAAAGCCAAAGGAGATTTTGATGGAGCCCTACAAGCATTTTTAGATGCGTTCTCAATATTAGAAAATGGGCAGCCACATCATCCTAATGTGGCTTGTGCTCTAAATAATATAGGCTTTGCTTATAGGGGGAAAGGAGACATTCCAACAGCCATAGCTTATTATAAACGAGCACTCGATTTCTGTAAATTGTATCTGACCGAGAACAACGAAGTAACGGCTATCACCTATCTTAGCCTAGCGTCAGAATTGATAGACAATCAGTATGATTTGGCGATGGAGTACTTTCAGAGAGTGATTTCGATATATGATCACATCGGCCTACCACATCATCAAAACATTATTAAATGTCACACATTTCGCGGTCAACTTTATCGTAAACAAAATGATCATCAGTCCGCATTAGTATGCTACCAAAAAGCGATTTTTCACTGTGAAAACGCTGCACTCCCACAACAACATATCTTATGGGTTTTTGCTTATACAAATTTAGCTCATGAGTTCTATCTGATGACTCAGTACAATCGAGCATTAGAAGAATATGAACATGCTTTACAACATATAAATCAAGACGCATCGGAAATACCACGAATTTATAATGCCATGGATACTTGTCGGAGTCAATTAATCGAATTAGATGTTCGTCAAACATTAATACTAATGCTTGATGACGTAGAGAGACTACTGTAATAGTTAATTACAATTTGAACTTATCAAATGAAAAACAAAACTTTCATGTTGTAATATATGATGCATAAATAAATATAAATTTATTAGAATCAAAAGCAGATATTTACATCAAATGAAATCTTTAACTATATTGAAAGAATCATCAGTCACATATCTGTAGAAATACTAATCTTTTCTTTTTGCTTCACATATTTCAAAGGTTTATTTTACAATGGATATGATGTATTCAAAGAAAAATGAATCAATGCCTTTCTTTGTTTTTCTCTAATTATTGAACCATAACTTCGGGCATTGTAAACTTTTGCACTTCTCCCGTCTTAGTGATAGTGAATTTATCGACATTTCTCATATGTGTTGATATTATGAAGACAGCTCATTAATCTTTAATAAAATGTCGAATATCTTCTATTTGACATTCGGGTGGATCAGATTTCAATCGAATCCAAACACACACACACACACACACACATCTTCCCCATATAATTCATTGTCAATGCGATATATTTGTGCATTGAGTACATGTGGATGTTCAGCAATTGTATTGTCAACTTCAACCGGATAGATATTGACGCCATCACGAGTAACAATCCCTTTTTGACGTTTGACAAAGTAAACATAACCGCTTTGGTCCATTTTGCCTTCATCATCTATCATAAGCCATCGCAATGATGTGATTATATCTTGTGTTCTCTCAATATCATCATAGTATCCACACATTATCGAATGGTCTCTGGTTTAAACTGCATCCGATGTACCAATGGGTACTGTATTGTCTCGTTGATCGATAACTTTTAATACTAAATCTGACATCGATCCTTCGATTTATGAAAGATGCCTCTTCACATCTTCGTCACCAGCCCACATGCTACAGCTAATAACACCGACAGTTTTAACCATTACCGTAGACTTGTATCATACGTCTGATTGGAAATTCTTTTTCTAATTGACGCAAAAAAGTCGATATGTATTGAACTTTTCCCGATAAACCGAAAATAATGAACTAAGATCGTTTTTCTTCTGATTTGGATGCACGCTCATATATCACGAAAGATAATCGGTGCTCCAATAAATGCGGTACCTTTTCCTCATGTATATCACGCATAGTGACTACTGTATCGGGTAGGACAGTCGGGAATCGGAGATGACATTTGGCAGCTTTTGTATTGAGAATACCGATCATTTCCGAGAAAACGGGAAATTTTGGAGTCGGAACACCAAGACGAGTGAAAAGGGTGTGGCTGTGGCTGTGCGGTGTTGGGTACGACTGTCTATTGAAAAAGCACCTTTGCCCACACCCACACACCGCACACCCAGTTCGCGCATAATGATTTAATGCAATTAATTATATTAAATATCCCACTAAAGACTTGCTTTAGTGTCACCATTTCGATATGATACATCATTTTATTCTGCTACCAACAATTTAATATCGAGAGTCTCAATCAAGGTACATAGTTTCTTGAACGAGTTCATTGATTGATCTTGTTGACATTGGTGAACTGTAGATAAAATCAAACTTTGAATTGCAGTTTCGTATTTACTTTGTTATTTAATGTGTGTTGCCGGTCAGGTAGGTTGAGTTTGTTTGTGAATCTCATTTTCTTCATGTTCATTTATTTTTGATAATTCCATGATTTTGAAATCTGAAGTGCACTATAGATTCATTTTTCCATCGGAATTTATTCTCTTTTGATACTTCCGACAAAGTTCATAAGCACGAGCAGCACTTCTATCTCTATTTTTCTAGTTATACAATCAACAGATGCGTTGTTCGTGTCTAATACTAAGTGTACGTATCAAATACATTTGTTTTATAAAAATGATTCCGGTTGCAAAGCACAATCATGGTTGGTTATTATATTTGATGATTACTGCATTTCATTTTCATAAGATAAGTCAATATAAATATCTGTTTGTTTGTCAATAATAACCATGATTTGTTTTTCTTGACTTGAAGCTTGAACATCATCAGATAAACAGAATGAATCACTTAATGCATCTACATGTTGCGAATGTTTTATGAAACGCTTTATTAAGACATTTTTGCTTCATCATGAATTTAAATCTATACACAACATAACGAAAAAGTAATAGTATTAGTGCTATTCACATAATATTTTATCATACATGAAAGAAATCAATTAAATTAATAAATATAATTTCAAGAAGAACTACGCATCCAACAAGAGCGAATGAAGGTATAGATGAGAAACAAGATTCTTAGTCTAAAACAAAGAAAAGAAACGTCAATGGGATAAGCCACCAATGAAATCTTGAGAACGAACTCACTGAATAAGACAACTCATGTGACATCTTCAACGAGTTGTGTCTGAAACAACATAAATGAACAATTCCTATCCAGAAAAAAATGATATTCACGTGGTCTCAGAGAAATGTATGCGTGTAAACACCATCTTGATATCTTTGTCCATAATACACGAGTTTACACGAGTTTACACTATTTTACTTGGTAATTGTTTTTTCGTTAAGCATGATTATATCTAGAATTATTCACAAGACATGAATAGTTGAAGAATATTTTATTTCAAAGATGCCTTGTCATCAATACTCGGCACATTAAATCATCAAGTGATCTACAAATAGTGTCACGTGTTGAAACAGCGTTTCATACATACAAAAGTCAAAACGTCGGTTCCAATATTTAATTACTCAACTAACTGAGGCAATCAGAATACGATGAGAGGCCTACGGCCACCCCTTGTGCTTCTACCAGAAAATAATCTATGCATGCCTATATTTTTAAAGTGAAGAGCAATGAAATAAATCAATTTTTATTTATTTTATCAACCCATTGTCGACTGTAAAAATGGCATTCATTAAATTTATTCTTAAAAAATATTTTTCCTTGAATGAAAACAAAAGTGAGTATGTAGCTTCGTGTCGAGATTTTATATCCTGTCTGTTCCTTCAATCTCTATTCATGATAATATGAATATACCTGCGTTGGGTTAGACTGGTGTGGTATGTCAATCGATGCAGGTTGATGTGAGGATATAGAAATCATAGGTAATTCTTTTTGCGACAATCAGCACTTCTGTGCACATGCCTACAGCATACTATTGAATTTACAGGGTTCTTCAAATACGTTGTAGATAAAGATGCACATTTTGCAACTACGATGGCTATGACATAGTTCTTTCTTTTCAATAGAACCAACACATCTGATTCACTCAGCAATTCTTACTAACTAAGAGCTTCACTGTGTACGTATAGACGATTGCATTAATATTCAGTATGTGCAGTTAAATTCATTATAATAAAAATAAATGCACCTACAACGAGACTTTAGAACTGTAAGTTTTTCATTCAAGAATCTGATTTAAAAAAATAAGTGCTTCCTGACGTATGTGTGAGATCTTAATTGGACTTATACTTTATTTGTATAGCTGTCTCTATCTCCCCTGTCTCAATTTTCTACGCAACAACGTAACATTATATATAGAATGATAACAAGCGTGGGAAATTCCTTAGGGAAAATCCCATAAACGATGAAAGAAAGAACAGAACGAACGAAAGGGAAAAATCCATAATGCATGACTAACAATAATATAAAAGAAGAAGAACACAAGTGCACATGCATAATCATGTAGGTCAGCAGAAAAAATCCTTATGACTGCATCGGAAAAAGATGCAGGTCATAACAATATGTCCCCAATAGAGCAGAACGACATTCTTCATTACAATAGAATATGACGTGATAACTTTATCATTCAGCTCTGCGCTGTTTACTTATCCCAGAGAAAGATAATGTTTGGGGTTTTCCTCATTTGATGACAGTGCTATACGTTTACGAGACTGGGAAATCCTAGTGACACAGACTGATACGTAACTTCGAATCATAATGATGGCAGAAAAAATTCCCAGTTACTAATGTATACATATATAAACGAGAGAGATTTACCAAATGAACCCAATACTTATCATCATTTCGTGGAAGATATGAAGTCATTTCGACTAGTACCTGTTTTTGTTCTGACATTATTCATCTTTACTATCAGTCATACGCTTCCAGTTGAACATCAGACTGAAGATGACTTTCCTGAAACAACAAACAATGAAATAAAACACTTTGAACAACATCCAAATCTGAATCGTGTTCAAGATCATCAAGTGTTAGAAGATGAGAAACACTATCTGTCAGAGACTGATCATGTTCTAAGACAAAAGCGAGCTCAGAATTGGGTATGATTGACAGAATAATTAAATCTTTGCATGTTCGATCTGATGAACAATGTTTTTTTAAAAGTTTAATGGTAAAACGGATACGAATAGTGGCAGCGCACGAGCAGCATTCCGCAAAGCAAAAGACCAAAACGGTATCCCAAGAAGTAAAAAACCAGTGCAACAATATTATGTTCCAGATAAACATGATCCGAAGAAAAATCTGAGACAGTATGATTATATTAATTCTTATGGAGAAAAGATTTCAATAAGAAAAGATATTCCGGTGAGGTTCTTTTACTGGCCATTTATCATTACATACTTAAATATGTATTTGTAGATAAAGTTTGCAGATGGTGGCTATCAAGGACCACATTATAATGCGGGACCAACTGGGGGAAAGCTTAAACAACATCATCATTTCCCATCCCGACAAGGATAAAGTAGTCACCATGTAGTGCAGTTTTCTTTTACCCTTTTTGGTTGCATCACGCAAATATACATGTAAAATAGCTGCATTTGCATTATCTCGTGAACCACTTAGTGTTTCCTACTTCATCTTATCACTGCTTGCTTCTCAATACCCTAATTTCTTTTACTTCCATTTTAGGTAGATCAGTATGGTGATATTTTTTTATTGATTCTCTTTCACTTTAAATAAATTGAAATTCAATTGATTTTAACTTTGTTTCTCATGTCTTCTGCTATTTCCGATATAGAACTGTCCACTGTGTTAACTTAAAGTGTCTCATATACATTATTGCAGAAGGATGTGCGTGTAGATTATGAAGCATCTCTCAAACCCGCATACTCACCATCAACATATAGTTAAACAAGTTGTTAAAGCCTGTCATCAATTGGCGCAGCCTGGCTAAGGTATTTCAGTTACCGCGGTAATTTCTAAAACAGCATGTATTATACTAACTTAATTGAAATGCACACTTGAACTTCTTTGAATAAGCCACGAATTCATGGTTGTTTGTTTGCGCATGTTTAAAAAGAAAAACATGATGAAATGCAATTCATTGAAACGAAGTAATGCCAGCATTCATATATATCCTCAAATGACAAAATACAAGCGATTTATACATATATTTGAATTTATTCTATCAAACATGCCAAATAAATCAAAATGATCAGTATTGCAACTTAATTTTATTTTAACAACGCTCTGTCAATTCAGGCAACGGCATTCATTGAATTCATTCGTGCAATATATTCTTGTTCCAATGAAAATAAAAATGTGTATATGTACCTCCTTGTCGAGCTTTTTAATTTTGTGCAGTCTTTCGGTCTCAATTCATGATATTGCAACTGCACTCATATTAGATTGAACTGATGTCCCATGCCAATCGATATCGTTATCAGATACTTATTTTATGGCAATCAACACTTCTGTGCACATGTTTGTAACATTCGATTGAGTTTTCAGTCGACATGAAATAGAATGCAAATGACGACTGGAACATATTGTAGATAACGATGATACATATGTTGCAGGTACGATAGCTATAACATAGTATTTTCTGTTCAATCAGAACAAAGCAGCTGTTTCATCTAACAGTTAGCACAAAGTCAGTAACGTTCGTTGTATACATGTAAATCCTGGCGTTACGATTCAGCATATATATCTGAAATCAACATAAATACATTTTTCAGGTAAACTTGAAGAGTTTAAAAAAAATTTGAAATGTCAATAAACCGAAACACATGAAAATAAATTAGTGATCTGATGTGTTTCGGTTAGGTTGTCTTCAATTTTAATTGAAATTAAAGTAGAATTTAGGAAGATATAGAGTTCGTCAGCATTTTCAACATAAATGCAGCTTGTCAACGACTAAAAAAATAAAACATTAAAAAAGTATCATTCAATTTATACGTGCTGAAAAGTATTCTTTATCGGTGTCTATCTGCCATCCAATTTAACGTGTCACAATATGGATATATCAACGAGGGTGCGGGTGTTGGATGTTGGGTACGGCTGTCTATTAAAAGAACACCTTTGCATACTCCCACATCCACACCCAATAGAGCCTTTGTAGATTTTGTAAAACAGCTCATATTTCATGGTTTGTGACGAGAGCCAAGAGAGGGTTTAGATGTTTACCCCATATACTTCAATAATTATTTTAGATTGTATTTGACACAGTAGCGAGTCAGCCACTCTTGGAAGTAAAATTAACTTAGGGTTTTAAAGTAAATTCAAGTTATTCGCATACGTTTTAAAGTATAATATTTTCATCGAAAAATTGATTTAACATAGACTTATTTGGGTTGAATAGTAAAGCTGAGGTATGCCAAAGTTTCATCAGTACACTTTTTATCATTTTAATCCGAATAATGGTAGAACATTATGTTGGATGAATTTTTACTGAATAAAAATATCGTTTTCATTTCAAATAGTTAGTATAATGAGAAATTCTCTTTTCTAAGTCGTGTGACTAGAGCCCATCGGTTCCGGTTCCAGATGAAAATTGTTTTTACTTATTGAGTCAGATCTTAAGAAACTTTTTATGCATATAATTGAGTGAAAACGAACTCGATGTTGTTGCTGGTGAAGTTGTCTAACAAAAGAAACAATATAAACACTTTAATGCATTCATTCCTTATTCCACCCGAAGCTACACACTACTAGCAAGTCGTTAAGAGTCAGAGCCCATTATAAATTAATTGTTAAAAACTCTTTATCGGATAGTTAAAAGAACATTTAAGATGTACCAATTGCATAACACAAAATGACAGAAGTATGCTGTGTATCTTTGAATCGACTAACACATTCAATTAGAAAATTTGCTTACAAGTTTAAGAGTACATTTTGTTCTAAATCTATTTTTGAATAATAAACTAATTAGATTTTTGTTAAGAATGCCAGCTTAACTTTACTTTCAAGTCAAAAGAAGCATGGTTAAAATTTACAGTCCAGAGTTGAAGTTCAAATCGATTTTTTCATGAAAGAGATTTTTCGTTCAGAAATATTTGTTTTTCATTAGAAGAATTTAACAAAAGAAAGATTTTCTGAAAAGTGTAATTTAAATTTGACTTTTTAGAAAGTTAACTTTTAAGATATGCTTGTTTTAGTTTTAAATTAAAGATTGAAGTTGAGGTACGCTAAACCTCATTTCATAATAAAACACCCTCCAAAGAAAGTAAACTGTTTCCTATAAGAACATAATTTTTTAAACTTCTGACAGTTTTGCGTCATACAAGTTGGGGCTCTTTTAATATGGGAGGGGGTTTACTTCAATACTATCATCTCTTGGTCATTTTTGAAGAAGTAGCATTGAATTATGCTCGATGTGTACAGCAGAGAAGGGCTTCCAGTAGCTCTCGATCTGGAATACGGTACAAGCACCTTCGTCGATGAATGATCATTTCAACAGGATAGGGCTAAGACTATAGCTTGGCGAAAAATTACATGGAAAAAAATATTTCATTAAAGAATAAAAACTGGTTACGAAAAAAGTTAGATACGAAATTGCTTTTGAGACTTGCGATTCATCGACCAGTCGTTTGTTGAAAATTACAAAGAATGATAGAAACTAATTGGATAAATAAAAAAGCACGCTGTTTGCAGAAAATAAAATTCTGCGTCTTTTGAAACATCAAGTCAATAAGATGATTTTTGATTGATATATTGAGAAATTACGTAGAGGGACATTTATTCTGGAACACCTATTACATAAAGAAAAAGATGGCAAGCTCAATGAAAATAATACAATAAAATGGTGCAGGTATTGTGCATTATAAGTTCAACTAAACATCAAGTTAATAGAGGGACCTTATTGTTAATCATTGTCACTATCATCACTTAATTCATCACATCTACCAACTTCAACTTGAATCTGTCCCACTAGTTCACACTTATCATATATATCCACAATTGTATGTCTAGTGACATGATGAACTGCATATCTCGCCCTTTTCACACCACCAGTACCAAATGGAGGATAATGTTGGAAACCTGTATTATTTGAACAAAACATTTCTTGGAAAGTAATACTACCATTGACTGCAATTGATCTCAATAATTGGCGAGCCAATTTGTTCATACCTGGAGTTCTCGATTGGTTATAATCCCGTTTACCATGATTTGATTCAGCTATCTGTGTGTGCCAGAAATTCCACGATTTGTGTAAATTTTTCGTTAGCTTCTCGAAAATTGCGAGGCTGTGCTGCAATAGATGCACTTAGACAATCGATCATGTATCGGGCCACTTCATAATTAAAGTCAATAACCAATTTATCATACGCACGTCCTTTGAAACAAAGATTATTAGCAGTAGATTCTACTTTGGTTGATACTAGCAGCTGATTCTTTTTCGTATATTCATACTGGCTCGGCCATTGACTTAACATGAATTCAGTCTCTCTACCACCTATATTTAAATTTATAAGTAATGGTATAGTTCCATTAATAATATCATCTTCGCTCGAGTTATACACTTGCAATACTTCAAAAACTTTTTTGAGAGGCAAATTCTGCCTATACTTATCTTTTACAGTAACTTTATAATATTTTTCACATGGGTCCAAGACAGTCAAATACGACTCTATATTCAGTTCTTTTTTTAGCGGTAACGTTTGTAACTCAAAATTAAATATTTCATTATACATATTAACGAGTTCATGGTATCTGTTTCTAGCACGCTGATATGCCATTGCCATTCTTCCGTAACTGTTTTGCATAATTCTTATAATGACCTGCTGATATTTTTCATCAATGCCATCAGTCGACATTGAAGCGATATCATCGGTAGTTCTTAAATTCTGCATACTATCCGCGCGATTTCTTTCATTCTTATTCGCTTCTGCCTGTGATAGTTGTTCTTCTTCATCTGAATTGGCTGCACGCAAAGTATTTTTTTCACGTATTAAATATTTTCGTTCAAGAAATTTTTTTGATTTTCGATTTGTCTTCTGCAGAATTGGATTGTTTAAACTCTGGCGACCAACAGCGATGAATAAAAAATTTTCATTCTCTAATACACTATTAACTGCTGTAACTTTCGCATCATCATCTAGATCACTTTTATACACTTCAAAATTACCACCGCGGTTATTGGGTCGATCATTTCCACTACCAATACATGAATATGTCCCGTTTGCTGTCAATCGATCGATCATTATAATATAAGCACGTCAACATTCTGAAATTAAAGAAATATATGCACTAGCAGATATAGCAGGAAGATTAGGTTGTAAAACACCGCGATGGGCATAACGGGCAAGATTTTTTTCATGGGCAAAAGCTGTTCTTCCTCAACAAAGTACGCATGACGTATAAAAACGAGGATCAGACAAATATTTGATCGGTGACATAAATCCTTGTTTCAAGCGGAAAAATGACGTTCAGGTCAAAAATGATTAAAAACTAACCTTACGATACAAACAGTAAACAAAAAAGCAGTAACAAAAATATCCCGTTCCTTCAATAACGTCAAACCAATGTAAAAATGAGTTTGCAGCGGAAAAATGAAAAAGTCAATGGGAAAAATAGTTTGGTAAAATGAAGAATCATTTTTCCCATAGAAGGAAAATGCTATGGTGAATCATCTTTAGTAAGAATATATGTCTATTCGCTAGCAGAAAAATGAGTTTGCAGTGGTAAAATGAAAAACTCAATGGGAAAATAGTTTAGATAAATGAAAAACCATTTTTCCTATAGAGAAAAATGCGTTCGTAGGTAGTCGAAATGAACGTACAAGTATTGGTGATAAGAGAAAAAGAGATTGCACAGTACTAAGGATGTTGGGAAAATTTACAGTCGGTTCGATTTTGATTGACTTTGGTTAGAACAATGATCGGTAAATTTGCGTGAAGATGGGATGCCGAAAATCATTTACGATATAAGCGAAAGGTTTCATAGTTTTGTGGTGATGCGTGACGAATGTCAAAGAGCTGATAAGAAATTTGGTTTCAATGAATCTTTGGGAAAGAAGGCTTGTGAACAATGCAAATGAAGATGAAAATTAAGTGAAAACTACTCATATTTGGTGTTTGTAAAGTTCTGTATAGCATGGAATATGTTGTATATGCAAGGATATCTTTTCTGAACAGTGACGACAAAAGTACTCGGTATGAATTTAGTATACAGACGCTGACTTATACAGTCAATGTTCCTAATAACAACAGTAATTTCAGGGATCTTCTTAGGTTCGTGTGTAACTAGATGATTTTCTATGAAAAGCTATATTTTTTTATATTTTTGAGTAGAAAAATATTTTCTCTATCGAACCATAAAAAGATCAATTTTCAATCATCAAAATTGACCGAGTAATTAGCGGTAGAGTCTAAGAAATTGAATTTGTTGTTATTAGGGGGCTAGTTCCTAATAACAACATACAAGCGAAAAAATGTTCCTAATAACAACCGCCAGCGAAGAACAAGCAAAAAATAAAAAAATTGATAAAACGCATGATTTTGCTACCTGAACTTCAAAATTTTGATATACTCCTGGAACAAAAAATGTTCCTTGCCTTTTGATGTATATTTATCCCAAGGTTCAGGTTTTTTTCAATTAAATTGAGAAAGTTATTAAATTTTTAAAAATCTTAATTTTGTTGTTATTAAGAACACTGATCCAAATAACAACAGCCAGCAAAAAAATGTTCCTAATAATAACATCCTATGAAAAATATATAGAAAATAATTTTGTTTTACTAAATGGAGTTTTTCCATGGTTAAACATCAATTCTTTTTTGTGCGCCTGTCACCAAAAATATTTGTACACGGCCAACCCGTAAATATCCAGCGGTTCTAGTCAAACGAAGTTTTCCTTTTTATGATAATGGCATGAGTTAAAAACTAGTGTTGCTAACAAATGGTGAACTATCTAACGTAGGCTTACTCAATCTCATTTGTATTTCATTTGACAGTATAGCAGTTTGCGATATATTCATATATTTTTCTTATCATATAGTTATGAAAGGTAAACTCCTGCATATCTTATTAAAGTGTCTTAAATAATTGATCTCTCGCCTCAATTAAATAAAAGCATTTGAGAAAAGTGAATTTCACAAAAACTTTAGTTTTAGAGGATGAAGTTGATTTTATTTGAACGAGATTCATTACTGTTGTTCAGTTAAGTTCTTTTTATTATTTTTTCAAAAAATTATATAAAATAAATGACATGTTTTTGTAAATAAGTTCACGACTAGTGTTACTTTATATTTACTTTACTTTTTAAAGATAGATAAAACCTTTATGTTTAAAAGATAAAGATAAATGAAATCTTTATATTTATAAAATAATGAATGAAGAATTTATAAAATCTTTATTCTTTAAAAAATAAAGATAAATAAAATATTTATATATATATAAAGTAAATTTAACGATAATCTTTATCTTTATAAAATAAAGAATAAATAAAAATATTTTTCCTTAAAAACCCTAAAAGGTCTTCTCCCGATAGCTCGAAAAAAATTAAGAAGTTCAAGGCTATCAAATTTTGAACACTAGATTTTTTTCCATAAATGATTTATGCCTCACCATCATTTGCTAGTATTATTTCATACTGCAATGCCAGCGATGATAAACAAGAACTGCAATTAATGTTTTCTGTTGTTATACAAATTATTCATCTATTTACCAGTGACTGTAGAAAATCTTTCTTTTTTCTTTATTTTAACTTTATTTTTACAAATAAAGATTATCTTTATCTTTATTTTATAAATATAAAGATTTCATTTATCTTTATTTTATAAATATAAAGATTTTATTTATCTTTATTCTTTAATATAAAGATCAATAAAGATAAAGTAACACCCCTATTCACGACAGTTATAATTACAATCAATATCATTAGAAAAAGAGAATGAAGAGAACAATTACTTTTTCAAAAATGAAAATTATACAACATTTCAACCGGTTATATAGAAACTGAGTAATGTTCTAGTACTATTGTCTGGAAAAATGCTGATCATGAAGAAGACGAACCTGTGACATGTGTGTACGAGAATTGTAGACGAAGATTTTTGTGAGCACCATGTGGAAACTTTCAAGTTTGAGCAGTTAAGAAGAAGATGGTCCTTAACAATACTCACACTCTCTCTTCAAAAAATACACGTTCTATCCACACCACGAGATTATCAGTTATGATATATGTTTTTAAATAAATGATATACTCCATTTGTCTACGGACTACTGTATCATGTATTTTTATACGTTTTGACTTCTATCTGATGCACAATGCAAAAGAAGTCTTGACCTGCTTTGAGTTTATATGTTGCTCTATAGCTACACTGTCTTTTTCTCTACCTTGTACCAGTTTCTGATAACAGGCGATGATGTTCTTATCAGTGATAGAACTGGCTTGACTCGAAATCTTTTCAACTGATATGAACCGATTTATTAATTATTTTCTTAATTATTCACCAGTATATTTGTTATTTTTTTATGAAATAAACACAAAACAGGAAATATATATGGGGAACTTGTTCATGTAAAGTGGAAGATGAGTTTATTTCGTGTAGACTCACTGATGGTTCCGTATCAGTGTTGCCAACTCAAAAAGCTCAAAAAGCAGAAAATAGCAGAAATTCTTTTCTCAGACAGCAGAAAAAAAAGCAGAAAGCATATTTTTTATGCTAAATCATTATTCAAACTTCATTTAGTGAAATGATGAAAACTTCAACAAAAAATTCAATCTTTATTATTGAGAACACAATAAATGATTTATTGATTACAAGCAGTGGGTGGGTGTTGTTGGTCCCTGGCTTCAGATAAAGACACCCACACCCTCAAGATCTTGAGGATGTGGGGTGGGGTGCGGGTGTGGGTGTATTCATAGAAAAATGAGCATGGCCCTTACACAAAAATTAACACCCCCACACCCCACACCCCCACGATGCAATTTCAAATAGACTACACTCACCATTTTGACAATGTTGATAATATTTGCCATTTTTTAATACTTTCTTAGGTGTATATTTCTTGATAAGTTTATCTAATAGTGATGATGTATACGGTAATAATTGCTCGACATTAATTATTTCACATTATTGTTGTTATTAATAATAATAATAATAATATATTGTTTTTTTTTGAATGAACTTATTCGTATATTTTTTCGTTGAAGATAAACCAACACGAGTATTCAATATCAAAAAAGAAAATTATAAATAAAACTAGGAATCAAGTTAGAAATTCTCTTTCTCTCCAATGAATCCTTGTTGGATTAAGTTTTGAGGTTGTTCTCGCATTTCTGATGGGTAACATTTCTAATGTAAACGCTGTTCAACATATCTGACGTAGGTAAAATTTTATGTTAATATATATTTATACAAATATACTTAATTTCATATTAAGTTTTTATGCCACACTACATTGGTTGGTACTGAAAAGTCGAGAAACTCACTTCTCTGCGCTTATAGTGTGGCTGTATCCATGTCAGAAAATAAATATACAGTAGTGATTTATTTGATTCACTATTTTTCAATATGATAACCGCCATAGTGTTTTTTAATTGTTTTTTTTTTTATAAATATCACTATCAGGGTGGCCAGATCTTCTGAAAAATAGGGAAATTTTCTGAATTTTTGATCATGTTTCTGATCTTCTGATTTTTTCTGAATTTGGAATATATTTAGATCCTACTTTGCCACTGAAATTAGGTACGATTATAACCCATTACTATAATAAATCAATAGCGTTTCATCAACTTTCTCTATTAATCATCTTTTATATTCCTCGTTCGAATTCTGGCGTCGAATTGATTTTCGGTCATATAAAGCATTTATAGTCCGATTATCGTAATCCGATAATATAAAACCAGATAATGCTTAACTCAAAATAAAAATGAATAGTAATTATTCTTGAGAAGGTTTTATTAGCATATATTATCTTAAACAAACTTCCGAGAGCAAATTCCAAAAGATACGAAATATGAATAAAAATACCGAGATGATGGGATTTAACGTTTTTTCTTTCTCGTTGGACTACTTAATCTGCGCAGAATGTATTTGATTTAGTTTTGCTCGTTTTTGTGAACGAGTTTTAAATTTAAAACGAAGCTCAACATTAACCCTTTACGGCCGGCTACCAGAAGATAGGAAGAAAAAAATTCTTCTTCTATATATTCTTTGTCTCTTAGGTGTGGAGGTTACAGAATTTCATCTTGGAGTTTAAAGAACTGATATTAAGCCGAATGCCAACATGTTGCCTTTTGGCAACATCCGGCCGTAAGGGTACAAAAAGTTGGGAAAAGTCAATTATTTTTCCTCGATATAAGATCAATAATTTGCTGTTAGTTTCAGTCCAGACTGTGAAGCAAAAGCATACTTTGTTCATCTGTCGATCTCTTACAGCTGTAACGTGAGATGCATTCCCATAATACTCAAAAACCTTCCGAAATAGTGCAAATTTCGCCAATTTTCCTAGAGAAACTCACAAATTTTGCAAGATTCTAACAAGATTTACAGCACATCAAAGTATTCATATTCAGACTATCATAAAACATTACCAATCTTGTTAAAATCTTATTAAATTTGTGAGCCTCCCTAGGGAAAATAGATGAAATATACACTATTTTCAAAAGTTTTTGAGTATTATGGGAATATGTATCACGTTAGGGCTGTAGGAGACGGGCAGATGAACAAAGTATGCTTTTATTTCACAGTCTGGACTAAAACTAACAGCAAATTATTGGTCTTTCATCGACGAAAAATAGTTGACTTTTTTCAACTTTTTGTACCCTTACGGCCGGATGTTGCCGAAAGGCAACATTCTTGTACTGTGTTCTTCGAATAAACTGAATGATTCATCTTATTGGCATAATAGATAATGGATCTGGAGAGGAAAATTAACCACTAGTTGTTACTTCTCGCATCGAATGCTCGAACAAATTGAAAACAGATCATTTCGACTCGGGGGTTATTTTGGGTCTCGGCGGGAGAATTCATCCCTTTTGTCAACAATAGCTTTCTCCTTTCTCGAAAAGACATAGGTTTGCCCTAAAATACGTGTGATTAAGTATCAAATAGCTTAAGGAACTATATCTCATCACTTTAAGATACGTAAATCCTTAGATGATATTGGCAACATCCGGCCGTAAAGGGTTAATTGTAACCTATCATCGGAATACGCTGTAGTCAGAAGGTAGAGCTGTCAGATAGCAGTGATGCCGACATAAGATGCATTATAATCACAATACTAAGCTGCTCACGGCTAGAAAACTATCAGAACTCTTATACTAGCTAAAATTAAATAGTAGTTTCGATCTGAAGGAATCATATGGAAAAACTTTCTCGTATCTAAATTTATCTGGTAGAAAAATTATTTTGCTTGTTTAATCTCAACAAATGATGTTTGGATTGAATTGAATCCCAGTTATAACTGTCCTCTAGTCATCAATTATGATTATTGCTTTTGTTTAATAAGAAAAATCTATACTGTTAGTAGGACATGTCACTCTTGTTGCAAAAAGAGTCTGAAAAAATTAATTTCACATGCAAAAGTCTAGTGTAAATATTCAATGCTACTTTTGTGTTATCACTTATTTATATGCAATATTACTTAATATTTTTTGTGTATTAAGGGTAAACTTTATATTAGACAAATTCAATCAGAAAGTTTAAGTCAACAAGGTTCCGCTCGTAACCATAAAAACCCGCTTCAAACATCTGCTATGGCAAGTACATTCAATCCTCAATTACATTTACAAGATCAATCAGTGATGGGCAGAGCTGCAAAAATGGATCCAATGCTTCAATTTGATTATAATAGAAATCCTATAACACTCAAATGTCGATTGTATATAATAAAAGCTATATTATATCGTGGCTGGGATCAGTCAGGTAAAGCGGATCCATTCATAAAAATTGCATTAAACAATACTACTGTAATTGATGATACTGCCGGAAAACTTCAAAATACATTAGAACCAGTTTTTGGCAAGTGCGTATTGAACATAATAAAAATCTACCAATGAATGATTTTTATTTATCATTTTTTTAAATAGATCATTTGAATTTGACGTTCAATTACCATTTGAAAATTTAATACGTATACAACTGTGGGATTGGGATATGACAAGTTCGAATGATATGATTGCTGAAACAAAAATTGATATTGAAAATCGTTGGTTTTCATGTCATCGAGCAACTTGTGGCTTAGCAAAAAGATATGACAGGTTAAATTAGACAATAGAAATTTTGTAAAATAAAATATCTATGCTTCTTTACATTTAGTGCGGGTTATAATATTTGGCGTGATACGAAAAAACCAACACAAATTCTGGAAGAATTTTGTCGAACAGTCAATATCAATGCGCCTGTTTATGCGCCAGATTTTGGGTCCGTGGCAGTCGGCGATGAACGTTTTAAATGTGATCATGAATGTCTTGAATTTATGAAGCTTACGATAGATACAGAAAAATTACATCGTAAAGCTCATCATGAATCAACCGACGATTATTTAAAAGAAAATACAGCATTATCTGCACTACATGAGTGGGGGAAAAAAATTAATCCAGTAAAGAAAATTTTCATTTCGTCTTATTGTTCCTTTTATTATGTAAACTTTTATAGAAACATGCTTTGGTTACCGAACATATTGAATGTCGATCGCTATTTAATCCCATCTATCCCGGAACTGAACAAGGCAAATTAGAAATGTGGTTAGATTTTTTTCCAATGTCGCGACCACCTGGGTCTGCTATGACTGATATTACACCGCCGAAGCCTACAAATTATCAATTGCGAGTAACTGTCTGGAATACAGCTGATGTCGAATTAAACGATGAAAATATTCTGACAGGAGAAAAGACGTCAGATATTTATGTTAAAGCATGGATTATTGGAGAAAAAACGGATGTACAACAAACTGATATTCATTATCGGTTCGTTCCATTCATTGAAAATAACTAAAAATAAAATTTTGTTTTTCTTTTCGATCATAGATCATTAACAGGCGAAGGAAATTTTAATTGGCGATTTATATTCGATTTTCAATTTTTAGATATCGAACAAAAAATTGTTTTTGAATCAAAGGATTCTGTTTTTCAAGTTGGTAATACAGTCAAGAAAATTCCACCAAGAGTTGTTATTCGTGTTTATGATGCAGATTTTTTCTCGGCTGATGATTTTCTTGGTTTGCTTTTAAGTCTCTATTTCTATTTCTATTAATTTAAAATTCGTCTAGGCGAATGTATTCTTAATCTTACATCTTTAAAGTGTGGTTCAAAAACATCAGACTCATGCAAAGCTAAGATACTTGACGCAAAACATGAAGGAATAAATTTATTTACTAAAAAACGTATTGCTGGTATGAAAAAGATGTGATGTTTTTTCTTTCAATTCTATTGGAAATACTTAGGTTGGTGGCCAATGATTGCTCCACAAAAACAAGGTGAAATTCGTGGTGAAGATTTATTAGGCGTATGTCCATTATAAATAAGTTGAAAAGAAAACGAAAATTTTACTCTTTTTTTTTCTAGGGAAAATTAGAAGCTGAGTTTTCGCTGATAACCGCTGAAGAAGCAGAACAAAATCCAGTTGGAAAAGCACGTGAAGCACCACAGCCACTTGACGAACCGAAGTTTGATTTCATATTTTATTTCATAACATAAATTCAATTTATTTTAGTCGTCCGAAAAATTCATTTCTTTGGTTTCTATCTCCATGGAAAACATTTCGTTATATTATATGGCGAAGTTACAAATGGACACTTCTTCTTTCCATCTTTATTTTTCTTATTCTTGTTTGTCTTCTAATCGGACTCTGGACATTGCCCGGTGAAATTACGAAACAAGTAACATCTTACTTCTTTGGAAAATAATAACTGGACGTCGAATTATTTATTTAAGAAAAAAATATTTTTTTTCATATATTTTATTATAATCCAAATATTTTCTTAACATACATCGTATTCTTATCTGAAATGGCGCAGAAACATTTCTTTTTTATGCATTTGAATAGCTATTGTTATTGCCATGCATATGATATTAAATTTGTTTTAGTTAAGAGTGTAAAAGCAAAAAAAAATAGATCTAAAAATGATGTTAATACCCATGCATCATCATTCAACGAGTCAGAAATCTATATTCAAACTCAACATTAGTACAAACGAACCTCAGTAATAAATTATTAATCAAATTCTAGTCATATGGATTGCTGGTTTTTCTAGAATGGAATGTTCACTAACTTTATACATGTAGTTCTTTTTAAAACTTTATTTTATGCAAACTCGATTCATAGATTTTTATGTTTTTGTTGACGCCATCCGTATTGATCACGTCTGAATAGTTACTGCTAAATTGCTAAGCCTACAAGCTTGTCATTTTTGCTCAACCATTCTTAAGAACTGCAAATAAAATTGTCGTCTTCTTATATAACCATTCTGTCAATACTGTCAGCATCCACAATGACATTTTTTGTCGTTCTACGAACGATCATGCGACATTTGCTTTTTTACATTCGACTGTATAATACTTTTCATTGCACTGTAGTGTACTTTTAAAGCAAAATACTATTCATCTTGGCGTTTCCTTTGTTTCAGACCTCATATGTTCTTTTTTTCTTCTTTATAAGTAAATATTATTTATACATGAATTTCTCTTCAAAACGGATTCGTTCAAACAGTAAAGCAAGACTAGCAGATTGTTCTGCTTGCTGAAGGAAAAAAACGGAAGATCAAGCTAATCTAAAGAGAATAAAATAATTGAAACGATTGTTATTATCATTGGATAAGCCTTCATTTGATTGTAATAACAAAATAAAAAAAATATATTGTTTTTATTCATCGAAAAGAAGTTGCTTCTTGCGTATTCTGTGCACGCTGCACAACATTATTAAGTGTCACTTGCTTTATTTAGTAACGTTTGCCAAATGTGCATTTCAATTGTGTTGGCGTCTGAAGCTCTGGCAAGAGGAAAAAACAATACTGTGAACTTGAATTCTTTTCTTCAAGAAGCACATACTTTTCGAACACAAAAGTACGATGCTGCCGTACTAAAATGTTCTTATAAAAAACAAAGAAAAAAAGAAAAGAAAAAAGGATTTAAACTGCTACAGTATAAGTACGAAACTCAATTGCTTGCATTTGATTTTATATTCTAAAACAAGGTGTTTACAACAACAAGGTCAATATTGAATGAAAATTTGAAAATGAATACAAAAGTTGCTCCTCTGAATTCTGACCCAACGAAACAATCCAACGAACAGGATATTGGAAATAAAGTGCCATATGATTCCATGGAAACAAAGCTGGAATTGAACAAGGAAATTTTAGAAAATGAATTGCGTGAAGAAACTGAAGAAGTGCCTCAAAAAGGTAAAAAGCCTGATGGACCAAAATTAAAACCATATGAAATTGTATGTATGAAATTCTGAAAAATTGTTTTATGCCGATTGTTTTGTTTTTAGTATAAATATGCTAATAAATGGGATTTGTTATTTATGCTTTTGGGAACTATTGCTGGTAGGCTTGAATTAAGTATATGCTCTGCTCTAAATTTTACATTTTCTATCTTTTCAATTAGCTCTTGCCTCGGGTTGTGCAATGCCAATAATGATGTGGCTATTTCAAAGTGTCACGAATTCTTTAGTAAGCATAGGGAAAACAAATTCAACAACAACTACTAATTGGTATTGCTGTCTGAAAATGATATTTTCTTTAAATCTATTCTGTATGATTTAGTTATGTTGATCCAAGTGGCTCAACTGATCCAATAGCATCTATTAAAGGCATAATAAAATGGTATGCAACATTGGGTGCATGTAGTATTGTTGTACATTGGATGGCTTATGGATTTTGGGTATCAGAGAGATTTTTCGATAAAATTTATCTCATGATATTGAAATTTAGATGACTACAGCTGAACGGCAATTACGTCGAATTCGATATGGACTATTTGGAAGTATTATGAGACAAGAAATTGGTTGGTTTGATTGTCTGAATGCTGGTTTGTACTTTGAAATGAATTGTTCTTATTTTTTCTTGAGGAAAGTTTTATTCTATAGGACAATTATCTAGTCGTCTGATTGAAGATCTTGATACTATTCGAGAGGGAATTGGCTTTCGTGTCGGCGATTTTCTTTGTCTTCTGTCAAGAATCATTGCTACGTTAATATTTTCTTTGTATACTGGTTGGAAATTAACACTTGTATTTCTGTCAATCTCACCATTAATTGTTCTTTCATTTAATCTTTTAATTCGAGTAAGTAAATATATCATGTACATCAACGATTATTATTGTTTTATTTTTGTGTCATTGTGAATTCAGGTTATTGTTCGATACACTGCAAGAGAATTAAAAGCATATAGTAAAGCCAATGCAATTGCACAAGAAGTTTTAGGTGCCATAAGAACAGTAACAGCATTTGGTGGGCAAAATAAAGAAATACAAAGGTAAATAAAAATTATTATTCTATCGGAATAATTCGCGATTCATCATAAATATATATTTATTTAAGAATAGGCGTTTTGAGTTCTCGAAATTTTTAGTTCTATGCTTTTCGATTACAAGGAAATTGAAGAATGGCTTCTTCTTTTTCTTTTTATTCTGATAGTTATTTATTGAAAGCATGATAATTAAGACGCAATTTTCTTTTAAATTTTCATATCTAACCATGTTGCTTTTTTCTGAAATCTAGTCTAAGGTTATGATGAGTTTGTTGTTCATGCAAAAAAGGACAGATTCATTAAGATTTCGAATAAGTGAACGTTTGATAGTTCGAATAAACTATCTGATTAAATTAAAATTTGATTCTGAATTAATTTAGGTACGAAAAAAATCTAACTAAAGGTCGGCACATTGGTATTCAAAAGGGTGTTATGCTTGGCATAACACAAGGTTTAGTGAATATTGTTTTATATGGTGGCATTGCAATTATTTTTTGGTATGGACCGTATTTAATTCGAACGGAATGTAAAGATTATTCTGCTGGTCATTGGATGGTTGTACGTATTATATTCTAATTTTTATTTTCGCCGTTTGACAATTATTCATTTAGATATTTATTTCTTGTTTAACATCAACATTCGCATTAGCTAATCTAGTTCCTAATATACAAGCATTTGCTGAAGCACTGGGCTCGGGTGGATACGTATTTGATATAATTCAACGTCAATCAAAAATAAATGTATTTGATAATGTTGGAGAAATTCCATCGAAATTTACTGGTGATATTGAATTTAAAAATGTTCATTTCACCTTTCCATCACGACAAGAAGCGCCTGTAAGAGAATAATTGAAATTTTGCCAAATTTTAATTATTCAACTACTTTATCAATAGATTCTGAATGGTTTAAACGTGAAAATTCCATCGGGTAAGACACTGGCACTTTGTGGACCATCCGGTTGTGGTAAGAGTACAACAATACAATTGATTCAACGATTCTACGATCCAGAGCAAGGACAAATTACATTAGATGGTCACGATATACGTTCACTTAATTTACGATGGCTTCGATCAAATATTGGTATTGTTTCTCAAGAGCCTGTACTATTTTTTGGTACAATTGAAAATAATATTCGCTATGGAAAACTTGACGCAACCGACGAAGAAGTCATTGCTGCTGCTAAAATGGCTAATGCACACGATTTTATTATGCAATTACCACATGTAAAAACATAGAAATTAGTCAAAAGAGAAAATTTATTATGTTGTCGTTTCTATTGTAGAATTATAAAACATCATCAGGCGATAAATTGAGTGGTGGTCAAAAACAGCGAGGTAAGAATTTAATTTAAAAACAAAGAAATTTATTTACCTACTTTTAGTTGCTATTGCTCGAGCTTTAATATCGAATCCAAAAATTTTACTACTTGATGAAGCCACATCTGCTTTAGGTATAGCATTAAATTCCAGCGTGATTTTAGGTTGATTTTTATTTGTACTGTAGATAATCAAGGTGAAAAACTTGTTCAAGAAGCATTAGACAAAGCGAAAGAAGGTCGGACAACTATAGTTATAGCACATCGTTTAAGTACAATAAAAAATGCAGATATTATTGTTGGAATAGAACACGGCCAAGTCGTTGAATATGGTTCACACAATGAATTAATGCAACATAAAGGACTCTACTATGAATTAGTTACTGCTCAAACTGAAAAAGAAAAAGAAGTCGAGAGTGATATAGAAAATGAAATGGAAGAAACATTAGCTAGACAAGCTGGCGAATCAATCAAACATAAAATGCGTCGTCCACCTCGTCGTATGTCAATCATGATGAGACGCTCCTCGATTGTTTCAGTTAAATCAGTCATATCAGAAACTACTAGTGAGACAGGACACGATGGTGTTATCGTCGAAGATGCAGAAAGAAAACCATCTTTTAGTATGCCATTTTTATTTAAAATCTTACGATTGAATTCTCCCGAATGGTTATATCTTGTAATTGGCGGATTTGCTTCACTTGTTTTTGGTGCAGTTATGCCAGTTTGTTAATAATCTATGGTGTTTTTTTGTTGTTATCATGATTATTTATTTTAGTCATTTGCATTAGTTTTTTCTGAAGTATTTGGTGCCTTAGCAGAAACAGATTTACAAAAACAAGAAGATGAAATACGTATGTACACATACGTCATATTTTTAGTTGGTGCTGCTGGTGCAATCAGTCAAATAATATCGTCAGTTGCTTTAGCTAAAGCTGGAGAAGAATTAACAATGCGCATACGAATACTTTCATTTAAGAGTATGCTTCGACAAGAAATTGGATGGTTTGATTTGGATCAAAATAATCTCGGAGCATTAGTAACACGACTATCATCCGATGCGTCTGCACTTAAAGGATTCACTGGTCCTACATTTGGTGCTGCTCTAAATGCAATTGGCGCATTGATTACTGCTCTTGTTATCAGTTTTACAGCTGGATGGAAACTTACATTAGTTATTCTTTGTTTTACTCCATTGATGGTATTCACAGGTCTTATTCAAGGACAGCAAATTTCTAAGGCCAGTGAAAAAGGAAAAGAATCAACATCGGATGCTGAAGATGGAGGGAAAGTAGGTTTGCCAAATTCGATGCAGTCTCTCTATATGATAGTAATCAATCACTTCAGATTGATGGAGAAATTTTGAAAATAGTTTCATGCAAACATTTCGAATTGGGAATTGCATTCTGACTTTCTACCAATACATATTTTTAGTATGCTACACAAGCTATTGAAAATGTTCGTACAGTTGTATCACTTCGTCGAGAAGAAAGATTTATTGAATTGTATCAAGAAGCATATGATCATGATTTCCGGTATGTATCATCAAATTTTATTTTTGTGTCGAATAGAATTTATATGATGTTTCAAATATTAAATTTTATTTCAGAAAACGACTGGTTTATCTTCATTACATATCATTTGCTAATGCACTTGCAAATTCATTGATGTTTTTTAGTAAGAAATTATTCATCAACAAAAGAAATAGTCTTGATCTCTATTTAATTTAAAATATAGTTCATGCAGCATCATTTGGTTATGGTGTAACATTGATACAAAGCAATGAAATGACTTTTGATGGTGTTTTTCGTGTCTTTAGCGTTATTACTTTTTCTGCGATGTCTATCGGACGTAGCGCATCTATGGCGCCAAGTTATTCAAAAGGCAAAGCGAGTGCGGAACGTATTTTTGAATTGAATCAACGTGAATCAAAAGTCGATCCTGAAGATACATCTGGCATTACACTTGTAAGAATTGATGAATTACTTTTGTGTCATTTATATTTTTGCTTTTAATAGTCTGATATAACTGGAAATATTGAATTTCGAGATGTTCGATTTCGTTATCCAGCTCGACCAAAACTTCGTATATTACGTCATTTAAATCTATCGTGTAGTTCAGGTGAAACAACAGCACTCGTAGGTCCATCGGGTAGTGGAAAATCGACCACTGTCGCATTAATACAACGTTTTTATGATCCACTTACTGGTACAGTTCTTCTCGATGGGCACGATGTAAAAACATTAAATATTCAATGGTTACGATCGGTGTTGGGTCTCGTCCAACAAGAACCAGTTCTTTTCAATCTTTCAATTCGTGATAATATTGCTTACGGTGATAATAGTCGGCAATTAACACAAGATGACATTCAACAAGCGGCATTAAAAGCGAATATTCATGCTATCATTACATCGTTACCACAGGTAGATTTTAGTTTTTCTCGTGTTTCTCTCATTATGTTAAATTCATCTCTTAGGGATATGATACACTATGTGGTGCTAAAGGTGGTCAATTATCAGGTGGACAAAAGCAGCGAAGTATAATTCATGGCATATGTACATATTGTTTTTAACACCCGTTCATTTGATATTTTAGTTGCTATTGCTCGAGCATTAGTTAGAAACCCAAAGATTCTTCTTCTCGATGAAGCTACATCAGCATTAGATAATAAAAGTGAACGAATTGTACAAGAGGCATTGGATCAAGCACGAACTGGTCGAACTTGTTTAACGATTGCTCATCGTTTGTCAACAATTCGAAATTCAGAAAAAATCTGCGTTGTTGACCGTGGTCAAATTAAAGAAAGTGGTCGTCATGATCAATTAATTCAAAAACAAGGCATCTATTATAAACTAAATATGGCTCAAGAACGTCCAGACAATCAAAAACACACATAGTCTTGATTTATTAGTTTGTTGTTTTTTTTGTTGCATATTTGTGAATCTAAAAAATAAATGTTTGCTTTAATGCACCCACCACCAACTCTTCTACTATTCCTAACATAATGGAAGTAAAATCATAAAGAATTCTTGTAACTTCTTTGAAAACTAAAATATTGGCTAAATTGAATTGTGTGAGATAAATATCAAACAAAAGCTCACTTAATTAATATATAAATAATAGAATAAGTTTTTTTTCTTACTGTTGATACGTGTCATGCGATAACTCATTGAAAGCTTGCTATACTATTGCGTAAGAAGAGCTACGTTTCGCACTCAAAATGTAACATCACCAAAAACAAGCGATAATTCAATATATATGTGAATCATCTTAGAGATAAAAAAAAACATTTGCTTCATTCACTCAGACTGAAGTGTATAGAGTCGCTTTATTTGAAATTAACTGGGTAATCAATTAAATTTCTTCACATCGTCTGTAAAATCAACTGAAATAATCAAAGTTGAAAATAATGTTAGCATAGGTGCATCTGATACTGTTGGCATTGGAACATTGAATCCTTCGAGAGGTGGTTGGGTGCCAAAGTTTGCATCACTAATTTGTGCAGAACAAACCATTCATCTTGGCCGTAGTGGATCAGCACTTAGTGATGCAATTAATCAACAGTTACCAAATGTTATTACGATTTGGTTAGCTGTCAATGATTTTAATCGACAAGTATATAATAAATCGATTTTAAATAGTTATACGTCAAATTTAAATGAAATGGTATCTCAATTAAGAAATAAATTCGATAAAGATACACGAATTTTGGCGGACAATATTCCAGATCTATCGAAAGTAGTTGCGGAGGTATATCAATTTCTTATAGAAGGTTCTGAGGAACTTTTTTTTCTATGCTATTTGATCGTACTTTAACTAATATGATGATAATAAATTTTTCAGAAGACTTTTTCTTTAACATGTCTGCTCGTTGTACTAGCTCACAATGTGTCAGACCGTTTAGTCCTTTTAGTCCACTAATACATTATACTAACAACCAAAATATGTCATGCGATGCAGCATGAAAAACTCTACAATTTCCATAAGATCACTTATTTTGCTAGTTGCACTTTTTCTCTTCAAAATGGGCGAGGTTTTGAGTGATCGAACTTTGATCGTTGTAAAAACTGATCGTATAGAATTTTCCTTTCTTTCAAAACAATTTCAATAAACTTTACTATGCAGATTGTAGAGCTGTTCACGCTGCATGTTATGGCCTATTTGGTTGTTAATACAACTAACAAGGAAATGAAAACTGCGATGTACAGCTACAACCCGGAACCATGTAAACGAAAAAAGTCTTATGAAAAATTTATTACCATCATATTAGTTAAAGTACGATCAAATAGCATAGAAAAATAGAGCTTTCTTTGTTCTATCAGACTGTATAGAAAAAAAAAGTTCCTCAAAACTTTCTATAAGAAATTGATATACCTCCGCCACTACTTTTGGACTGACCTAAGTATGTACATCATTGGGAATACCTAAATTTCTTCTAACATTAGAGAGTAAACGATGGAATAATTCTATTAAACAAATTGTTTATGAACATCGATGTGATCTTGTAGATTTATATTCTTATTGGAAAAAATTAGGCGAACATCCTGAATATATATCATTCGATGGATTTCATCCATCAGCTGAAGGATATGAAAGACTTGCACAAATATTTTTTCAACAATATTTAAAATAAAACACGACTTAGTTGAAATACCGTTTATATTCAAAGTATTTTGTTTCATTAAGAATAAATCTAAATCAAAAATTATACACCCCGTACTGGTTCACGAAGTAAAGCAAGTGTAGATTACATAAAAATTTAACTTCTCTACAAAGTATACGCTATATTTTCAGAGAAGCTATAATAAGGTTAAACGAAAACTAAATGTCAAAACCAATGAAATCACGAATTATGATTCTAGCAAAGTAAAGTCGATACAATAAGAAATATTATCTATGTTTTCGAGTACATTCTTAAATCATAATTTATTTATATTTATGAATATATGCTCAAAACCTGCTCTAAAAGGGATATCTGTAAAATATTCTTTTTGCTGTGTTGGTTCAAGGACTCTAGTTTTATTTTCAGGTTAGTGTCTCCACGCATGATGCTTTCTCTCAACACACATCGACATATGTTGCTCTGATTTTCTACAAAATTAGACGCCAATAAGCTCATGCTTATCCGCTGCATCGAATAGTAGAATCCGGCACCTATTAACTAGTTAGAATCTATAGTGTAAATCTTAGATTCGTAAAATGTTTCCAAAGGCTACAATAAACTATAAAATGATCTAAACAATTTTATTAATGAACCATTGTGTTTTGGTGCTGGGTATGGGTCTCATTATTTTTCCGTTAATATATTTTGAATTTTACCGAGTTAGATTTATTTCTCGATTTAATACATTCTTATGAGTTTAAATTCATTGATGTTAATATTCGTCTGGTGTAGTTTGTTAAATGGAATGGCCCAATATATTCTTCAGGATCTATCGCTGTTATACTTATCACATATTCTCATACTCCAAGAAATTACTTTATGGTAGTAGTTATAATTTCGATGATGACCACGGAAGACTACTTGAGTGTTTTTGATGTGAGAACTGTTGCTTGAAAAGAACACATAATGTAAGTTTTCACTGGAAGCCTTTATTTGCTGGTGAAATTCATCTCATTTATGGAATGCGTGGCTACATGTATCTGTGGTTTACAGATAAGCGAGTTTCTCAAACTTTCTCTACCGTCTCCCATGTCAAACAATCAGACAGGAAGATCTTCTACGATCGTATCTCTGATTTTATATGATCTTACAAGATCTGTGTCTGATTTTTTGACCTGGGCTATTAACTTAAAAATAATGATCAGATAGCCATGCCATGTTAGAATAATTTTTGTTCACGATCATAATATATATATATATATCGAATCAATATTTATTTGGAACTCAATAGGTTATGTTACACTCGAAAAGGTCCTTTGAAAAGTTATTAGGTAGTTGCTTCAAAATTTGAGACCCAAAAGGATTATGCAAAATGCTACTGCATATCCAAAAGAAAAGTATTGTTGCGGTAGGTACTTGATAAACTGAATACCCAACAGCACTGGGAATTTCTACAACAGGCTCTCAAATACGGCAATGCATTTGTTGAATGTTCAGTAGTATTTTACACGCAGTTTGACTGGTTACAGAGTCTGACGGGCCTCATACATCTCTGAATCTAGTTTAAAGTTTTTTTTGTTGGAGGCTTTATTTTCTTTGCTACTTTTTGTGTGATCAAAGTTATCAGCTCTGTGGTGTTTTTAATTCTCTTATGTCCAGCTGGCAATGTTCGTGTTTCAATATCCAGTGCTTGTCGTAGATAATCAAGGGATGTTTCATATTCATTTGTCTCAAAGTAGACCAGCCCAATATTAAACAAGGACAAAGCGACTAGAGGATGCTCAGGTTGATGCACTTCACGACGAATAGCCAATGCTCGAAAATGATAGCGCAGTGCTTTTTTAAACTCATACTGATAATAAAAGAGCAAACCAATATTATTGTAACTCATGGCCAGATCTGGATCTTTCTTCCGGGAAAAAAGTCGAAGTCGTATCCTCAAGGCTTTTTGATGATACTTGAGAGCTTCAACAAAATTCTCTTCATCGGAAAAGTGTTCGCCGATATTATTAAAGTACAAAGCTCGTGATCTCATAGCTTTTGGAGATGTACCATAGATATTTTTTAGTGCTTTGAAATAGTTTGCCAAAGCCTCATCAGGTCTGCCTAAAGTTTCAAGAACATTAGCAAGATTATTATAGGATTCAGCGATTTCAGGATGCTCAGGTCGTAAAGTAGCAAGCCGTACTTCAAGGCCCCTTTCGAACATGGCTAATGCCTCGTTTAGCTCACCAAGTTGCTCTTGAGTAGAACCTATGTTATTGTAAGTTTCGGCAAATTGTGGATGTTGTGCTGGTAATGAGTGTTCGCGAATCGCTAGAGCCTCTTTTAAGAACTGCAGTGCAAGCTCATAATGACCTTGCTCTAAATGTACTAGGCCAATATTACTCAAAGTTGTGGCATGATCGAAATGATCGGATGAGCCGAGAGCAATACAATCGATTGAACGGCTTTTTTCAAAGTAGGTAAGCGCTTTTTCATAGTCATGCTGATGAAAATGGACCATACCAATATTATTGTATGTCACTGCAACAAGTGCATGGTCATGTGGCAAAAGTCGCAAGCGAATCTTCAAGGATTTTTCATTGTACGACATCGCCTGTTTCGTTTCTTCCTTCATATCATAAAGGAGCGCAATGTTACTGTATGTTTCAGCTAGATCCAATGTCTCTGTTGATTCTTGCAGACGTAAAGCTTCATTGAAGTAGTGCATTGCCTCACGACTTTTATCGCCTTCCATAGCTATCAATCCAATATTGTTGTAAATTTTGCCGACAATTTCATGGCTAGGTGATATTTCTCTTAAAAGCATTCGATAGTAGCGTTCTGCTCGATTATGCTCTCCCATTTTCCAAAGAAATTCTCCTAGCATGAGTAACGGTGGCATTTGCTCTTGGATAATTTCCTTTTTAAAATGATCCACCAGGCTTTTTAAACTTTGTTCACTGTCATTACTTAAAGTAAGATATACTGTCCAAATGCTGCCACATTGTTCGACATCGGTCAAACGAAAAATTGTATTCATGGCGAATAGTACTTCTCCTTCTTTTGGCATAGTACTCAAATGGCTAATGTCGGCAAAAGGCGCTGTATCATATAAATGTTCATTGACATCTATTTCGAAAACAACAGATATCAATCGAGGTGAATCAGTGACCTCACCACTAAACGATAGTGCATCATTGGATGATTTGGTGGTGGAAAAGAATGTATTGACGGAAACAAATTTGTCTTTACTCTCCTTCAATATCTGCAGTTCGGCAACAGACATGGTTTGACCACGCCAAAGAATGCCTGTAAACGGTTGATGCAGTTTTTTGAGTGCATCATGAAGGTCAACGATAAAAAATCGAAATTTGAAAATGATATCAATATTCTCAGTACGAAAAGCTTTATTAAGCAGCCGATAAATAAATGAATCTTTTGTATACCAACGAATACAATCTTCCGGTGAATAAGTTCGAAAAAATTCATCGATCTTTGCGAGTTCGACTACGTTACCCCGATACGCTCGTTCACATTCATTTCGCATATCATTACGTGCATTCTCATTGGGAGGCATCCGAAGAAGTACTTGTAGTAGCAACTGGAACCACATAAAGCGCTTTTCTTCGACGTTAAGAGAACGCAATGAAACTTCTTTACTCAGATCGGCACTGAATATGCTTAGAGGAGTCAAGTTTTTCGTAGACATTGATACATCCCGAGTCAAAGCAGCGAGTAGTTCATTTGTTGTCCCACAGACGGCTCGAATTTTATTATATGACTTTGCCCAAGTGGAATGCTGTTGCTGATGGATACAAAAAATATAAATGACTGCGAGATGCGGTAATTCATGCACTTTTGGGATAAGCGATTCACCCAAGTAGCCACAAGTAATAAGAAAGACTTTTTCAGTTTTTGAAGATTCGATAAACATACGGCATTCTTCAGGATCATTAAACGTTCGAGTAAAGCTAATGATCGCTTCTAATTGAGACTGACGCTTCATAACATCAGCGTGTGTTTCTTCAGTTGCTAAAGTTTTTGATGTACGCGTGTCCAACCAGACAAGAACGAAGTCTTCGACTCCATTATCCAAACTAGTCCAAATATGATCAGATTCACAAGACATCAGGATGCGTTCGATTCATTCTTCTATGGTTCACTTTTAGGATTCTCATTTAAAAATAAAAAGAGTTTACAAGTTGGAATTTTCCTACCTATTACTCTTTTCTTTCGTACGAGAGTAAAATTATAGGTTGTCGTTTTCTTATAATTACTATGAGTGCATAGAACGCGCGTTCAACAGACATGCGACAAAGCAATTCATATTTAATGCGGTGCGACGCACAGCATTCAAGTAGTCGGGGGCGAGTAATTTTTTTACTTTTTTACTTGAGGCGTACGCATCTAAAAAGTGATTTTTGTTGCGTGATGATCTCGAAATTGGAGAGTCATAGAAGATTCGTTGAAAATTTAGGTAAGAGTTTTAAGATCGAACTTGATATACCTTTTTTCGCTTTTAATGACTTCGCGTAACGCGTATTTGCGTCACACCGGATCTCGTAGTCGAGTGAAACTCGAATACCATCTAGTTCTTCAAATTAAACATTAGCACCCTTCTAAAATAAACACACCGTAGAAAATGGATGTATAAAGTATTGCTTTCCGCTTTGTGCAAATTTTCGAAAGATGAAATTATTTTTCTGCTTAGATTTGTTGATTAATTCTGTCTCTAAATTTGTCTAAGTTGATCGGAATATAGCACTACAAAGTTGCTACATTCCATATATATTGAAAAGAACAGGAACATTAAGATATGCAATCCGTTACCTGTTAGTCTAGCTACGCATAGATGGCTGGAAAGTCACTATTTTGCAGTGTCAATCAAAATTATTCAACAAGGAAAATCATGTTTTTGCTTTTTTTCCACAACTCAAGAACAAGATAATATAACATCATTTTGAATCCAGTATATCGCAGCTCGTGATTATAATATATGCGTAAAATATGCAAGATCAATTTATAAACGTATCGAGAATCTATTGACGATAAAATCGGCAAATACCATTTTCATTCTTTTAAAATTATGCGACAAGCTATTTTTGCAACTCACTCTGCGCTGATTTTTATATGAATTTGTTTTCGCGATATTCCGTTGAAAAGAGTATAATTTTTTTCTACTGAACAGTAAAATTTTTGTATAAAAATACTTTTTCTATTAGAAATACGAAATTTTCTGATAGAAATAGACAAAATGTGGAAACTTCGGGTTTCATCCGAGAGTTATGTGTGCTGCAAAAAGTGCGTGGGACATATGAGTCGTTCTAGAATGTTTGAACACCAAAAATTATCATGAGAAACTAGGCAATTTGATTTCTGGATGCAGTTTTTGTGAATTTTAAGACTTTTTTCAGGCAATGCTTCGCTAGAAAACTACAATTTAGTTCAAAACTAATATCAGATTCGGAATCAGCGTTAAAAACTGAGTCGATTTATATATTTTGTGGATAATTCTAAGAAAAATATTTTGTTTGAAAAAATCCCTGTATTCCCCCTCAGGGATGATCTGGTCAAAAATGAGAATTTTTTCGTTAACTCAGCCATTTCTTGACGGATCCTTCTCATCTTCGAACTCGACCTAGATATTGATGAGACAATTCTGTGCACAAATTTTCAGCTCAATCGAATGTAATTGTGAAGAGTTATCGAATAAACGGCCGGATACACTGACCGATTCTACAGTGTACTTTTTTTTTTTTAGTACACAAAAATACTTCAACCCTCATGACAACCCAAGTCGATTAAAACGGATATCGTTTTCGAACAGCAAACGATGAAGAAATGGGTACTTTATGGCTGTAATCAGAGTCATTACGTACCGTAAACAGTCCTTATTTGTCCTGTATATTGGACGCAGGAATACGGTCTATATTTTATCAGTACCCAGGTCGAATAGTGCGGTCCGTATACGGCCGTTTACGGTTACTTTACGACTATTTTCTGGGCGAAAGTTTGCCGTAATCTCTGGCGCATTAATACGGACCGTATGATCATGAGAGTCCGAAGTACAACAGCCATAAGCCATGAAAATTCAGTCCCGTTTACGGTGCCGTATTACTGTGCCAGGTATTACGGACAAATACGGCCTATTTACCGCTGTAAATATACCGTTTTGACATCGTTTACCGTCGATAAACAGATTGTAAACGAGTCCGTTTTGATCAACCTGGGTAGTATAAACTGGTCCTGGTTGGCCGCTTAAAAATATTTTACAGATAGAATACGGGCAACCGTATGCTGTCGTATTGATTCTGTATACTACCATAAAGATAACATATTTTGCCCGTTTTCTGTTCCTTTTTTTTACTGTTTGTCACTCATTTATTACTTCCAATGAAATATATTGCTTCTTGAAGAGTCATATATCTATTGCATATTTGACTTTGCTGGTTTATTACGAATTATTGGCCAAAGTAGAAAAATGTAAGACGTATAAAACAACAGCGAAACAGTGGCTTCAGATAAATAAAACTAAGAATAATAAGATATCGATTACAACTATGATGAAAAAAATCTAGCGTATTCAAACACTGTCGCAATTAGAAAAAATTACTTATAATAAGAAAAAAATGTCTTTCATTACACTTTAGCTGAAACAATTAGAGTTTTTTGTAACTGTTATCTCAGTGAAGGAATGAACAAAGTACTATGCGTACTTAATTTTATATGCAGCAGCAATAGACTCTTTAATTGCATTGTTCATGTACTTTCGTCAGTGACAACTATTATATGTATATCAGATTCATTTATCTGTTTTGGCAAATGTTTTCGTCTTGTTTTAGTTTTTGTACATCATGATAGTAGCTAGTTTCAAACTTGAACTCCAGTGCACTCAGTGGTATCCATCTATAAAAATTAAAAGAGGAAAGAGAAAAATTAGAGCGCATAGCATACAAATAAAAGTAGAACAGAACTAAAATAGCTGAACCTGATGAAATATATAGCTGAAAAACATAATTGGTAACTCTGACTGCAAGCGACAAAAAGTGAACATAGTGTTCACTTTCGACATCTTATATAGTTTCACACAATTACCTATTCATCTTTTGGGAGTCTGCTTTAGAAAAATAATGTTTAAAATTAAATTATAGAAATACATTTTAGATAAAATGTGCCGATCTGCCTGTTCAACTACAATGGCCCATGCTTGGTTACAGTTGAGAATAACATTTTTCGAACATTAGTCGACGGAACTGATTGATGCGAAAATGATTTCTAGATTTTCCTTTATCTCCTATCAATATATAACATTTATGTTTGATAGTAACGAAAATAAATGGTAGCGATGAGCCACAATCAAGCAGGTTTTGAGCTAAAACGGCGAAAAAAAGAGCCTTTTGGTCTACTATCGTATTTTAAAAAGTACGGAATCATTATAAAAGACGGAAGTAATCGAAGTATCATCAAAGGTTGCGTTACAGTTTGACACCGAGTCTTTCGTTATTTTAATCATACCTCTAAAAAGTATGCTCTTTAAATGAGTGTCAAAAATAACTCATGAGTACGTTACCAGATGCTGAGTGAGTTGCTTTAATGTTTCAGCGGTGAGTCGTTGTAGAAACAAACTGCAAAAAACCAATCGTATCACTGTAAAGTGTGTTGTCTTCGTCACAATCACAAACACTATTGGAAATATTTTGTTCCGAGTAAGAAAGTTTTCTTACCCAAGCTTTTTTTGAGAGGTATTGATCAAAGGGGTCATCCTAAATGAGTGCGTTACCGCAGCCTTATGTCGCTCTGGAGTAGCTACAGTTTGACCAAATGAAATGAGAGTTTCAGTAAAGCTAGAAGTTTTACATATCATACTACAGTGTAAGTTACATATTGTAACTCACAGCCCATTGTGACGTTAAACTAACGAGATATGATAAATCAAAGCTCAGAAATGGATGAGTGCGCTACCTATGCACAAGGCGTAAGAAAACCTATTCATATAACACGAGAGCGAAAATGAAAAAGTACTTTTTGTACTATCAGCTTAAGTTCTACAGTAAATGGGTTATTTTCGGCAGAAATAATTCATTTTCCCGTATAAATCATTGGGGAAATTCCATCTCACCCTCAGAAAAATAGTGTCCGGGAAAAGGATTCAGATTATTCGCACAGTATAAGCCGATATGAAAAACAAATTTGGTGTAGACACTATGATACACTGCGGAAGAAATATAATTCTTAAAGAGCGTTAAAAACATCTTTCTTCCTTCATGATAAAAAAAATATCAAATTTTATCAGAGCGAATTCACATGAGCAATATTTATTTAGTCATTCACCAGAAATAAATAAATCATGAAATGTCTATGATAGCAT